TGGTCTTTTTGTTCACAACATCAACCCGACAGAGAGCCGACCCAGCTCGGAACCCAAGTCTCCGTGCTCATATCTGATTCGTCCACGCTGTGAGATCAACACCTGAATGGGCCAATTCGTGCCCCGTGCTCCCCAACGCTCGATATATCACTTTCGAGTCTCCATTATTCGAGTTTTTTAATGAGTCTCGACCAACCCTCCTCTCTGGGTGTTGCACATTGTCTAGAACGAGTCAAATGCGTCTGATGTCAGCTCCTCCGCATCTATGGACTCATAACGTACCCGAAGGGGCGAGTCTATGATGCTATCCCATACGATCCGCACAAAGCGACAGCATACTCCCGGCCAACTGAGGACTAAACGCATCGTTGCACGATGCAAAAAGAAGGATCCCCTGAACCAGAATCGAACTGGTGACTTTTCGGTTACAATTATACCATTACAGCCGAACGCCATAGCCAACTAGACCATCAGGGGGATTGATGAGGTGGCGACGAAGGATTGTGTACCGAGATCCTGAATAAGCATCCTTCGCGAGAAAAGATTAGCGTCAGCATCAGCCTCGTGAAGCAAAAAAGGAAGCGTCCCCCGAACCAGAATCGAACTGGTGACTTTTCGGTTACAATTATACCATTACAGCCGAACGCCATAACCAACTAGACCATCGGGGGTGTTGCTGGGAGTAAGGTTGAGCCAAAGTTTTATATTGCGCCAAGCCACTTCGCTAAACACGAAATTGAAGGTGAAGGCCCCGCCATAAAGACAGTGCTGCGTCTCCGTGCGTCAGGTTGGAAGTACGATCGCATAGCATGAAACTTGACCACAGCGTCACTTGAGGGGCCAGGGTAGAAAATTTGGGGCGCGGAGGTGGTGTGAAAACAGACAAAAAGATGTCCCTCGAACCAGAATCGAACTGGTGACTTTTCGGTTACAATTTCCATTACAGCCGAACGCCATAACCAACTAGACCATCGAGGGTGTTCATGAAACGTCCTTTCCTAAAACTCTATCAGTTATCTTGAGTCACATACCAGCCATAGCACGCATGGTCGCTAGACCGCTGCAAGGCCCAATTCTGTGACACGAAATTAGTACGAGCTTGAAAACGGTGGTATATACTGAGCTCGGTGCTCGTTTCCTCAAGAAGAGCGAAAAGATATCGTCATCCATCATGCAACGTGAAGAGATCGAGGTAAATGGAACGGATCGGTCGGATGACTCGAGCCACATCCGCCTGGCCCGCAATCTATCCAGTTCTGAGCTCTTGCTCTGTGTAGAGAAAGATTGTGTATCTCCGTGTGAGAGTGCAAGAATGTAGTCACCGCATGTCACAGAGCGGGCTAATCTTAGACTCATGATTAGCCAAGCAAGCCTAAGTATTCGCGGAAGGATCGCCTGCAAGACTCACAAATCATACCAACCACGCACCATGTAATTGGTTATGTGGTGCTCTCAGCCGCAAACCACCATCGATAAAAATAAGCACGAGTCATGTTTGCCAAGAAGATTGGGCGATGATAGGTTCTTTGGGGGCCGTGCGACACGAACATTGCTATTATGGTTGGATGATATTGCGAGAGAACTTGAGTCGCTACTGCTTTGTGGTTTGAGGGGCTGGTTTGAAGCGGGATCAGTGTTTTGTTTCGAGTAACCGTGGAAAGAATCAATTCTGGGTTTAAAAATAGATGGGGCGTGAAGAAGGAAGGGATGAGGAGGTCGCTTGCTTCATGTTAATCCTGGGTCGCCCGGGGGTATGATGTTGGAGGTGGTACTGTGGGTGATTTGAGTATCTCTCGGATGGTTGCATTTGGTTCATTGACGGCACGACGCAGGGAGGAACCACTGCATGGGTCGGGGAACCATTATACGGGGTACTATGACATCACGAGGGAAGTTAGACCATTTTCCTTAGCTTCCGGCTTAGTTGTTGCTTGCATACGCCTAGCTATTGAAGTCCTCGCTGTGGCATGATAATTGAATTGATGAACCTAGCACTAGCTAACCTTAGCTAAACTCTCTAGGCAATAAATTTGCCGAAAAGCATTAATGTCAACAGAGGAACCATCAGGAGTAACTGCCACCCTCACTTGGCGAGCCTCAATGTATTTGTCTCTGACAGTCCCAAGCAAGCAAGATTGCGATAGTCGGAGCCAAAAGCATAACTTAATGGTAGAGAGTTCACCGCAAGTGGTGATCGACCGGGTCCATCCATTTTCTTAAACCTGGGGTTCTTGGACTTGCACTGTTTGCAAATCATGACCCTTTCCACCCTCAAAAGGAAACAATCGGCGTAGCCGTCTCACTCCTCAAAAGTCATACACAGCGAGCAGCCCAGTATGGAGTACTCCGTAAACAGCCAAGAAAAAGGAGGTTGTGGCCTGAGGCCACTAAGCACATTACCCAACCAGTAAGATGCACCATGCACGCACCTGTACCTGCAGGGTCGCCGACTGCACAACACGCAGTCACCCCACTAAATTTAAGCCGAATAACAAAAAAGGAAAAGACGGCACGTTGATGTTTCACAGTGGCCGGCGAAGGTACTCCATCAAATCACTCAATCAGAACATACCGGTGGCCCTGTAAAGTCTTCGAGCTTCAAACACGGCAACTGTGGTATCAAGAGGTAAATCAGGATTGTGATACTCGGTGGAACAAAAATGGGACAGTGACTGTTTCTGGCCACTGCTCGGGCGGTGGAGTTGTACCAAGTCCTACCAACTGCTAGTAGTTGACGGTTGGACAGAGATGCTCGCGTTTCCGCTTGGCTCTCTTGTGTACGTGTCGTCCTGTCTCGGCTGGTACCCCATTACTCAAGTCCTGGACTTGAATAATAATGGATCATGAAGACAATCCAAACTATGGCAAGCGGTTTCCTAGGCTGCTGCTTGTAAAGGTATTCGTCTCCATTCATCTTTTGTGGAGTCGAGTGGGCACGGCTCGAGCACTGTTATGTCCGAGTCAATATCCTGCCTTCCTCATCGCTGTCTGAGATTAACTAATGCTCAGATTGCAGACACTACGGCTTACTAACCTATTAAGAGCAATTCACCTGGCACACCGATCAGAATGGGGTGGTTTAAGTGTGCTCCTCTGCACAACTGGGTCCCGCGCATTAGCCAATGGTTATTTGACGGTGCGAACTGATAAGTGGGAGGGCCCCATCGAGGGATGGATCATGTGCTCGCTGCTGATAACAGTGGTTCATCCTCAGGAGAGAGCCATCCTTTCTGCTTCTCTGTTCACTCCTTTCTCCAATGCTGATGTTGAAGTCCGTACTGCATCACCAGTCCCAGTACCATGGGTGTAAGAGGCTCTGACAAACACGGCAGTCCCGAGTCATTGGAGGGTATTAATATCTCTGACAGAGGGAAACCAGAGACATGGGTCAGAAACCTGGTCCCGGGCAACAAGTTCCGACTGACAAAATAATGATTGAGCGTAGAGATTTACTCCGTAGACAAAAAGCAGTTGTATGATAATCGGATTGGCAATGTATCGGAAAAGGGGGTTTGAGGAGATGCGAGGAGACAATCTGACTGGATCACCGGGATGGTTTGCAGCAGGAACTGGCCATGGATGGTTTAGCGCGGTGTGTTCCTGACTCTTAGCGTCAGCCCCGTCAGCCCGAACTTGACCCCAAACTGCCTAGTGTCATGGCCTTGATCCACGGGTGTCGAGGCATCCCTTGCACGAGATTCTTCCATGGCTTCGGGGCTGCTGCCACCCACTGCCCACACCTCCTTTTCCCCTCCCCCCCTCTCTCTCTGTAACTACCACTAACTGTACCTCGTCTTCGTCATCAGTGCTTGTTTCCAAGTTCCTTGCAGTCTGGCTCGCTAAGCTCAATTGTCAGGTCCATGACGAGCAAACAGAAAAACCAAAAGAAAACAGGAAGGAAAGCACTGGGAGAAGTCGATCGTGATGTTTCATCTCCCACCTGACGGGCTTCGAGTTTTGCGTTCTCATCCTTACTCGTTTGGGCCGATGCTACTGCCGCCACGTCTGACCCCAGAGAACTAACTCTCCGACTAACGATTTAGTTCAGAGACGGACTTCCATCTCTTTTGCCAGGACATCATCGACTAACGAGTAACGACATAGTACTTAGTTTGCTCGCTTCGAAGAAAAAGGATTAATTCGGTCCTAGTAATCGCTGATGTGCTGCCCTCAATGCTACTTTAACTAACGCATGCATCGGCTGAAATCTTTGTCTTCCTCCACAGCTTGGCAGTCTCATCGACACTAATAGGTCTAGCAGACTAAGTTAGTACGACTGCAGGAATTGGAGTCATGCACCAGTGCACTACTCCGCACGGCTCTCAGGACAACAACACGCTAGTGGTCTAGTGCTAGTCAAGATCCTCACTGCTCCGGTGGAGACGATCGGCCCTCGACTGCCGTCCCATGTCTGTTTCTCTCCCCCAAGAAGCAGTGGCGTGTTCAAACTTCACGGTGCTCTGTCCGACTTCCTTGTGCCATCAATGGCCCTGCATTAAACCGATTCGGGGATATTGAACTTGAGTTTCGGCCTATTGGCGCTTCTGATAACTTTGGTTGCCCACATCTCCCACGCTGCTGTTCCCCCCTCCTTCTCCTAAAATAGTCGTGCTCCATCTTTTCTTTTTTTCCTTTCATAAACTTGCTTCAAATCCTTGTTCTTTTGAATCGCGGCCATTGTCGTTACCATTCTCTTGTTATTAACTTACGAGACCATATATGGTCTATTCTGTCCTTCTCCCCATTGCACCTATAGTCAATCTCTTGCACATATTTTCGGCCAGTGTGCCGCATATACTTTGATTCTTCTGTATATACATACCATTGTCATTCCCTTTCGTCTATCGGGTCCCCACTCTTTATCGCAGAATCCCCCCCCTTTCCCTCAGTGTCTACAACGGTCCTTGCGCACGCACGCACACGCGTTCTTCTACTCGCCTAAAATCAGATCTTCCTGCTCGCTTTGCCAAACGACGTCTAATGCAACACAGGTTTTCAAAATGAGCGTTGTTGCGAGTAGACCTGCGAGCGCAACTGTTTCGTACAGTGCGATCCCTCACCAAAGCCAGATCATCTCAAATTACAAGGACTCGATGTATGCTGTAACGGTGCAGCCGGTCTCATCTCGCACATCATCAGTCTCTTCATTCAAAAGCAACTACAGCGTTTCAACCGCTCCCACGGAATATTCTTCTACCCCCATCTTTTCAGCATCACTACCCCGCTTGTGCGACTCGGCTGCGTCTCTAGATAAGATCTTGGAGTCGGTCTTTAAGCGACTGCCCCAGGAGGTGTACGATACGATCCTTGATCAATTATACTACTTACACACCGGTCCCAATCAGAATGGATGCTTAACATGCTTTCAGCGCGACCTGCATGCGCTTTCTCTGACCTGCCGGCCGTGGGAGAAGGCAGTCAGAGCAAGGCTGTGAGTTTTCCACAGAGTTCATCAATAGTAATTATGCTAACAGATTTCCTTACTAAGGTACAATCGTATACACATTATCGGAAATGATTCACCGAACCAGTTGAAAAAATACAAGCTGAAACGAGGGAGTCGCCTCAAGCTACTGCGGCGGACTCTCCGGGAGAGGAAATTGCTGGCCAATCTGGTCCTAGAGCTTCGAGTACCCCAGTTGGACTTGTTATTTACGACGAGTAGGCACAGCATCCAATGGCAGGAATACCGGGACCTGGTTGCATCCGTGGTCATGGTGTGCCCGAATCTGGAACGACTATTAGGCCTGACCATTCCTTACCACCACGAATTCGATCGTCTAACACATGCATTGTCGACTCGGCGAAAGCTGAAAGAGCATACGTGGGTTCTGGGGGAGGCCTCAGCAATCTCCGAGAAATCGCCCAGGAGCACATACTGTCCCTGGAGCTTAGGCCCTTCACAAATGTTTGAATTCCTCGACTATCACACGCAGTGGACGTCTTTAGAAACTTTGATGCTTTACGGACTGAACGAGAAGAACTCCCTGGAGCCTAGTATTTTCCTTCGCATGTGCAGCGAATTGCCTTCATTGAAAAATCTATGCATCACCAATTTCGACGCAGACGCCTTCGCCGACAGCACCTTGCAATGCCTGCCACCGCTGGAGTCGCTCCGCCTGGAGAACCTGCCGGGTGTCACCGATGCAGGCCTCTGCCAATACGCCTCGCAACCTGAATCCAACTCTCTCAAATCTCTTGCCCTTATCGAACAGAATGTTGACTCACTCCTGGTTGTCTCAAAATTGTTAGCATCCCTCAGCCAACTTGAGCGCCTCACCTTCGTTCAAAGCAACAAATGCCCAAGGCTGGATACCGAAGGCATCGTTTTCCAACCGCTCTTTGCATCCTCAAGTCTCAAGTACCTGCACTGGGATGTATCCGGGCCTGATTCTGGCGCTGCACTGAGCACACTCGATTACGTCCCGTTCATAAAACCACCCCGGCATACGGAGTCGCCAAACTCACATCTTGCCCAAAGCATTCTTGCTAGCGGGTTTCCCCGTCTTGAGGCTCTGCGTGCGCCTTCAGACATAGAGCCTCCTGGCGTTCTGCAAGCCGTATGTCAACCTATTCCGCGTGGACAAGCGCTGCTCAAGCCCGATCGCTACAGCCTTCCACGTAGCTCCCATGGTTCAGTCACGACCCGGCCGATGGCATTGCCTGCAGGAAATAACCTGACCTCCGCTCGGATTCGAGCCCAAACATTCATTGACAGAGCTGCCAAGGATACGGAAACAGGGATGAGGTTCCTCGTCACTGACCACTCAGACTCTTATATACCGGACAACGCTCTTGAAGACGAGTCTTCCGACGACGAATCTGATCTTGGGATGGATGAGTTCGAGATGGGTGGCGTGGCGCGTGGACAGCATAATCACGATTTCGACTCTGGCGAGCACGAGGGACCGGTTGTTGTGTACGATTTTCATATGCCGGCATATATGGGCAGAATCGGTTGCAGGACCAGGGAGCAGGACGTTTCGATCCCACGGTTTGTTCTACGACCCGATATATCAGGCCAGGATAGCGATGGGGGCTTGGTTTCGTGGAAAAATGTGCACGCTTCTAATCAATCCTTGACGTATGCTGCCGGAATTGGGGCAGACTATTTCGGGGTCAAGGGACACACCAAATCGCTTACTGAGGAGCCACCTTCTCCAACCTCGACTACCACGTCGCGATTTGGTTGGGGAAGCATCGGAAGCCGTTCCGCACTGGGTACAAGTCCGAACACGCCTACTACCCCGGCCACACCAATGTCGGCAGCAGCACTTCCCTGGGATCGAGATGCTTGCACTGGGTCTTGGAACTACAGTCATCGAAGTGGACGGGAATGGTGGTTCCACATGGAACGAGATCGTCCAGGGAACGTCGAGATTGTCGACGTCAAGCGGCTCTTTTAATTTTCATCTTGGCATTTCTGAAATAAGCATGCATCGATGCAGAAACGGCGTTACGGACATTAACGGGCGGACGATCTCTTCTTTCATCATTCCTTGCATCATCAGGCAAACCGGTCTGGTGACGTCTTTTGGCCGTCGTGAAGATGGCACATCTCCGAGGAAACCTCGACCTCTTTTTTGATACGATTTATAATTATTGATTCCCCTGCTCACTTCTTTCATTGGCGCATTCATCTGGCTCAATATATCCCTGACCACATATTTTCTTGCACCATACAATATCTGTTCTCTAATCAACCCGGGCGGTCTCTTTCTATTTTGACAGTTCATGTACATGATGAAGGATTATAATTAGATTGTCTGAATCATGAATAATATTCAAGAACTAAAGAAGGAGGATGCATGCACTTGCTTAATTCAGCCTTTGTTTTAGATTATTTCGCATGTGAGGTTCAGGCGTATGCTCAGCAAATACTCACAGCTTCACCGGTCAGTGAAGTGAGACTGACGTCTGTCGATTCACCGCCGGTGTCAGCCGAAAGCCGGGAGCCTGTTAATCACGTTATCTCAAGCCATCTTGTAGTCACGAGGGTGACATTGGAGATATGTTGTGGCATCAATCATAGGCCTTTGCTATAGCCTATGTCACACTTCGTATGCTCGGGCATTTTTCGGATGGTTGCATATCGTCAATCAACCTCGCAGTACTAAATACCTTACTCAGACTGAATTGCCTCTTATTCCGAAGCTCCGTTATAGCTTCCAAGCATGCAGAACATCCAAGTTGGACTTCATTATAAGCGGACCGGAAGGGCTCTAACTCGATGCCCAAGTCCCTCAGTGGCCGATATCCTGGCCCTCCGACCAAACCAAGAAATCTTCACAGTCCTGAGCCAAGCTATATGGGGCAATACTGTACTCCTGCACGACCTATCCTACATCTCCAAGACCGGTTTCAGCGTCGCATCCGCCGAGGTTGAATCAATGAGACTGGTGTCTCAACATACGGCCGTTCCAATCCCATACGTGATCTACGCCACGTTCAGTCCCGGCTTCGGCAGGATCGAAATGACTATCGTATCGGGTGTCTCGCTCGACAGACGATGGGACATGCTGGACGACCACAGCAAAGAGTCCGTCTGTCGCCAAACGTGGACGTTGATCGCGGAGATTCGGGCGATCCCGCAGCCACCGGAGCTCAAGGGTCTGGTTCGCTGCGGCATCGACGGCTCTGTGCCTCATGACCCATTCTTCGAAGATCTACAGGATCCCCCTCGCGCCCTCAAGAGTGACGCAGACTTGCGGGCCCGCATTGTTGAGCGTTATGTGTACTTCGGCGGCTACCAGTACGAACGTGATTTGCTGGATTCGCTGCCGCGATCTGAGCGGACAGTGTTCACGCATGCGGACATCGCGCCACGAAACATCATGGTCGACGATGGTAACCACGTAACTGGCATACTAGACTGGGAGTACGCGGGCTGGTATCCGGAGTATTGGGAGTACGCCCAGATCCTCCAGTCGGCTTCCTGGGGGGATTGGTCTGAATGGATGGACCGCACTTCGCCGCGGAGATGGGATCTGTGCGGGATAGACGCTGCCAGGAAGGTCCTGGCCTGGACCTCATCCGATTCCGATGAGCCAGCCTTTGAGTCGTGAGTCGAGATGACTTCAACACTTTGCCGAAAAGTGGAAGGCCTCCATAGCGGAAACACTGGGCAGAAGCCCGCTGACTCAGCGCGCCTTCTTACCGCCCTCGTGCTTGGCCAAAAGCTCCGGCGAACGTAAACCAAGTGATACTCAATCGTCGCATCCATCCAGACTACTACTACTACTAGAGTTGAACTTCTCAATCAGACGTGTTTTCTTATCTCCCTAGATACTGCATTCACTCACCAAAATGCCTCTCATAAACGAATCGCACGACTCTCTGCCATGTAAGTCGCTTCACAGCTTCAGAGAGTTCTCTTTTTTGACGCGTCGATCTTCTATACAGACATCGAGGCGGAGCCTTCAACTTCAGCCAGAGCAGCTGCGGAGAAGCTCATCGTCGCCGAGCTCGCGGCTGACGCCCAAACCACTATTCACCCGTCCATCCCCGCTTTCTCGGAACCCCAGTTCTCTCCCCTCATGCAGCAGGAGGTGGATCGCAAAGCGGCTGGATTGCCCTTGACGGGGGGCATTGACCTATCACGCTACGAGGCCCCCGAACCGCCCGCCAGAGCTCCGGACGGATCCCCCAACCTTGGGGAATGGCGCCGGACGTTGCAAAGGGCCTACACGGCCAGCTCCCACCTGTCGATGAGACACGACAACCTGGCGCTATTGGAGGAAAACGGCAAGAACGCGTGGCTGATCGGAAATTCGCAGTTGGAAGAAATCCTTCGCGGCCTGGAGAAGGAGCTGGCCGAGACCAAGGCGGCCGCGGAGACGGTCAACAAGGAGAGAAAGCTGGCCCAAGAGGCCCAAAAAGCGGAGCTGGACGGATTGGAGGAAACTTGGAAACGCGGGGTGGGTGCGATCCTCGATGTGGAATTGGCTGCAGAGGGCTTGCGCATGCAAATCTTGCAGCAGAGGCGCCAGCTAGCACAGCAGCACGCGCGGTAATTGCCATCGTTCTCCGATTCAGGTCACTTGAAAGGAAGCAGATAGCAGACGGACCAAGGTATCGCAGCGCATTGATTCGGCCGGATGTATTGGGACAGTACTTTTTTGGGGTGGGGAGTTTCGGTGCTGCTTGATGTCTTGGAAGGGTGGTGGTTGGTGCTTAGAGGAATTCTCCGCTCCCGTGCTTTGGAGCATACTCAGCCTTGGGGGAGCGAGCGCAGGGCTGTCATCTTACAGGGCGGATCCCGTATCACAACAGCTGGGTTCTAAAGTCGGGGTCATTGGGGATAAGTCGCTTTGTTTCGCCGAGAGTTGCCGAGACGAGACACTGACGATGGCCATGCATTAAAGGCGGGGGAAAAGCTCTAGTTCTGGTCGATCCCCGCACATCCACATCCTCCGGCCGTATGGAACTTCGGTATCAGCCTGTCAGCTCAACCAGCTTGAATCCACAACACGAGCTCCGCATAAATCTCCCCATTATTATCAGGGGTGATCCGCGCTACTTCCCCGCGATTTTTCCGTCCACTGCCCCCCCGGAAAATCCTTCGTATCAATGTTCCCGGCATATCGTCGGCTCCTGCAGTTGTACCTCGAAGCCGGGGTCAACCGTTACCCTATGGGCGTTTGTTCGAGCAGCGAGACCTCATAAATTGCACTTGCAATCGATCTGAATAGACAGCTGAAACAACAATTCAGCTCGTCATTGCAGGAGCTCCGCCAGGTAGCCATGGAAGCCTTCACTTCCGGTTGCGTCCACTGTCGAAACAGACATGGGTGGTACTTTGAGAAGCGTTCTAGAGAATGAATATATGCACGTCATGATATCATAGTCTTTACTCCCTATTCGTATCCCCAGACCACTTGCTGCGTAGTGAATGCATCGCCCCCTCTCCATGCGGGGAAGCTCTTTGTTCTCTACTAGATACACCAACCTTTCTTAAGAGACCTAGGCTGATAATCACTATCTGCTAGAGCGGATGCTGACACAGGTTGCATACTGAGACTGCAACGAGCCAATGCCTGGCTTGGTCGTAGGAGATCCAGAATCATCATGCGGGGAATCAGACTGTTTGTGCGGAGACAGACTTTGTCTCTTGTCGGACTCTTCCCTTCATGCCTGGCCATGATGCATCCAAAGACGGTGGTTCAGGCGGGGTCGGAGCTATATAAGATCCTTGTTGGTCTTTTAGAACAGAACCTCATATCCATTCCATACCTTCACATAACTTGACTATCCCAAGATACTGCATCGAACCGCAGCCATGACCATCCCAGATGAATATGACATTATCGTCTGCGGTGGTGGAAGCACCGGCTGCGTGGTTGCAGGTCGACTGGCCAACCTCGATCACAATCTCCAGGTCCTGTTGATTGAAGCCGGCGAGGACAACCTCAACAACCCATGGTGAGTGCGACTGGCTATCACGGATTCGCTGCCAGAGCATCCCTAACTGTGTTCAGGGTCTACCGCCCGGGAATTTATCCCCGGAACATGAAGCTTGATTCCAAGACGGCATCCTTCTACTATTCTCGACCCTCCGAATGGCTTGATGGCCGTCGCGCTGTTGTGCCATGTGCTCATATCCTTGGCGGGGGTAGTTCAATCAACTTCATGGTATGGATGCCTTCTAATGGCCCGTACTTGGCTAAATGACCTTCAGATGTACACCCGTGCATCCGCCTCGGACTACGACGATTGGGAATCCACCGGCTGGAAGACCGACGAGCTCTTGCCTCTGATGAGGAAGCACGAAACATATCAGAGGGCTTGCAATAATCGCGATATTCATGGCTTTGAGGGGCCCATCAAGGTCTCATTCGGTAATTATACCTATCCGATCATGCAGGACTTCCTCCGAGCTGCGGAGTCGCAGGATATTCCTATCACCGATGACTTGCAGGACCTGAAGACTGGGTTAGTTGCTCCCTCCTGGGGCCTACGGCTCGTTTCTGACTTTCTTGTTTAGCCATGGTGCTGAGCACTGGCTGAAGTGGATCAACCGTGATACGGGTACGTATTCTCCCGGTTGTGAATTTGTCCATCCATGCTAATAGCAATCCGGATCAGGACGACGCAGCGACTCTGCTCACGCATACGTCCACAGTACCCGATCCCAGTATTCCAACCTACACCTCAAATGTAACACCAAGATCGACAAGGTCATCATCGAGAATGGCCGCGCAGTCGGGGTGGCGACGGTCCCGACCAAACCGTTGGCGGGCCACAACCCGCCACGGCGAGTCTTCAAGGCCCGCAAGCAGATCATCGTCTGCGGAGGTACACTCAGCTCCCCGCTCATCCTGCAGCGATCGGGAGTCGGTGACCCCGAGAAGCTTCGCCGGGCTGGGGTTGAGCCCCTGGTCAACCTACCGGGCGTGGGCCGCAATTTTCAGGACCACTACCTGACCTTCTCCGTCTACCGGGCCAAGCCCGACGTCGAGTCCTTTGACGACTTTGTCCGCGGAGACTCCGAAGTCCAGAAGAAAGTCTTCGACGAGTGGAACATCAAGGGAACTGGTCCGCTGGCGACGAACGGCATCGAAGCCGGCGTGAAAATCCGGCCCACCCCCAAGGAACTGGAGGAGATGAAGACCTGGCCGACCAACGACTTCTACCAGGGCTGGGAGAGTTACTTCAAGAATAAGCCCGATAAGCCTGTGATGCATTACTCTGTTATTGCGGGGTAAGTCGCTCCCCCATTCTCTCTTCATTGATGCATTCATGTCGAATCGTGACCACAGCTGGTTCGGCGACCACTTTCTCCTCCCGCCTGGTAAATTCTTCACCATGTTCCACTTCCTGGTAAGTCATCAAGCTCACTACACGTCACTCGAGAGAGTCAGTCGACGCTAACCACTGGCCGGGAACATCAGGAATACCCCTTCTCGCGCGGATTCACGCACATCCAGTCGGCCGACCCCTACGAAAGCCCCGACTTCGACGCAGGCTTCATGAACGACAAACGCGACATGGCCCCGATGGTCTGGGGCTACATCAAATCCCGAGAAACCGCACGGCGCATGAACGCCTACGCGGGCGAGGTCACAGGAATGCATCCTCACTTCTCCTACGACTCGCCGGCGCGCGCCTTCGATCTCGACCTCGCCACCACCAAGGCCTACGCTGGTCCCAACCATCTCAGCGCGGGGATTCAGCACGGTATGTTCTTCTCTTACCCCGACCCCCTACGAATGACAAACCTCTTCCCCAGGAAATAGTAAGAAACAAAATGGCTAACACAATGCCAACCACCAACAGGCTCCTGGTCCTCCCCCCTAGCACCCGGCGCCTCGCCAGCATCCACCTTCCTCAACTCCAACAAGCAAGACACCCGAGAGGAGATCAAATATACGAAGAAGGACATTGAACATATTGAGAAATGGGGTACGTTTGCGCTTCTTGCCTGTCCCTCCCTTCATTTCCCAACCATCTCCCCTTATCCAATTACTTCCCCGAACTGCTCGCCACACTAACTAGTTATGCTCCAAATCCAGTACAACGCCACGTCGAAACAACCTGGCACTCCCTCGGAACCTGCAGCATGGCCCCCCGCGCCGGCAACCACCTCGCCCCGCAGGGCGGCGTTGTGGACGAACGACTGAACGTCCACGGCGTGCAGGGCCTCAAGGTCGCGGATCTGTCGATTTGTCCTGACAATGTCGGGTGTAATACCTATAGTGTATGTTTCCTTTTTTTAACTTCCCGGTTTACTTTTTTTTGAGTGGGGCTAATACTGGTTAGACGGCGCTGCTGATCGGCGAGAAATGCGCGGTGTTGACGGCAGAGGATTTGGGGTACCGTGGAGAGGCGTTGGAGATGAAGGTGCCGGAGTATCATGCGCCGGGGGAGACGAGGGGGTTGTCGAGGTTGTAGGGTTGATCTCGGCTGGTGGAATGTAGGGGGGGGGGGGGGGGGGGGAAGTGGTTTAGTTGTAGTGGACTTATGGCGATAGGGTATTAGGTAGTTTCTGTGCTTTGTGCTTGAATATAAGTTTTTTTTTACTTGCTTCTTGTGGTCGGGATGAGCTCGCATCTTGTTTGTTGAGTATAGGACGTCTACAAGCCGGACCGGTGGGACAGTTGGTCATACTATATGTGCTGCCGCACACAACTACGCCGCAGGCACAACGAGATTCACATCTACCCCTCCATCCCCCGAAACACTCACCACCTTCCCTTTCCTCTTCGCAACCTCCTGCCCCTCCAAAACCTCTCCCCCCTCCGCCCTCCGATTCCAATCTTCCAATTGCTTACACATCCCATACAACGTCCCCATCGGCGGCTTATACCCCAGTCCCCCATCCTCAGGCCGCATCCTCGCCCTCGAATCATCCGCAATGACATGCACATTCGAGACACTAAACAACCCGGGCTGCAGCTGCGCCAGCTCCCCCTGCACGGGTGGGAGCAGCCAGGGGAGATACACGTGCTGCAGCAGCGCGTACCACTCGACCAGATAACCCAGCAAAAAGAACGGGACGGCGGGGACGCGCGGGAAGGCGACGGGGGTGTTGGCCAGCGTCGTCAGCAGCAGGTAGACGTCGCTGAAGGTGATGGCGGGGTTGGGGTCGGTGATGAGGAAGGCTTGGCCGCCGATATTGGGGAGGGAGGTCGGGGTGGCGGTGTGTTCGAGGAGCCGTTGTTCGTAGAGGAGGTGGGCGATGGAGACGTTTTCGGCGTTGACGAAGTTTTGGGTTATGGTGGAGAGCCAACTTTTATCCTCAGAGTGTGTAGTGGTTAGAGAGAGAGAGGGATCATATTGGTGGGGAGGGGAGGTGTGGGAAGGATTGGGAAAATATGCAAAAAGCTTTACCTGGCGTTTCCACCGGTTTTCAGATACATGGTGGTGATGCTGCCGCTCGTCTCGCCGATGCCGTAGATGCCGTTGGCTGGGCGGATGCAGCCGGTGCGGAAGTTGGAGGGCAGGTCGTCTGCGGCGCGTACGAGGGACTCGGCTTCGGCTTTGGAGACGGCGTAGTTGCCGAAGAAGTCGGAGTGGTTCGAGGGGAGGGGGGTGGAGTCGCTGATCACCTGGACCATGTTGCGCGGGGTCCGTCGCCACGGAGGGAGCCAGAAGGAGGTGCTGCGCAGAGCCACCGAGCCGGATGAAGTGGAGATGAAGCAGCTGGCCCCGTGATTTTTGGCGGCTGCCAACACGTTGGCGGTACCGTTGACGTTCACCTTGCGACAGCGATCGAGGAAGGCCTTGTGGCGCTCCGCTGGCCGAATTACGGCCGCGTTGTGAAAGACGGTGAGTGGCAGCGGTGCGACGGCTTCCGACCAGGGGTGCGCGAAGGCACCGGCGACGGCCGCCTCGTCGACAATGTTGGTTTGGATGAAGGTGACGCCCTGATTCAGGATGTCGCGAGGAGGTGGTTGCAGGTCGAGAATCCGGATGGCTGCTGGTTTCTCTCCGCGAGCGAGCAAGTGTGTGACAATCCAGTTGCCGACAAGGCCTAGCATGTGTTAGTCTTGCACAGGGTGAAATGGGCATGCAGTTGTGGTGATCTTCAAGTGCACATGCTGTCGAAATTATGTACAGTGTATACCTAGTAGTGTATTATGATATAGACTTACCTGCTCCACCAATCACAATATAGCGACGGTTCTGCTTGGGAGGCACGCTTTTCCCAACGTCCACTGGATTTCGAATCGCATCCTCGTAGGCGTTCTTGATCTCTTCAACTGTCCAGCGATGAGGCGACAGACGGCGAACCTCCTCAGGAACCTGTGTCAACCCCTGATTGACATGGTAGAGGTACAGGAAGGTCAAGCCAGTCACGGCAACTATCGCAGGAAGCATGGCAGGCTACAACAAGCACTGGCAGATATCGATTCCGATTATCCACACTGCATGTCAGAGAGCAAGATGTTCAGAAAATTGATCTGAGAGGAACGCAAGGCAAGAGGGATATTTAATCCCTCCCAATGATCAAGCCATGTCCCTAAATCAAGACCCGTCGGCCCGTAAGGGGGGGGGCAGGATATGGCGTATCCGAGCCATGGGAGTCGTTGGGTCGCTTCGAACAGGCTCCAATTTTAGTCGCTTCGGTTAGATTCTGATCCACCAGCCAGTCGTTGGTGGATCGGAGAATTCGGCCGACCAGAACACAGACCTTCTGGAAGCATTCAGCGTGGAGTCTTCCCGTGAAACTAGATTAAGACAGGACAGAGGAGTACCTAAGGTACTATCCATGATCTCCCAAGCCCAGTGGCTGTTCCCTTCCCGCGGCCGCCGCGGAGGTTGAGTGGGCTGGGACATTACGCCAGTCAACAACACGCAAAGCCTGTAGTTAGAATGGCTTCACCTGCTCTTGCTTCTCGGCCAAGAACTGCTGCTCTACCAGCTCCCCTTTTGTGGGGGTTTGAAGGAGAGGTGGATTGATGATCATGGTATGGTGTCTCGGATATAACACGAGGTGTACACTACTTACCAAAGCCAGTGGTTCTCAACGCAGTTTGTTAGCAAAATGTGACACACGAGGCAATTAAGATCAGTAGTCGGACCATAGAAGACAAGTGCTGGCTGAGTATTTAGTCTTGAAACCGATTTAAAGGTCAGTTGGCTGGCCACGCCACCGGAAACGAAGTCGCAACCTATACATAATTAGTAGGTCAGAGTCAGTCTGAGCGAGGGCGGGTAAAGACTTGTCTGGGCGTGGTTTTTAGGCAGATAACCGTGGCCTTTTCGTGGGTACCAGCTGGGTACACACTCCTATCGTCAAACCCGCCCTATTGCCACGCGTGCAACTTAGGGTTCAGCATATGTAGATAGTACACCTCAACATTCCACACCATCATGCAGGTGGACAGTCGAGCATGGCTCATTACCTCCGCGAAAATATTATCGTTGTCAATCTGTCCATTGTTGGCCATCTTGTTAATAGGGTCAAGATTCTCTAAAGGGATGTAGATATACGCCCATGACTTAGCGCGGAGTGGTGATTGTATCGAAAATTGCCTCTTATTCTGAACGCATTGTTGCTCTCCAGCCGTGAGTCATCGAGATATACTCATGGGCCCGACTGAATACCAGCGAGTTCTCAGACTGAGATAGCAACGACGTTATCGTCATCCAAATCTGGGTGTCGAAACCTACCTGAGATCTCGGTCCCGAATATCGCCCCATGATGAGTTCTCCGGACCGAAACCAATCCCAGTCATGATTCCCATTGGTATTTCAGGCGACTACCACCGCATTGCTTCCTTCGATATCTTTTCTCCATCATCTATTCCATCCTCAATGCAAATTACCTTACAAACCATGGATCAGAAAGCACAACCCATCATCATCGTCGGCGGAAACGTGGTCGGCCTCTCCGCTGCCTTGAGCCTCGCTGTCCAACATGTGCCTACTGTGGTCATAGAGAAACATCAAGCGATCTCTCAACACCCACGCGCCATGGGTTTCACTCCGAGGACCATGGAGATCTTTCGCACATTTGGTGTCGCTCACCAAATACCTCAAGTACCCCGTGATTTCGAATTGAAACGTGCCCGCGTGGACAGCCTGAACGGGGAAGTGGTAGGAGAGTACAACCTGGGAGGATACTGGCGAAGGAGAGCACCGTGATAAGCCTTCCAGAGCCCCAACAGACGCTGATTCTCCTCCGAAGGAGTATTCGCAGTTCTCCGGGGCTGCTATCCCTCAAGATCAACTCGAGGCTATTCTTGAAGATGCGGCCCTGCGACATGGTGTGGATATCCGGCGAGGGCTTACTGTTGTGCGCATTGAACAAGATGCGACTGGGGTAGCAGTGACTGCTACCGATGCGGAGGGCAACATATCCCAGCTTCGCAGCCCTTATCTGATCGCTGCGGACGGCAGCCACAGTGCCATTCGGGAGCAAATGAACATTAGACGTCAAGGTCGAGGGCCCATGCAGACCATGCGCAGTGTGCTCTTCCGGGCCGCCTTGGACGCATATACGAAGGGTGTACTACAGTTTACCATCGAGCAGCCTGACCTCAAAGCTTTCCTGACCACCTACTCGGATGGCCGCTGGGTTCTCATGTTCTACGACGACATTGACCGAGACGAGCAGGCCCTTCTCACCGAGATCCATAAAGCCATTGGGCGTGACGATGTTGCTGTTGAGTGATTACCACCGGCCGTTGGGAGCTAGCAGCTCTCATCGCAGACAGATTCCAGTCAGGACGGATCTTCATCGCCGGCGACGCGGCGCACACGTTGCCTCCTAACCGCGGGGGCTACGGAGCGAACGCGGGCATTCACGATGCAGACAATCTTGCGTGGAAACTGGCATCAGTGTTATCTGGCCAGTCGACCCCGGAACTCCTCGATACCTATGAACTTGAACGGCGTCTCATCGCACAACTCCGACATGACCAGATATTCGTCCGGTCCGATTACAAGATCCATCTGAACGAGCACGCGATCCCGGGTCAGAAACTGGACAATGACGCGATGGAATTCGGCGAGCTTTATGAGTCGAGAGGCTTCGTTGGTCTCAGTGACGACCTGCCCCCAGCGAAGAAGCCCGATGACTGGGCAGGCCAGCCGGGTACGCATATCCCCCATTTCTAGGTTGAGAAGAACGGGGGGGTCGTTTCGATTCAAGCGGTCATCGGAAGGGAGCACTGGTCCCTTGTTTCGGAGAATTGTGAGTGGAAGCAGGTTGTTGGCCGGGTCAATCAGTGGTCGAGTGTGTCGTTGGAGTGCCTTCACATTGGGGGTGACATTGATATTTCTGATACCCAGGTGTTTCGTCAAGCTATGGGGTTGTCCGATAAGGGTGCCTCTCTGATTCGACCAGATGGGTATATCGCATGGCGAACCACAGATATGCCGCCTGAACCGTCCAAGATTTTCTATGAAGTCCTCTCTCAGGTCTCATTTGCTAAAATATGATTGAGATCTTCGTGCTGGAATCCATCATGCTTCAGAGACTGCGGTAGTTCTGTGATCCTGATCGGAACCGAGGGACGCCCGAGCCCATGTACAAACTCTAAGCCCGCAAGTTGTCGGCTTGACTCCTCTCGGGCCCGAAAACCACACGGGACCGAGGTGTACCATGTCAACCCGCTAAGAATGAATCCGACCGTCCCACGTGCCTTCAGGCCTTCGACCTCATATTTAAGAGCACAGATGGCTTCTCTCTTGTATTGGCAGTGTACCAACTTCCAGCACGAATGCACATTCGCCGGGTGTCAAGATATTTCCGCTTTGGCAGCACTATATCATCAACATCGACCCCGTTGTTAAACTTATCCATGTGCCGACATTTCAGGCGCAGATTGTGCACGCCAGTGCTGATTCATCCCAAAACTCCAAACCCCTTGATGCCCTGTTATCTGGCATCTATTTCATTGCTGTTGTCTCCCCAGTTGACGAGGAAGCCCAGAACCTGTTGAGTGAGACTAAAGCTAGGCTTCTACTCAGATACCGCCCTTGAGCGGAGCAGGCACTGGTAAATGCCGGGGCTCATGAGAACCAATGAGCTGATGGTGCTCCAGACGTATCTTTTGTACCTGGTGAGTGATCGACGTGTGGCCTCAATACCGGAAAGCAGCTGATGGAAAACCCTGTAGTTCGGTGTGATGAGTTGCACTGACCCACGATCTTTGTTTTTTGTCTTACTGTTGACTTCATGTTCCCAGTGGGGTGGGGGCGGGCCTTCGACGGCCGAACTGGGCGATATAGAGCGCGACCAGCTCTTCTATTGACGCTTTGCAGATATTGGATCCACACCTGCGATGCGCACAAGGGAGAGCCTCTCTGGCTTTACTTGGTATACGTGGATGCATGTCCCAATGCCAGGCTGCCTGTTTCTTGCTAGCGAGTTGCAGCAACGCACCACGGGCGACTTATGCGAGCGCGCGTAGAAGGCGCTGTGCAGCTACTATATTAATCGGTCTCCGGACGGCGATATGCAGAACCCAGTGCATTTTGCGTCCTCGAATATGTTGCTCTCGGGCTGAGATGGACATGCGGAGGCTGAGCGGCGACAGGGACGTGTCAGGCAAGCTCCGGAACTGATTATGCGGCTGCGTCAACGTTTGCGCAAGAGGGCCTTCCGGTCTATCGCAGACAGACATACCCCCTGCCGCTGAAGTAGGTAGTGCTGAGGCCAGTCAGGAGCTGGATAGGTTACCACGGCAAAGTGTCGCCACAGAGTCCGGAACGGTTTCGAAATACCGATAGAGCGATGTCTGGACTGGTCTGCCAGAGGATACGGAAATGCACTGGACGCAGCTGCTGCAGTACGGGATGTTCGAAGGCTCTGGTTTCTGGTTCTTGGCTGGGCCTCATCAATGAAAAACGGCGGCTCGCTGTGAGCATCAACATCTTGCATACTGCATGACAACGTTAGGCACACTGTAGGCATCAACATCAATACAAACCTGTAGAGTAGACCTATCACCCAGGTAGGCGCCGAACGCCAAAAATGCGCTTCCAAGAGACAAAATGCTGTAGTTTTCTGCCACGCACTCGTGCGAGACGGCGCTATATCTAAGCAGGACTCTTACACCGCTCACTTCCAACACAAAGTAGAGTATAATCCAGTGCCATATCAGGCTGCGAACCCAGACCTGTCACATGCAGCCACGTGATGGAGCTTTACGCGTCCAATCGAGGATGAATCAATACTCCCGAATGTCTCAATCCAACTTACACAACGGCGGCTGTCAGGCATTGTGACTACCGGTGATCCACGACGATAGTAAGGAAGTGCTTGTGATTGAGTCTCGGGAAGTCCAGTCAAATGATTCAGTCTACAAAGTACAAACACCTGCATATCTCGCTCGGTGGGTCCCGAATCCTGTTGGTCTGGGCGTTGCTGATGCTTTCTAGACCCATTATACAGAGCCCAGTATACTCCACCAATCCTTCCTCCGGACCTTAAATCTCGAGCTGCGATGGCACGCAGACTCCGCGCCTCAAGTTCTTGAGAACAAATGTCCTGGCGCATCGTTGGGCTCCGAAGACCACATAGCCAAGATAATTACGCTATGTGACGAGCGCAGAATGCTCCGCGAGGGCCAAGGAGCAATATGGCTCCAGAGTTCCATTAGTTAAATCATTTACTGGGTGTGATTCCACTTGAAGGCCCAAACAAGTCGGTACTGTGAGACTCGAACTGGTCATGGATCTCCAATGACTCGATCGGCTTCGGAAAACCGGCACGGGCGGCAACCCGGACCGGCGTTGATTGGTTCGTGCCTGTAAGTTAATGGTCTTTCCTTTCCACCCATTACATGAATGTGTCGTCAATGTGTGCTTTTTCTATGGAGAAGTTTCTCCAGTTTGTGTTGAGTCTCCACCTCTCCATGGGGAATTTTGGATGACCCATGAGTTTACTCAGTATGGCAGTGAGCTCATCGGGATCTGGGGTAATTCCCGGGGATCTCAAGCAAAGCGCCAGCTCGGCACACTGAAGTTTTTGCTATGCAAAGGGACCTAACCTATCCTAGTGACATGGGTATCAAACGACTGAGACAACAACCTAGTTTACTGCAGCCCCTCCTGGGACCAGTGATAATGGGAAGATCGTCGAGTCATCCGGATTGCGATACCGGTGGTCAAGTAATTGAGAAGGTACAAATCTGTCGGCAGACTCTTATCAGCGCAGCTTGTCGCCCCACTCTCTTGTACCTCCCTCGCCAATCTTAAGCCTGAATTGTATTCCTGGGCCGAATCTGCAATGGTTTCCAGGGCCGCTAATTTTCAGAATGCAACCGTCCATGTCAATCCCACGCCTTCAAGAAGGCTAGCTCTCGCTCCATGTCGGGCCCTTCTGGACTTGATTTTCTCGAGGTTGCTGTAACAGACTCTTTACTAGCTATCTTCCAAGCTGGTCCCCTAGAGCTTTACTGGTCCAATGCTCAGGTGCTACCTATATGAGAGACATCATATCATAATTTATAATTGATACTGGAGAGGGTAGAGGGGCAGAATCGCCACTTCTCGAGAGCTCTGAAAAGACCTAAAACAGCTGTTATATTCTCTGGTCATCATCCTTATACATAATCACCGCGATCTAGAGGAAGTCTTCGAATCGATAGCCGAGACTCGCCTTTGTTCTCCTGGCTGTGTCAAGCCAGACTACGATGTCTTCTCCGCACAACCTTCCCCGGGATGTCGACAAGACCGTTCGACCCAGCGAGGAAGAAACCACTAGGCAATTTGCGCACTCCATTGCGGAGACAACGTCCTCGGAAGAGACAGTCGACCAAATCGAGGCTCTAGCCAACATCCAGACCAGGACCTCGCGCATCTCGATACCGTCATTAGTGCGGAAAGTGACATCTATCGGTACGACTGGAACAACCGACCCGAACTTTGAGGTCGACTGGGAGGATGAATTCGATCGGACAAATCCGAAGAACTGGACCCTCGGGTACAAGGCCATGGGAATGCTGTTCCTATCATATAACACGCTCATTATGTGAGTGACAGTCAGATTCCCTTCGTCGGCCACGTCTATACTGACACTCTTGACTCCCGATACCTAGCGTTCTCTATTCGACCTCGTACACATCTGGCATTTCTCTGATTGCTGCCGAGTTCGACGCTTCTACTACCGTGGTCACTTTAGGACTCACCATGTATCTTATTGGGCTGGCCATTGGGTCCATGTTTATGGCTCCATTGAGTGAGCTCTACGGCCGAAAACCCGTGTCTATCGGCTGTCTTCCAGTCTTCACTATCCTGATCATCCCCTGCGCGGTCAGTAAAAATCTGGCCACCTTGATCGTCTTCCGCTTCATTGGAGCGCTGTTTGGCAGTGTGATGATCTCGACGGCCCCTGGCATGGTTGCGGATCTTGCGCACGACGACCAGCGCGCGCTGGCCATGTCGATCTGGAGTATCGGTCCCCTCAATGGCCCAGGTATGTGCAGCTGTTCGGCTCAAGAGATGGGGATCAGAAAACACTGACTGGAGACTCAGTGATTGGTCCGATAGTCGGAGGGTTCGTGACGCAGTATTTGGGCTGGCGCTGGATGGACTGGATTGCTTTGATCCTGTCCGGCGTCGCGCTGATTTTCTCGTGCATTCTCAAGGAGACGTACGGGCCCATCATCCTTCAGCAAAAGGCGGCTCGTCTACGTAAGGAGACTGGGGAATCGCGTTGGTGGTGCCGTTACGATCAGAAGGCCAGTTTGAAGGAATTGCTGAAAATCAACCTAAGTCGTCCGTTTGTCATGGCCGTCACTGAGCCTATCTGGTAAGATGTCGCCCCTTTCTCGCACTTCTATGCGAAGTTGACCTAACGCATCGACAGTATCTTCTGGAACATCTATATCGCCATCGTCTACGGCATCCTCTACCTGTGCTTCACGGCTTACCCGATTGTCTTTCGCCAAATCCGGGGCTGGTCTCTGGGCCTGTCCGGCCTGGCCTTTCTCGGCATCGGCACAGGCTGCCTGATCACCATAGCTTGCGAGCCACTGATCCGACGAATGATCAACAGTCATCAGATCGACCCTGAAACAGGCAAGCCCCCGCCCGAGGCCATGGTCTCGATTGTCTGCATCTCGGCGCTTCTGATCCCCGCGGGCGAGCTCTGGTTCGCGTGGACCGACTCCCCGGCCTCGGTCCACTGGATTGTCCCGATTCTGGCGGGTATCCCCTTCGGTGCAGGCAACACGGGGGTGTTCATTTATGCGACGAACTACCTGGCGGGCAGCTACGGCGTCTACGCGGCCTCGGCCATGGCGGGCAACTCGGTCATCCGGAGTATCCTGGGCGGCGTGTTGCCCCTGGTGGGAACGTACATGTACTCGGGCATCGGGCCGCACTGGTCCGGGACGCTACTGGGGCTGCTGGAGGTCCTAATTGTTCCGATTCCGTTCGTATTCTACAAGTATGGGTACAAGATCCGCGAGAGGAGTACTCTCATCCGGCGGATGCAGGAGGACAAGAAGCATCTGGAATTGAAGCGGAAGCGGCAGTTGCAAAGAGGCGAGATGGCGGCTGTGACGGAGAAGATGAAGACGGAGGCTTGATTTGGAGAAAGGGCCTTTACCAGGCATAAGAAAATTGACCCAAGGCTTTAGGGTTGGGAAAAGTATTATACCCTTGTGAGATTCATGAAGAGACGAACTTCGGCATGACAAAATGGCATCAGCCAAACCTTAGCACGGTGTCTAGTATTAAAGCATAATTTATCCTCGCCGTGAGATGATTGCAATATTTAGGGCATCCGTAGCAGAGTACTGGACCATCAATATACTTAGGCACGAGCGTGCAATGAATCATGCATATTCACCTCAACTTAAACGACCCTTGATTCCGCCTGATGCGCCGTTCGACCTCCAACGATTCAGAGAGAATCCGCTCATACTCCCCGAGCTCCACAACCGCAGGGATCACCAGCACTGCTTCGATGCAGATGTCCGGGAACACACCGGCAGGGCCAAAATCGACAACCTTTCGTCTTCTCACATAGCCAAGCACATTCACCCACGCACCCACACGCAATTCCTCTGCCGTGACCGATTCCAGCACGGCATTGATGTCAACTAAGACAGAGGCTGGCTCCTGCGGGGGTTTACGGTGGGGGTAATTGTGCTCCAGCACGAGGTGACCCGTTGGTATCCGGTAGGATCTCACGCTAAAGGAGGTAAAATTAGCTTCGGAGATATAGATAAGAAGCTCTCATGGCGGCACGTACCAACCGAGGAATCGGACTTTGGTGTCCGCTTGAAGAGACGGAAGGTTGGAGAGGAAGCTGCGTATCGAAGGAAGGGGAGCATTCATCCTTTGAGAACGGCAACATCAGGAATCGGGCAGTGAAGGCATGACTGGTCCCGAGAGTTGTTGCTAATTAGTGGGAGGGTAGAGAGAGTATAGTTAGTGACTTAAGGTACTGAACTACCAGTGACTGCGGGAGATGATAGCAGCACGTGACATATACCCCTCGATAGGCTTAGCGCCCCATGTCATCGGGAACGAGGGGAAACTGGTGGAAACCAGGCGGAGGATCAACTCGTTGCCTTCTCTTGCTCTCTACTCTCTCTCTCTCTCTCACTGCATCTTTCTGGTTTCGAATCTCGCTCTTGCTTAGTCTTCTGGTCACCATCAGTAGACCCGCATACTCACCCCCCAGTCTTCTCACGCCAATCACACAGACCCGATCTGGTGAGATCCACCTGACACCAGCCATCGCCTTGCGACTTCATCCCACCTTAAACTCCCTCGACCGCCTTCCATCACCACTCTCCGAGGATACCTCACCCCTCCTTCCAACAACCCCTCCTCTTCAGCTGTGATACTGCGGGCTGGTGTGCAACGCAGACCTTCGCAGGGAATCCCCCTTACCACGCACACTTCAGATCTCCCCACTCATACTCACATACCGACCTTATCAACAATGTGGTCCTGGTTCGGCGGCGCCGCTGCTCAGAAGCGGAAAGATGCGCCCAAGGAGGCGATCCTCTTGCTCCGTGAGCAGCTGGACATGCTCCAGAAGCGCGAGAAGTACCTTGAAAGCCAGATGGACGAGCAGGATGCAATTGCAAGGAAGAACGTGACGACGAATAAGACCGGTATGTGTGTGTCGTTTTTCTTTTGTTGTTGTTGTTGTTGTTGGTGGTGCGCGGGGTGGTAGTGCAGCACAACGGGGACTAATCATTCGAACGTTTAACACAACGCAGCGGCTAAGAACGCCCTCCGACGGAAAAAGAACCACGAGAAGAACCTCGAGCAGACGACGGCGCAGATCGTACAGCTGGAACAGCAGATCTACTCCATCGAGGCGGCCAATATCAACCAAGAGACTCTGAATGCTATGAAGGCGGCTGGTGCGGCCATGACGCAGATTCATGGTTCGATGACTATTGATAAGGTTGATGAGACGATGTATGTGATTCTGGGGGCGAAGTATTGTTATGTTGTGGGGAGGGGGCGCGGGCGCATGGAGCTAATTCATCGATGTTTGGGACTACAGGGACAAACTCCGCGAACAGCACCAACTCAGCGAGGAAATCGCTCAGGCTATTACAAGCAACTCCATCACCGAACAACCGGACGAGGCAGATCTCGAAGCGGAGCTCGAGGGCTTGGAGCAGGAGGCTATGGACGAGCGCATGCTCAAGACCGGCACCGTACCTGTCGCGGACCAGCTCAATCGGTTACCCGCCGCTGCCAACGGAGAACGTAAGTCTCCCATCTCTTTCTGCCTGATGATCAGCAATCCTCTTTCTCCTCCGAAACAATACTAAACCCGCTCTAGTCAAAACCCAACCCGCACACACCGAGGAAGAAGACGAGGAGGCGGAGCTGGAAAAGCTTCGTGCCGAGATGGCCATGGGATAAACAGGGGTTCTGGGCGCTGTGCACCCCTTCTTGCTTCCTTTATACCTTGCCATCATCTTTTCTCCGAATTAAATACATTTGGTCTTGTTTGCCATTTGCGCCGTGTTTGTTTTCTTCTCCGTTTGTCTCGTGCTGGATCTTACACCTCTACCTCTCTTTTGCGTCTTGGAGTTGAGCCGCTTTGCGCTGCCTTGTCTTTCTTCTCGCAACACTACTACTACTACTACTACCTACAACAATCGCATGATGGAATGAATGAATCAATGTCTAACTAGATCTTCCTACTGTCATTCAAGGACTGATTCTACTTGGAAGCAAATGTACCCTGCTCAGCTGATTAGGTGACCAGCAAATCGTCAACCACCATGGTCCCCAAAACAAAGATAAGCCTAATCACTACCATTCGGAAGGCAGCCATTGTCCCCCACGAACACTAGGGACTAGCAGATCAAGCCGCGCGAGAAAACGCACAGAGATAAGAAACACCTCGAGAAAGTGGGCAACTCCCAGGAAGGCTCTGAGCAGGACCGATAATGGATACCAACTTGCAGAAGGAGGAACAGGGCGCGGTAGTGGTGTCCTAGCTAAAAATGCAGTGGCCGTCATCGGCTGCCTAGCTTGTAGGCAACAGTCAGAGTTATACTTACCTACAGAGTCCTTTTCAAGTCGGTTCGGTCTTACCCACTTTGACTTACTTCGATCCAATTGAACCTTGTTCAATGTATTATGGTCATACCCATACCTATCCTAGGCAATGTACTAATGACCCAAGCGCCTCCTCTATTTGGAAGTGGAAGTCAAGGATAAGCAAGGCAGACGCATATTGAGTCTAAGACATAAGGCAGAGCCATAAGTCAACCGCGTGGGCTAAGTTATAACCCAACTACCATACACCTACGATCATCTTGGTAGCTTATACGATAAGCTAAGCAGTCCTATTGCCCAGCGACTTTCATGGTGATATCGAAGGACTACTACTAAGGTAAAGCTCGAGCCCGGGTCCGGTCTAAGGTACCTCGGTACTTGAACTCGCAGGTGTTTTGAATCAGGTACATCCGCATCTCTATATTCTTATTCAATAGTATTGTGCTCTGCTTCGATTTCTGTTCTGGAGACATACCAACCACGCAGTCCATAATAAGAAAGAAAGATGGGGAGGGATACAACTAGAGCCGGGATCCTCAGGTCTTGCCCCTCTGAAAATCTGAGTGCCACTCTTCACCCACTGATTACTACTTTAACTTCAAACAGTTCTCTGGTGTCTATCTGTCGCCCCTAACGTACAGTTTGTCTAATTTGGCGGAGAGGGACTGATTGCGGAGACTTAGTAGTAATGTAATTTAATGTAATTAAGCTACCCGGACCCTTTTTGGAACCAGACAGGCTGCTTCAGAGAAACTAGATGGTCGATGATGTGATTGGGTCGAGGCTGGAAAAGAGTGGGTAATTGTGGTTTGGGGAAGATGCATCATCCCATATGTAACTATAAGCCTCGACGGCATCAGCCACCAGCCAAGATTCTTGTCCCAGCCAACAACAGAGCTAGTGCTAATTCTTGCCTTGTCTGGCACACAAGTATTTGCTGCTACAAGGTTGCCGTATCAATGGAGGGAAATGAACGTCAATTCGAATTCTATGCGGGTCATGGAATAAAGAAATGGACAGACATCACGTCGACGCATCTTGGTCTACGCCAGAGCATCTCCCAGAAGCATACCTTACGCAAATAGATCCTCTAGCTATCCAAGGAACAAGAGTATCACAGACTAAGGCGACGCAAGTCAAGCTCCAGCCATCAGATTAGATAAACTATTAATACACATTTCATGTCCCAATTGATCGATGGACTTAAAATCGAAAAGCGCCAACTCCAAATAGAGAAATCTCTTTTGCAGCAAGAGAACAACAGAAAAGAAGAAGAAAAACAAAAAACAAAAAAAAAACCATCCATAAGAACGCGTGACCTGACACCTCCGCCCCTGTGCCGAATAGATCGATTTCCTTGAATGAAAAGGATGAACATATGGAAATGTGAGTATACCGGTAAAAGAAGACGCCGTTGCATGATTTGCATGATCAGTAATCGAGAGGAACGTTTATCGTAATACCATTCATCCGTCCCCATGGCAGCGCCTTGCAGTGCGATGCAAAATTACTGGGCGTTTCCATTTCTGCCTTGCCTGCAGGGTCGGTCATGGTAAGGAAAGAAGAAACGCGCACATCAAGGGAACCAGGCATAGCTCTTGAGCGGATTGCTACGAGCTCCGTCGGTGGCCTCGCTGCCCCATTTCATTTTCCACTGCAACTCACTGGCGGCAGCGTCAAGAAGAGCTTCCTGGCAATCAGAGGGGAGTTCCGCGAGGATTTCGGGGCTCATGAACTCGGCATGCGTTGGATCGGCAACGCTGAGGAATCCATTGGAGCCGACGTCGTGCACGTCTCCGTCCGGACCGGGTATGCCGAGGTTCGAATACGGAGCAGCCTCGTAACGAACATCGTGAATGGCAAAACGACGCGACAAGGCCATGGGGACGGTGGAGAAAATGGTGGTCGGTTCGGGGTCGGTGGGCTCGGCTGCTGTTGCCGCGTCGCTAACTTCTTTCATCGATTCATCGACTGGCTGCTCGGCCGGAACGGTTGGCTCACTGGTGTCTTGGCCATTCGTCAATCTAAGTGTCGACATGCCCTGCGCCAGTCGACTCGCAAGACGCGGGTCAGGAGGCGGTACACGCTCCCAGCGAGCATGAGAGGGCTGCATAATCTTCGGGTACTGCATGATGTTGGTGTGGATGTCATATTGGCCTTCGAGGTTCATGCGACGAGCCTGAGAAATAAGGCTGTTGAAGTTGCTGTATCCATGTAATTAATATTGGATGAGTAGGCATTACCAAGGGACACACATACCTTGCCTCGCGAGCGTGCTCAAGCATCCAATTGTCGCCCGTAACTGTGACCTTGCGCTTCTTTGAATCCACAACCTTACCAGTGGGTAAGGGGGCTGCGGGTGTGGTAGTGTGGTAGACGCTACTGGCTCCATGCCAGGCAACATACTGGTTCTTGTTATAGGGTTCTCCCGGGGGAGGGAGTCTATCCTCGGGAACCGCAAGCTCACCCTCCACATCTCCCCGTTCTCTTGCTGCCTGGGTATGATAATCGTCGATGACCTTTCTTCCCCCGACAATGATTTTGGCGCCGAATTCGCGGAATACGGACCTGGCGGTGACCACACCGATAGCTCGACCTTTGTACGAGTGGGGAATGATCTCTCTTTCAATCAAGTCGCGCTTGGCGTCGTCGTCGATGATGATCTTATACAGAAACTTGTGTTTCTGAAAGAACAGGTACGAATCCCTAAAGCCAATGCAGCGAGCCGGCTCGGTGGACAACATGTACTTCCGATCGCCACGGTTGAGGAGTGTGAACACACGGACCCTGTAATCTCGGCCACCCAGTAAATTTCCACACTTGTCGACCTTGGTTTCACCCTCCGGATCGTCGGGCAGGGCTACTTCATCATCGATGACATCCATCATGTTTCCTTCCTTATCAATTGGAACCTGCGTGACATGCGACGGTCCCCGATTACGCGCCCAACGTCCACCACTGGCAGCAGGCCGTCCTCGTCTTCTCTTGACTGGCGTGCTCACATGGATGGGCGGCGCGGATCCGTCGTCCGGCGCATCCCAATCTGGGGGACGATTCTTTGGGGGGCGACCTATGCGACGCTTTCGCGGGATAGCTGACATGCGACCACCAGTGCGCGTTGGAGTCTCGCCTCGTGATGGCGCGTTGGAATCTTGTGCAGGTGTGGCGGCTTCCTCGTCTTCCTGAGCAGGCTCTGTTGGGCCTACCATATCAGGGTCTTTATCCGACGCATCCCCGGGATCTTCCATGGCAGGAGAAGAGCCGCGCGACGGCGGCGCTTCAATCATCTCTTCGTCAGAGGCATCGGGAAGCGGAGGTGCGGCATTTCCTAAAAGGAAATCAATGATCGCGCTCATCAGTGATTCGATTTCGCGCACGGCTTGAAAAGCAGCAACAGAGGCGGAGTTTTGAACAGGGATGCAAAGGAGATCATACTCATAGATTGAGCTGCGGCTTGGGCAGCCGCTCGAAGTTTGCGGGCCATCGAGATTGACAGCGACTGTATTGAAGACGGATAGGTAGGAGGGAACTGGAACGGCACGCCAAACACAGTAAGGGCAGATCGCTCTGGATGTTCCTTTCCGCGGCATCGGACTTTTGGTTTGACCGAGAATCAGTATAGTCACGTGAAACAGCCTTCTGCCTCAGGCAGTAAGATGTTTCTGCCTTAATCACGTGCCCATTTCTTTCTTGCTGTTCCCTGCTCCCCAATTCCCCTTCTTCCACTCTCTCCCCACTCTCACTGGCGCGATCCAATTGACAAGCATCGCTGCAGAATGATGTCATTGCCCCTATTGCCCGACGATCGCCGACCCTCAACTAATTCACATTGAGTTCTAATTTTCCGGAAAACCTCCCTTATAATCTATCCACGCGGTTGCAATTGACATTTCGGGATTCCCCCCATGTGTTGCAGCATCAGTACGCGGGATTTTCCGAGGATAGTAAGAGGTCGGCTCTGTAACAGATGAGCAGGTCCAGGAAGCACCGCATACTGCTGGTCAATGAAGGCTTGAGCGACCACTGCACCTAGGGGCTATCGCGATAAGACTAGCACAGACATCATTGGCATTGACTGACGTACACCTACTGAGTGTTGTCTGCTCTCCATTCCTTCCAGCTTCACATGCCGCGAGGAAAAAGGCGGTGGGGGATATCTTTTCACTTTTTTGGGGGCTTCTGGCACCTACTGTGATGAAACCCCTCTTTCTCTACCCTCCAACTCCAGCGCCCACCCCCACTATGATAGGGTGCCTGTGCTCCGCACTGTTAAATATCAGATGCACCTTTTTTTGAGGAACCGACAATCTACCCTCGTGCCAGAGCTGAAGGCGATCGCATAGACCACTATCATCGGTTGAGCGGTGCGGTTTACTCCGGGGCGACTGCGTGTGGTCCGGCGATCGCGCTTACACAGCTCTGCTGCAGGTGACCGGCCTCACTGATCACAGGTTGCCCTTGCCGCCCCAAGCTACTACCTAGATCGCCAACCGTTACTGTCGACAATGGGCTGCGTAGCAGGATTTTGGACTAGAACCCGGGTGGAAAAAAGCATATCGGTATTCCTACATGAATCAATCCCGTGTTATTGGAGGCCGCTCTTCCAACAGCTTCGTTCTGATCCGCGGGCGACAGCTGCAGCTGTTTACTTCCTCCTTCAAGACAAAGTCAACAACAAGGCATTATGGAGGGATCTCCCTGGACCGCGTTAAGCCAAAAGTTAAACTGGCCGTCTGGGTCTCGGCTGTCACTGCCGTCGAACCAGCTCTCTGAGGTTGCCTATCTTGCTCCGCTCTCCCACGACTTTCTGTGGTGATGACGCGCGAAGTTCGGTAGCTTGCACTAATAGATAAACATTGTATTGCGGGCACACTGTGTACTGTACAGCGGCCCTGAACCTGTGAGGCGCGCATGCAAGGAGAGATCCCGTTAGTTTCCGTATGGTTCTTCATCATCAATCATTGGTATTGATTCTGTCCTAATGGGGGCAAGGAAAGAGGCTGTCTGACTAAGAGATTAGGATTGGGCGGGAGGGTCTGAGGATGACACATCTAGAGCGAGACTCGACATTCATGGCTTGTGAAATGCGAGCTGACGGCTATACTACTCCCGAAATAGATTCAATGTATACTGCAAATGCAGCGTAACCATCATCTCAGCCCGCAAAGCTATGTTCTCTCTCATCTGAGGTAATCCGGCTTTCACCGCGAACAACACGAGCTGGAAATACTCCGCGAGAGTGATGTCACAAATCACATCCCTTATCTATCTGCAGCACGGTGAGCCGATTTCCGATGGCTGCTACGGTAAGGGGAATAGTGACAGCCAAGGCAACCAATCTACCTCATTACATAGGAAGCGAGGCATTCCGAACGAGGTGATCGGTGTCCACTCTCCAGTCCGGTCGAGAGCTAGGGAAGTAAATACCTTCGAGTATTCCATAGACGACTATCCAAAGGTGACAGTGGTGATGAAATGTCACAGCTCCTGCAGCTCAAGTGGATAGCATCATCACCAGCCAAATGATCGAGTCACCCACCCATTTTTCCGCGGAGAACTCTCACTCAATTTTAGCTATTTTCGAGAGCCTGCGTTGATGGTCGCTGGTCGCCGAGTGACCCCCCCACCTTGTTGCGCTTCAACAGAGTTGGTGGTGGTGGTGGTGGTGGTGGCGGGCGGACATATCCTGCGGCAGTCCTCAATTGTAGAAACTCAAGCTCGGCGCTTAGCGGGTAAGCTGAGAAGCTGGGGTAATAATAAGGATATTGCTTGGGCTAGACTTTCTGTATCGCGGGGGCCGCTGTCAGATGGTGTTGCCCAAAAAATGAAGTACCCCTACTTCCATGGTTTGATGGAGGAAAGGGGGAGAAGGAAAGCGGGATCCAAGGACTGGTCAAGGAACAGATGGAAGATCGATCGTATGAAGATCTGAAGTGATAGGTGACGAGTTGTGGTTCAAAATGATCTCCTTACCGGTCAACATCCGATCACAGGCAACCCAGATAGAGAGGAGAATAGGCAGACTTTGGAGAATGCCCGGTTCTGCCCATTTACCATGAGGTGACGCTCACCGGGCGGAGGATCAGTCATCATCCGTCTTCCCAAAGAGTTAAGAGGCGAAATCATTCTGGATGGAGGGATGGATGCTACAGAGTACTCCGGGTGTTTGCAGTGGCTGCACATCATCAGATCTGCTTAGTTTTATAGAGTCATCAGCGGCGCCGCTTGAAGCTGCTCTTGCTGCTACTTCGGTCTGCTTTGACCGGACAATAAACCGTCGGGGTCCATATTTATCTTCAAATGATCCCCTTCACTCTTCCTTGCTCTCTTCCCCGATGAGTATGAATTGAGATTGGATTTCTTGCCTGCTTGCTTCCATTCCCTCGGTTTCAGGCCCCCATTTTTAAACTACCAACGCAGCCATTGTTCTGGGTCCTTTATTTCTTGACCTCCTTCAGCTGCCTGTATTCTTTCTCTACTCACTATTGCCATCATTACTACGACTTCTACTTCTACTTCTGTGACTATTATCACGGCTTTTTCTTCCTCGCCCAGCGATTCCCCCAACCCATCTCAGCCATTCCCGCAACACCTGGCGGTAATACCTAAAAGGACCATGATGTTGCTGCCCTGCGAGCTGGTTTGTGGTTGACTTCACCAAGTGGCTCCAACCCCAACCCCCCGATCCCAACTCTCGATTTGTCCAAGCCACCGCCATCTCCACTTTGCGCGAGACCATTCGCCTAGATCGTCTGTGATTTGTTCCTGAGTCCCCCAAAAGGTGGCATTTGCCCCCCATCGACTTATCTACTCCTGCTAAGACAACTCTGCATTACGGAGGAAAGTACAAAAGTAGGTGCAAGAGTTGTGTTTCATTATTGCCGTTCAACGGCCCCTGGACTATAAGCCTTGTTGCAAGCCAGCGAACTTTCAGCATATATACATTATTCATGACTCCTTCACGATCCCAAACTCCTTCCTCCTTCCAGCTTCCCTCATAGTTAACATGCATGATCGGTTATTGTCTTGTTCTTGATCTATCTCCTCTCGAACCCCTCCCATACTCCTACTAGGACATTGCCATCACAAATGTCTGCTTCGACTTGTCATTGAATGCGATATACTTCTTTTGCGACCACTGCACGACTATTACTTCTTTCATCTTCAAGGACGGAGATCCTCTGGTTCGTGGTTTTCCCTCACCATTGGTTCAATCATCTCCCCATCACCCAGCCCATGCCATGCCTTCATGCATAATTTCGAAGTTCCCTCCCCATTGATTCCCTACAAAGTCCCCTGATCCATCCAGCGGCTTCAGCGGCACCTTGAGTCTATCTCCGGGGGGCGTTTAGATTCCCGTTTTCTTTTTCCGTTCTTTTTTTTTCATTTATTTTTTCTTCTTCGGGAGACTGCATGAACGCCACCATCCTCTCTCCTTCCACACTCATCAACTTCCTAATTTGCCAGATGCTTGAAAAGATTTGAAAAGAAGATGAACCATGAAAGATCTCTCTCTAACATTTGATCTGTTTGAGGTTTTTGCACAGGATATATAGATCATCAATCGGACGGAGCAGCAATCTTTCCATTGAATTCATCCATTTACCTACCGGCTACCTACCGCCTACTTACCTACACCCTGAGTCAATTCCCACTCACCGAACCCGCTATCCGCCGGTGTCCGCCCGCCATTTGTCCATCTGGGCCTGATTGACGCTAAGGCTCCATTCTGCAACCCACATTGACGACGATTGTAAGTTCCAATGGTCCATCTTCCTCGTGCCTTGTCCTGTCTTTCCCTCACTTTCACTGCTCGTCGCCCCTAAAGAGAGAGTATCATTTGAAAGAGAGAAGAGCGTAAAAGGAACGAAACGATCTCATTGAGTTTTCCCTCTGGGCAATCCAAACCAATTTTTTTTCGTTCTTCCTTCTCCGTCTCTCCGTCTCTGCCTCTGCCTTATTTGCCCCCCTCTCCCTTTACCACTACTGAGTACCGACCCAACCCTACCCTACCCATTTCCCTTCCCTCCAGCCCCCCCCCCCCCCCCCCCCCCCCAAAAAACCACAGTTTCCACCTCATTTTCCCCCTAACCTGCGCCTGACTTCATCCGCCTCCGCCTCTTTCAACATTTTTCCTCGATCGGATCCACTTCTGGTTCTTCTTGTCTTTAACAACTCCCTTTCACCCAACAGGCCATTCAATCCCGCCCTCTCTATCTTCTACCCCTCTCTCCTGCCTTGTCGCCTTGTTGTCCGAACCCGATCGGATCCAACATCCCGCAAAATTCCCTTGGGTATACTTACAACAGCACACCTACCCGGCTACATTCTTGAGCTAGATCTTCTTCAACCACATTTTTTTCTTTTCGGAAAAAAGATTTCTGGCTTGTGAACCCGCCTCGCCTCAATTCACCACCCACTACGTCATTCATCGCGTCGCAACCTCCAGACCGACGATCTTTTATTTCGGTGCGCTAGGCGGAGGACCTGGTTGTCGGATGGAAACATAATCATGGCTACTGCTCAAAGTGCAACCCAGTCGCATGGAGATGCGGAAATGTTGAAGCAGCCCATACCTCGGAGGTGAGTTTATCACTATGGATTTTTATTCCGCCACCGGTTGTTGGTTTCGATCGCGATGTGATCTACCAAGGTTCGGCGGTATACCCCGAACCTGAGGACCTTACATGCCGTGCTCATGCCTTGCACGATACTTATCGTCCGGGTAATATTGCATGCATCATGAGTCAACCGCAGTAGGCCAATGTTGCCAAGTCTGGTCGTCTTATCGCTGTGGCTCATATCTGCACGGTCTTGAATTTTCTCCCATGTCGTCTTTCTCGCTTTTTGTTTTTGGTCATTTTCACGGCACTCTGCATATTCATTGCTATTCGTGTCGCAGCCGGTTCATTCAATTATGTGTTCTTCGTGGTGGCTAATCAAGTTAACAGCAGCGGTGTGCAAGAGGAAGACAACCAAGATTCGATCGGTTCGAACAGCCCGACACCAACCGGAATTGCGACTCCACAGCCCGATCTAGCAGATAAGCGTCTGCCCTCCCTAAGCTCCAGTTACTTCCAGGTTGGTTCTCCCTCAAACAATAACACGCGTCGTCCCAACACCCGGTGTTCTTCTTCTGAGACTCGTGCTTCCGCATTTTCTTTCCAGTCGGAATTGTCCGCTGAAGGAAGTCGGGATTCTCGAGTTTTTGGTCACAATTCCTCCCCTTCGGACTCCTTTGTCATGATGGAGCGCCCGGAGGTTATGGACACCAAGTTATCTGTCGCTTCGCCGGATCAGAATCTTGAGACGAATATGATAATACCAGAGACATTGCCCCCCACCAACCTACCTACACCCCCGTACCACTCCGCTTGTTCCCTTTTGCAGAAAGAGCCGGATGAGACTGGATCTGGCTCCTTTACCTCGGAGAGAGGCATGAGTTCCATTTTCAATACATTGAAGAACTATCTCTCGCCCGCCGGGAGCATGTCTTCTTCTGAATCTCCAGCCCGTCGTCATACCTCTCTGCCAGTTTCCAGCGTCTCTGGCGACCCAGTCCTTGCCACACACTTCTCCAATCCCTCCCTCCCTCCTTACATGTCAGATGCCCTCTGTTTGGCGGATGCCCCTCTCCTCGCACACGAAAAACCACCCGTCTCTATGTCCTCTGAGAATCTGGCGAAGCTAACTGGAACCGTGTCGGATCTTGTGCGCTTAAAGAACACACCCCCACTCACCCCACGGGCCATGTCCAACGACGGCTCGCAATCCGACAAGAAACCGGTCACATCGTCTCCTCCGACATCAAACCCCGTACCAGCTCAGTCCGGAGATGAAACAAGCTCAACGGACGAGCTTGCAGGGAAGCTCAATGACGCCTTCCCCCCGGAGAGAGATACCCCGTCGCCGCCCAATGGCCCGCCCGTGGCCCCACTGAAGGGGAAGTTATTTGTCAAGATTTCTGAAGCTAGGGGATTGCGACCCGGATTTGACCCTTATGTTGTATGCGTCTTTGAATGGAACGAAGCGATTTCGAAGAGTGCCCAGGAGGAAGAAGACGCATCGCTTGAACGGCAGCAGAAGGAGCAAGAGAGTCTCGAGCCCGAAGCAGGACGACCGATGGCGATCCCGATGAAAAGTCGGCAGAGTAGCAATAACAGTGCGCTAGACGGTCCTGATCACAGAGGTGGACGGGCTCCCGTGACCGACCCTCATTGGAACCACGAAGCTACCTTGTAAGCTCTTCCTTCGCGCTCGTCATGGTGGTCCTTACCGCCAATATCTGAACCATTGCTAACACCATTGTGTAGCGACGTGTTTGGCGATGAATCGGAGATCGATGTGTCGGTCTATGATCGGAACAACCATGAAGATTTTCTCGGTCACGTGCGACTATGTATCAATCTCATGGAGGATAACAGTCGCCTCGAAGGATGGTTTCCCTTGGCTTCCCGTGGTGCGGGTGACTCTCAGGTATCCGGAGAGATTCACCTGGAGATGCACTTCGAAAAGACAGAAAGAAAACAGGTGGGCCCCAACGATTTCCAGATCCTGAAGCTCATCGGCAAGGGAACTTTCGGTCAGGTATATCAAGTCAAGAAGAAGGACACACGCCGCATCTATGCTATGAAGGTTCTATCGAAGAAGGTCATCATTCAGAAGAAAGAGGTTGCCCACACTCTAGGTGAGCGCAACATCTTGGTACGGACAGCCATGGCCGCTTCACCCTTCATTGTTGGACTCAAGTTCTCTTTTCAAACCCCTACCGACCTATACCTGGTAACGGATTATATGTCTGGTGGCGAACTTTTTTGGCATCTGCAGAAGGAAGGACGCTTCCAGGAGGCGCGTGCCAAATTCTACATTGCCGAGTTGATCTTGGCCCTGCAGCATCTACACGACCACGATATCGTATATCGGGACCTCAAACCGGAGAACATTCTTCTTGACGCTAATGGCCACATTGCCCTCTGTGATTTTGGTCTGTCCAAGGCCAACCTTACTCAAAATGACACCACCAATACGTTCTGCGGAACAACCGAGTATCTCGCTCCGGAGGTACTGCTTGATGAGCAAGGCTACACCAAGATGGTCGATTTCTGGTCTCTTGGTGTTCTTGTCTTCGAGATGTGCTGCGGTTGGAGTCCGTTCTATGCTGAGGACACCCAGCAAATGTACAAGAATATCGCCTTCGGCAAAGTCCGATTCCCTCGTGATGCTCTGAGTACGGAGGGCAGAAACTTTGTGAAGGGCCTACTGAATCGGAATCCCAAGCACCGTCTTGGTGCCAAGGGCGACGCGAAGGAGCTTATGGCCCATCCCTTCTTCGATGATGTTGACTGGGAGGCCTTGGGTCGCAAGGAGGTGATCCCTCCTTTCAAGCCTGTCCTTAAGTCTGACACGGACACCTCCAATTTCGACCCCGAATTTACCAATGCTCTGGAAAACAACAACTCCCTGAATGACCGCGCAGCTGCTCTGGCCAATGGATTGATGCCTGCGGGGACGCCGCTGTCCCCAGGCCTGCAGGCCAATTTCAAGGGATTCACCTTTGTAAATGAGAGCTCGATCGACCACCACTTCAAGAACGACACGGGTGACCACATGGTTGAGGACCCCGAGACATGGCCACGAGCCCAACAGGTGTCCAGCAACCACATGGACCACCGCATGAGTGGCGTTCAGAGGACGGGCGACGCCGGCGAGCCTGGGATCTTCAACGTTGACGACAATTTCGACATGTGATAATGGGCTTGATGCATGGAACTGGAGTTGTGATTTTGATTTTCTTGCTTTGTACATGCTTCTATGTCTGAGGCCGGAATAGGCTGCATAGCCCGAATTCCTCTTTTGATCAGGCTTGTTTCACGAATCTTCTTTCTTAACGCTTCTCGTTTTCCTTTCTGTGAGTACTTCCTTCTGGGAACATCATGCTGTACCCACACAGCGGCTTTTCTTTTCTGTTTCTGCCCCTCTGCCTATTTAGCTTGTTTCTGATCTTCTCCAGCTTGTTGAATGGATAGATGGTTGGATGATAATACTCATGATTGATCGAGCTCTGGTTTGTGAGTAGGAGTTGCGGTTTTCAAGGCCCTAGTATCTTGTTGGGTGATGGTGATCCATTCACTTGAGACATACCAGTTGCTATGGCCTGCGGATATTGCATTGCTGGATGATCTAAGTCATGGATTTTCTTTTTTCTCTTTTTCTCTCTGGATGCTCTCTGGTTATGGCCGTTTGTGGCCCGTGTCCATGAAGTCAAGTTCATTGCTTCAATTTGTTCTTCCTTCCAGGAGTTGGTTTGGACAGAGTCGAAGAGATCATGCTATGGCGTTCACTGTCCGAGCAGCATGGCGCAGTAATAGGTCGTGTGCTTTGCTTCTTTGCTTGATTGGGCTAAAGCTAGGCTAGAGCTGTTTTGTCTCCGAGGCATTGCATGTGCATAATACAATAAAATACCTGATTGTTAGATGGATGATTGCTAACTGTCTGTGCCTGAATAATGCGCTTTGATGGTCTTGAAAGCAACCCAGATCCACGTGACGGGGACCCTGGCCCACAGAATGCTTGGTGTGCCTGGAACATCCTTTGCAGGGGTTGTTTTGCCTTCTCACTCATCGACCTACTCTTCCCCGCCCGACTACGGAATGCTGCCCCGTGCTCCCTCCATCCCTCTCCCCGATGATAACAAACAGCAACTTTCACTCATTGCCAACCAAGCTACTCCCATCTCCCCCTGAGCATCACTCTACCCTGGGCAGAATTCGACAAGGGCATCTTCGCCGTCTTGCTGCGCGGGGTTGGATGGTGGATGGTGCATGCCTGATTGAGCCTAGTTCCGGATGATGACGGGCTGATCAGAAGCACTTTATGTCACCTTCTGGCCTGCAGCTGCCGCCAACAGTTTCCTTTTCCACCACTACTCCCTGCGAGAGGTTGCAAAAGAACCCTGCTGTGGCGTACATATTCAATATCCTCCCCCCAAATTGTCCGGTCATGCGCAGTCCCAGTCCCTGCCTCGGTTTGTTCTGAATGAAAGTAGCTGATAAGAACCCCTGTTCCCTGGTGATGAGGGTCAAGTTTCCGGATGTGACGCTTGCTCCAATTCTCTCGACTTTATACCCATCACCATGGCGAATATCAAGCTTGGCTTAGCACTCGCGGGCAGCTTAGCGACTGCACTTGTCGTGCTGCAACTGTTCCTGCTGATTAGTGACTCCAACGTCAATCAGCCGGTCAGGGTTCAGTCCCGACTCCAGTGGAAACAAAGGGCACCCACAGTATCTTCGGCGACTTCGGCATCCTCTGCCGCGGAGAATGGGACCTTTCTACTTGGCGCAGGAAAAGCGGATATCACGGGGTAAGAGTTGTTGCAGTCCATATGCCCATCACGCGAGATCACTAATTGGCTTGATGTAGGCCTGTGGCGGAAGTCATCTTCAACGGCTATGCTAGCTTGGATCAGGTCGGCACGGGCCTTCGACAAAGGATTTACTCCCGCGCGTTTATTATCGCGAACCCGCAGAACACAAGTGACACCTTCATCTACCTTGTACTAGATGCCTTGACGGGCGACACTGCCGTGCGGCACGGTGTGCTTGAAGGCCTTGCGGCCCTAGGTGGAGAGTATACCAGATATGGAGAGCAGAATCTGGCTCTCACCGGTACTCACTCCCACTCGGGCCCCGGCGCGTGGATGAATTACCTTCTTCCTCAAATTCCAACCTTGGGCTTCGATAAGCAGAGTTATCAAGCACTAGTAGACGGGGTTCTACTCTCTATTCAGCGGGCCCATGAAAACCTAGAGCCTGGGTCTCTCAGCTTCGGGTCTATTGATCTCGAAGGGGCAAACATTAACAGGAGCCCCTATGCCTATGATGCCAACCCTGCAGAGGAGAAGGCCAAATACACTTCAAACGTCGACAAAACGTTGACACTTCTGAGATTCGATAGAGCGTCTGACAGCAAGACAACGGCAGTGTTGTCTTTCTTTCCGGTTCATGGAACTTCCATGTATGAAAACAACACATTGGTCACCGGAGACAACAAGGGCGTGGCTGCGTGGCTGTTTGAAAGGAGTGTTCAGGGTGATGATAGCTTTGCGGATGGGTTCATCGCTGGTTTCTCTCAGTCTAACGTTGGTGATACCAGCCCAAATGTCCTCGGAGCATGGTGTGAGGACGGCTCCGGAGAGCAATGCAAGTACTCAGACAGCACTTGTGGGGGGAAACCCGTGGACTGCCATGGTCGCGGGCCCTACTTCACAGAAAAAGACAACGGTGCGAAAAGCTGCTTTGAGATTGGGCGGCGTCAGTATGAGGCTGCGAAAACCTTATACAGCCAGCTGGATACTAGCCCAACGAAAATTGTGCCTAGCGAGGTCCGCTCATTTCATGTCTACCGCGACATGTCGAACTATACTTTCCAGTCTCCTTTCAACTCGAGCACTTTGACTACCTGCTCAGCAGCGCTCGGGTTCTCATTTGCCGCCGGCACTACCGATGGGCCGGGCTATTTTGATTTCACTCAGAATGGTACTGGACCCGCAGAGTCCAATCCTTTGTGGTATGTCGCCCGCGCATTCGTTCACCAGCCGTCAGCGGCGCAGCAGGCATGCCAGGCGCCCAAGGACATCCTACTTGACGTCGGTGCTGTGACACAGCCGTATGCCTGGACGCCCAACATTGTGGACATCCAAGTCCTCCGGGTGGGCCAATTGTTCATCATAATTTCGACAAGTGAGGCGACTACAATGTCTGGTAGGCGATGGAAGGAAGCCATTGCGACATCTGCAAAGGATGTGCTTTCAATTGAGGACCCTCTGGTTGTCCTGGGAGCTCCGTCCAACAGCTATGCGCACTACGTCGCTACAGAGGAGGAATATGGAGTTCAACGCTACGAGGGGGCTTCTACTCTCTATGGGCCCAACACGCTGGCTGCATATGTGAATTTGACCCTGACGTATCTGCCATATCTCGGTGACTCATCTAACACAGCCGGTCTTCCCACACTATACACCGGCCTGGAGCCGCCGATCAATACGGACACGTCCTTGAGCTTTATCACAGGCGTGATATACGACGGGTCTCCCGTGGGTAAAGCTTTTGGGGATGTGGTCTCGTCGTCAGGCAACGCCACATACTACCCCGGGGACACAGTGAATGTGACATTTGTGGGCGCAAATCCGCGGAACAATCTGCGCCTGGAATCGACATTTGCCGCCGTGGAGAGACTTGACTCAAGCACGGGCTCTTGGGTGGTGGTGCGCAAAGACTCAGACTGGAACCTTGTCTATAATTGGGTCAGGACGAGTACCGTGCTGGGCTATAGTCAAGTGACTCTTCAATGGGAGATCGAGGACGACTATTACAATACTGGCAATCCCACTGCACTCCAGGCTGGGACTTACCGGTTTCACTATTATGGAGACTCGAAGTCGGTGACCGGTACGATTACTGCTTTTGAAGGGATCAGTGACTCTTTCATTGTTGCGTTGAATTGAGGACACTTGCCAGGTCCCCGGAGAATGAGTTGGGCGCGATGATGAGCTATGTTGAGCGACGTATGGGAGTAGAGTATGAGTCAGATATCATATTTAGGTTTCAAGTTGAAGAGGGGTCATATGTTGCTGGCCATAGGATTTGGCTTTCTGGTCTCTTTCGTTGTAGTGTCTTACCATAGTAACGCGTGTGGCTGTCCAGAGCCCATCATGATGTTTACGGTCAATGTCGAGCTCCGGTGGCTGTGTTGTTGCTTCACTTCCATTTCTCACAGCGAAATGATCGACGAGATCCTGTCAATTGCAAAGATGTCGGATTGCCAATCAAGCTGAGGGAATGGCGCAACACTGCATGATGTATGGAGTCTTTTTTTTTTTTTTTTTTGTCGCGCGGCAACTCGCGTTCCTCCAGCCAACCACTCCCTCTCCACTCAGGGCTTGATTGTCTCATCTTCCGCTGAACAAAGACTTGAATAGAATGGTCGGGTTTAAGAATTCGCTGTCTCTGCGCTCGCTCACTTTTCTTTGCTTCCTCTACTCCCTTGTTTTGAAACTGTCTTTGTGTTCATTCTCTCTCTTTCATCTCTCTTTCCTTGTTGTCCTCCTTTCGTTCACGGCAGAATGAGTAAATAGCTGCTGTTCTAATCTCATTAGCGAATTATGTCAATTGCATTTCACAAAACATCCTCTCCTTACGATTTCGTTCTTTGCATGCTTTACGCTATTTGATTCTCGATTCTATCGCTTCACGTGTGGTCAAGATGCATCTAACCCACGTCGCCATAGCTCTGAATGCTATCGTCTACCCATGCTCGGCTGGCCCGATCGCTCGTTTAATGCATAAACCCCGGGACCTGGAGTCTTCTGGCGCATCTTTCCACGCTCTTCCTCAGGCTCCACCAGCTACAAGCTCACTTGGGTCTCGAGACCTCGACAACGACGATGACGACGATGGTGATCTCCTAACCATCGTCCCGGTGACACCGACCAATTTACCCAAGTCTACGTCTGCGACAGCTCAAGAAGCTCCCACTTCCAGCCTCGCTGTTCTTGACTCAATGACCGCTCAGACTCTGAGCACGGCTGCAGCTGAGTCAAGTACAACCTCTCAAGAGAAGACGCCCGGTTCTAGCCTCGCCGTTCTTAACTCTTTGGCTAGCCAGACCTCAACCAGCCAGCAAGTGCCTTCTAGTACAGCTTTATCTGGATCGTATACCGGCACGCAGGGAGAGGCAACCGGCTCTACTGTGATGTCTCAGCAGAACCTGTCCAGCTCAAGCATCAAAGTACTAGAGTCTTTGTCTACCCCTTCCCCTACTATTCAGGTCGCTCCGACCATCACAGGCGCGACTAGTAGCTTGGCTGTCTTGCAGACTATTTCGAGGGCCACATCTGAAGGAACTGTGCCAGGTTCCAGTGCCAGTATCATTGCTAGCTCTAGCTCTTCTATTGTGACTCAGCAGGCCTTGTCAGGTACAAGCCTAGCTGTTGAAACCCCTTTGCCAACTTCCTCGTCCAGTCTGATTGTGCCAACTGTGTCTGTCTCAAAGCTAGCCGTGCAAGATACTCCGATGCCAATCGCGCCACCTGTAGCTGAGACCACCAGCACAAGCTTGCCAGTCCAAGAGAATTCGAGCTCAAGTGTAGTGGTCCCCAAGACCACCGTTTCGTCAAGCCTACCGGGCGTATTGCCATCATCAACCATCCGTGTTATAGGGCCCTTCACCCCTGCAGCCTCATACCCATCCTCCGCAGCTGCAGTCTCACCTACTTTGGCCTTCGGCACTGATAGTTCCACAGGGAAATTGACATCAACCACAACAGGAACGACAACTTCTTCTGGCCCAACGATCGGGGTCATTGAGACCTTGTCTAGATCCAGCTCGGGCAGCGCTACGTCCCAGGCTACCCCTGACCTAGAAACATTGACTGAGACACCGGCCTCAACTAGCGGAAGCAGTGCTGCCCAAGCAACAAACTCAGCCAACACTCCTACGGAAGCACAAATGAGCGGGAAAACGAGCACTGCTAGCAGTGCTTCAGCCATTACTCCAGTCTCTCCAACCCAGGTTCAAGTCAATTCCTCGCCCTTCATCGGCGTGGTTCCTGCGACAGAAACAGCTACAGAAACAGCTACCGAAATTGAGCCTGAAGAGACACAAGTAGTGGTCATCCTGGTTACACCTTACCCTTCAACAACACGGTACGAAACATCATATCTCGCGTCGGCGTCGGCCACGCTGTCTGAATCCAGTGGAAATGCGGTTGTGCCTACCAGCTCAGCAAATGCGGTTTCGACTGCATCCGTTGACTCGGAGCAGACTTCGACGCCCCCGTCTGTTACTCCCACATATACAGTCTCTGCTGCAGATATTAGTTCCACCCCCACACCGGAGTCCACTTCTGATACGACCAACACTGCCCCACAGTCCTCCGCAGCCCTCGAGACTAGTATCGTGACGACCGGTGGAATCCCTGATATTACAACCACCATTTACCAGACCGCAACAGCCTTCGCAACCATCACCACAACCCCGGAACAAAACACCCAAGAAGCCGACGATATCACAACCGTGCATCAGACCTCCACGGCCGTCGAGACGGTGATCATTGCCATCCCGACAGTGGTTTCAGAAACTGGAGCAGAGCAGACCAAAGCCACAGCCACAGCTGCAACATCTACTACCGCCCGCGAGGCCGTACCCACCACCGCAGCGACAATAACCTCAACCTCAGAAGGAGCTGTACCAACAGACGAAGGCGTCTCCCTCACTACGACCACCTCCCCAGAGTTTACTAATGCCGTTCCCGCCACCTCCCCCGGGGACAATATTATCAAGGTCGTCCCTGTCACCCCGTCTGGATTTTATACTGTTACCGAGACCGCGACAGTGACTACTACCGAGAGGGAAATAGTAACGGTGACTGATCGGATCAGAGAGACGGTGACAACGACTGCCACAGTGACTACTACAGTCGAGGTGGGTAGTTTCTAGTTAGTGTTGCCTAAGGCGATAAACCATTTGCTTTATTACCCAGCCTTTTGGCTCATTAGAGTACAGAGCTAAGTTTTTGCTTTCTGTTGGCTACATGCTTTTTTCTTTCATGGTTTTTTGCTGCCTTTTTTTGCCATGGTTCATATCTAGGCACAGTTCTACGCTGATAATGATAATCAACAACTTAAAGATCACACCTACCAAGTAACGAAAAGGAATCTATGATATTGTATTTTCCAGAAAGGGATGTGTATGAATCAATGTTAGAAATCGGCCTTTGAAGCTGACACTGCTACGTTCCGATCTAATCAATTTCTCACTGCACTGATGGTTGTTAGCATACGGCTTCTAGCCTTGCTCTTCTTTCTCCCTCAACCCTTTCTTTCGATTACACGAAACAAAATTGAATATTGCCATATTGAAAGTCTGTGGGTGTTTTGCCAAGACTGAGTCTACGGAGATGACTTGGGCAGGCGGTGAAACAAGCTTCGATAAGAGAACAACCTTCTTTATCGATAAGGCAGGCAAGCTTTGGCGCGTGATGCAATACTCGGTCTGTTGACAATTCATCCATCTTCCTTCAACCCTTGATTCATCGTTCACTTCATATTGGTTGGTGACCGATTCCTACTTAATTCAGACAGTATCTGGGAATGTCCGACACACGATGGAATTACGGTAGAGCAGCGTGGCTGTATCCTCTGCGTGTATGTTAGCCTGTGTTGCCTATCCCTGCTGCCTACTCTCTTCAGACCAGGTCACTGACTTCCACTCTCCTTCAGGGAATCTACTATACCCTTTCGCATCGATACGTTTGGCCTTTGTTCAAGGCTCGACTGATTCCGATTGTCTTGCTCTCTGCCTTCATCTACGTCCTGCTCTTCCTGTTCGCGTATCTACCCCAGGTGGCTTTCCTGGCGATCTTCCAGGGAGCTGGAGCATGGGTTAGTGGCGCGGTCCTCGTTCTCGGCGAAGGGGCGGCCATTGTGGCTGTTCTGTTCGAGGCGTTCTTCGTCGATGAAACCCTGGTGGACATCTTCGACGCGGTACTGGTGAGCGAAGGTCACAGCGATCTCGTGAATGCCTCGCGGGTTTTGTATCCGGAGGGCGCTCCGGTCGTTGAGCGACTGGGGAAGCCGACGCAGAACGCGGTGTACTCGCCGTTCAGCTTACGACAGATCATTGAATTCGTTGTGCTGCTCCCGCTGAACCTTATCCCCTTTCCCGGCGGCACGCTTATGTTTCTCGTCTTGACGGGATATCGCGCGGGGCCCTTCCAGCACTGGCGCTATTTCCAGCTGCTCGACCTTTCCAAGCAACAGAGAAAGAACATGATCCGTGGCCGGCAGTTGCAGTATACTACGTAAGTTGCATCTCTGACTTTCCAGCTTTGGGGGGGATCCTTCTTCGGGCGGACGGCGCACTCCGCTGTTCGGGGGAAGGATTCGCCGCCTCGGAAACTTATTGACCACAACCCTAGATTTGGAACCGTCGCCCTGGTGCTTCAACTCGTTCCAATCTTGTCCATGTTTTTCCTCATGACAACCGCGGTTGGGTCGGCCCTTTGGGCAGTGGAGCTGGAAAATCGACGCGATCCTTTGGGCAGGAGGCCTGGGCGAGATGGAGTTTACCGCGACGACGATCCTTTGATATGATGTGGGCGAGCGGTTCGAGGCCATGTTTGTTTGTTCTGTTGTGATGTATAATTGATTGCTTACTCCGTATGTTTCTGGGTCTTTATCATCTAAGAGTTTGTTCCTTTGTCCTCAGTGTTCATGCTGGCTGATTGATTTGCATCTTGGTATGAGTATTGGCATTAGCACATAAATCCTTTTTTTTGCCAATTTAATCATTTTTTTTTTTTTTTTTTTTTTTTTTTTTTCTTTTTCTTTGCCGTGTGTGTGTGTGTGTGTGTGTGTGTGTGTGTGTGTGTGTGTGTGTGTGCGTGTAAGGCAGATGGCTTCAATGCAACTACCGACCTCGGTCTCGGAAAAGCCGAGGAGCAGAGTTGAGGTCTACGGAAGTAGATAGTCGGAACTCATGCAATGTCTGCATGCAGATTCGGCATTGTGAAGCAGCAAGTAGTTTAGCATCTAACTCTATTCTAACTAAGTGAGTTTAACTTAGACCTTAACTTCGGGCGGTTAAGACCAAAAGGGAATCTTCCCCTGACGGCAAACTCTACCGGGGGCCCGATGCGCGGCGGCCGACTGTCCACCGATCCCTTTTTCGAATCACCCGCCATCCCGAGCTTTCTTCCTCACAGGCTCACTCTGCCACGAACCCGCAATCTATTTTCTTTTCTGATGACACTCTCCTCCGTAACTAGACAACTATCGGGACTCGATTATGTACTGTGTATGAATGTTTCACTGCAGTAATTGAGTGCTGCTGCATTTACAGGTCCACTACCACTATCTAGGGACTAGGGACTACGGACTAGGGACTACGGACTACGCATTGATTGCTCGCTTCAATCGAGCATCTCGCCTTCGTATTTCTTCCCTCGCCACGTGGAATCCAGCAGCAAGCACGTTTAGTCGAAAGCATGGCGTTTCCTCCAGCCCCCCTTCGTTTCACCATTTCATCCCAAGATCGAGAGCAGGAAACACCAGAAACACTGGTCTGCAGTCTGCACTAGACCAGGGGTCAGCCAGCAAACTCCCCTGCGGTATAAACTACTACCTGTAACTACTTACTGTATATCATCGGTAAATCACGGAAGATCGAATGAGCAGCCATTGGACGATCGACAGCGGACCCGACCCAAGTTAAGGTCCGGAGTCCATTCCAGCCAGTCCGCCTAAGCTTGTTAGGTTGTCCCAAGAGTGACCTAAAATTTTAATTCTTCCTCCACTTGGGCGGGGGGTCGCAAGATCGCTGGTTGTGTGGTTGATCCTCTCCCAGGCGTCCGTTTCCTATCATCTCATGAGGTCACTCCGGGGTCATTTTCATCGCTCTCCCTCTTTCCACTGTTTCCAGGGAACCTGCGCTTAACGGCTTTTGTGATCCTTCTAGACGTAGTTGTCAGCCTAGAATCTCCCCCCCCTCCTCCTCCTCCTCCTCTCCTCCCGGCTATGCCTATTCCTGCGACGGTCTAACCTCCATACGGTGATCAACCCTGTATTTTACCTCATCGGAACGGGGCCGTTATACTACTGAGTTTAACCCACTGTCCACCACTGCTCAATCTCCTCCGAGTCTTCTTTCCCCTCCCCACTTCTCCGGTTCAATCTGCTGCCATTGCCAGGTGCAAGAATAATATATATATATTTTTTTTCAGGTACGAATCATCGAGGCTAAACTAGTGTCCTTACTTCCCAACTCCGGAGTAGGTTGCTGCCCAGTGCCCGCTAATGGCATTGGCATATAGTCTAGCCTAAGGAATCTACCCTCGGTGACTAAATCGTGATTCGTCTTGAGCTTTCTCCAGATCTCCCTTCATTAACTATACTACTGCTACTACTACTACTATTCATCTCGCGTCCGCTCCATCCCGCCCCGTGCCCGACAGCGCCGCTGCAGAATCCAGCCGGGCCCAATTCGCTGGGTCTCGTAGTATGCGAGCGCCGCCTGGCCACTGTCGGGAGAAAAGCGACCAGCGTGCAGCTCTCCGGGTTCACGCCCACAAAGCATGGAAACGCTCATCAACCTCTATCCTCATTCATGGACCAACGAACCCGCCTGCAGAAGGCGTGCGATGCCTGCAGCATTCGGAAAGTAAAGGTACACACTTGGTGGTCCATTGGGTTGATCTATTAGAGGTTCGCGAGTATGCTGATTTGCGTTGGAAAATTGACCACAGTGTGATACCAGCGGACCACCTTGTCGGTCATGCGCAAGCTTGGACATACCCTGCACGTTTTTCCGACCAAGCCGTCGTCGCGGACCGCCGAATCGGCATGCGGAAGCATTCAAGAAGCGCAAGCTCGCGGAATCCTCACCTTCGGGCTCTCCAGGCCCGGCGGATCCCACCTCACCTGTTCCCCTCAATCCAGGAGGCGTGATTATACCATCGCCTCCCTATCCTGCATCGCTGGAAGCCATATGTTCGATGCCCACAATCCGGCTGCTGATCGATGATTATTTTACCTATATCCACCCGCTAGTGCCTATCCCTCATGAGCCCACGTTTCGCGCGGCGCTGGAGCGGCGGGAGGACCTCACGAATCGGACCTTTCTGGCTCTGGCAGCGGCCATGATCGGGACCTTGGTGGCCTCGTTTCCTCGGAGACCGAAGCGTCACCTCAAGACAGATGCCGAGAAAGCGGCATTCCCGCACTCTATGGCACTGGTTAATCGATGCCACGAGGTGGCCGTGCAGGCTCGCGGTACCGGATACCTCGATCGAACTGCGACCGTGTATGATGCCGCAATCAGCTACCTTCTGGGACTCTGCTCCTGCTACGCTTGGCATATTCGACGATGTCGTGTCTACTTTGCCGAATGCCTCACCATGCTCCATGTGTACGACCTTTACCGCCACTCGAACCGGTTATCCTTTATTACAATCTCGAGTCCCAGGTCTGCCTCGTCGCACCTTTCCCAGGAACCGAATGGTGGATCTGCACAAGCCTCTGTCAATATGATCGAACGAGAACTCGGCAGGCGGTTGTTCTACATCATCCTAGTCGGTTATCGCACGATGCAGCAACTGGGCGCAGGCGACACCATCATCCATGTTCCGCCTGAAACCCCGACAGAACGCTATCCTCCTCTCCCGCTTGAAGTCGACGACGAGTTCATATATGCTACACACTCTGATCCACAGCCGCCCGACCGCGTCTCGCGCATGGTGGGATTCATCACCAACGTCCGCGTGATGAATTCGTATAATCCACTCTCCGCGTGGGAGACGGCATTTGGAAGCGGCCAGATTCTCGAGTGGGAGCGACAACGCTCTCTTCTGTGTCAATGTCTGCAGAATGCCAAGATGGCCTTCAATGGCCTTCCGCGAGAGCTGGTTATTGGGGGGTTTCATAGCTCGGCGCCCAGCAAGGGGCAAGAGAGCGCTAGCCCCAGCCCACTGTCTGGCGCGAGCGACTCCCAATCTTATCAGCGCCATGTGCAGTTCGAGATCCAGAAAGCAAACATCTATGCCAGTCAGCTTGCTGTACGATCGTATCTGGTGGAAAAGTATTGGGCCCTGTACGGCGCTGTGAAGAGGCATCAACAGCCGCCCGAGCTTGCTACTGGCAGTCCTTCGCCCATGAAGAGTGAAGGCGGCCAACCTCATGCCCAGGCCGCATGGGACGCGGATGCTCAATCGGACTATATCGGAAGGACCATGGCTGAAGAGCGACGGCTTGTGATCCGCGACCTGTTCGCGTTGTTACAATCGGTGAATGAGATAAACATGGAGCCCAACGGCGCGAGCTTTGTACGCCTTTTCTAATAAAGATTTTCCGGAATTGAGTTCTCGCTAATCACTAATTATGAACAGACAGCGAAAGTCCGCCAGGTCGCCTCCACTCTGCTGAATTTCTCGAACACCCACGCCCCCTCTACGATCAGCGGCCCGCAACCCCTGACCAGCGCCGAGGTCGAGTCATACCTCCGCGCTTTTATCGACACGCTCATGCGCCTGGAGGGCCTCGCTTCCTCGGATTTAAACAAGGGCCGGCAGCCGCCGGACGTTTCCGGACGGTCCATGAGCTATCTGAGCGACCACGACCGGGACGAAGAGGAGCTGCGTCAGTGGGCGGGCATCCACGAATACCAAGCCAGGATGGCTGAAGAGGGAGGAATGTTTTTTCAACAATAAAATGGTTAGCGTCAGGAGCTCGTTGTTTTTGAGTGACACGCGGTGTTGTGGTTTGTTGATGTGGGAGATTTAGCATGTTGTGTTTGGAGTCTGGTGGAGTTTTTGTTTTGCTTGAGGAGGATGTCTGAATTAGCGGCTGTTTGCTGGAATTATTAATGTGATACTAGTAGTTATGAGGTATGGGTGACTGTAAAATATGTACTGGTCTTTGGACAATTGCTTGATTGTGTTAGGATTCTGCATTAAGCCCAAGACTTATACCCGGGGCCATCAATTCATGAACAAACTGCATCATTACTTGACTTATAATTATGACTTGGTGTCGTGGGTGTCGTTAGTTATACACTACCGTATGAATCAGTCAGCTATGCAGCGGTAACTAACCGAGCCTTATCGATAAGCAAGGCGGTCAACACCCGCCTATAAGAAGCAAAAATTCTCACTCGAGGCGCTTTTTCTCTTTTTCTTCTTCATACATATACTGATCACTCCTCCCTATTCACTTCGAGCATCCTCTCTCCATGGGTTCTTGAAGGGGAAATGGGAGGTCAGAGCAACCTCTGCTGACTTACCCCGGACTCTTCTTTTCTCTTATTGGGTGGAGCGTCTGGAAATACAAACAGCGGGACATCCCACAACCTTTCAAATTTCTACTGAAATTTTCTCTTATGGCGCACAAAGCGCGCAGGGGGATTTTGTGTAAAAAAGTAACAGTATTTTTTTTTTCTTTTTTTACGTACTCTCAGTCGTGGTGGTTGTGGTGTTATTCCTGGCGATAGTAGTCCAAAATCACATCCACACACTCCTTGAGTTGGTGCACCACCCTGGTTGGCTGAATGTCAGGGACCGCCCTGTCCGTCCATCCAGTCTTCTCCCGGTCTACCCAGAGAGTCTTGATGCCTCCTGCGCTGGCGGCGCCGGTGATGTCGAAGGGGTTGGCGCTGATGAGCCAGATTTCGTGGGTGCCAGTGCCAGTGCCAGTGTCAGTGCCAGTGTCCCCACTGCTAGCCTTACTCCTGGCTAATGAATTGACCCTCTCCTTCAAATACCCATAAGCAACCGGTGCAGGCTTATACCGTTTCACCCCCTCATCATCCACACTGGTTATCTCCATCGTCTGGAGAGAAGAAACAGCGTCATGGACATGGCTGATACACGCCTTGATCATCTCGACCGTCCCGTTCGAGAAGACCAGTGGCGTTAGTGTCGGGGTGTGGGTGAGGCGGTCGAGCGCCTCGGAAACGTCTGGGAAGGGCTGCAGGCGGTCGTAGGCTGCGAGGACGGCGGTGGTTTGCGAGGGGGTAAGGGTCGTGACGGTTGTGGTTAGGGCGGCGTGGAGGGAGGAGGTGGTGATTGTGTTGAAGGGGATGTATTTGTCTTTGACGGGGAGTGAGTTAGATTGGCATTCAAGGAAGTTTAAATAAGTAATTGAGGGAGGCTTTGGAAGAATGCAGCTGATGGTAGGCATTCATACCCATGCTATTCAACCTCCAGGTATATTCCAGCTGGTAGCGACGCCATAATTGGGCGATGTCGCGGGCGCGCTCCGCTCCAAGGTATTGCGCCAGTTCCTCAGTCGCTGCGTCGAAGGAGAGGAGGGTGCCGTAGATGTCGAAGGCGATGAAGATTTCTTTCATGGTGATTGTGAGAAAATGAGGAATGGAAGACTCAACTGGAGTTCTTGAAGGGCAAGTCGTAAGTAGTGCTGTATATACTTCGAGTTGCACGGATTCTGCGGAAGAATCCCGCCGCGGAACCCCCACAACGATGATGTCAAACTATCTTCATCGCCGCCCCGCCGCCGCGTTCTTCGATTTTGTTCATCGAGTTCTTCTGTACTACTGTGAAACTGTTCTGAGCGTTGTCTACTTCCACTCAAGTATGGCCTCGTCAGAAAACTACCAGGTCTTCCGCGAATGCCTCTCCTCCGCCATGGTGGAGAAATTCTCCGCCCCGGCGCAGCCCAAGAAAGCCCGGCGCAGTCGCGGGGCCGTGTCGCAGCGGCGCAAGCAGGTCTCGACCCCTGAAGCGGACGACCAGTCTCTGCCTGACCGGGCAAGTCCGGAGGAGTTGGCGGAGTTTGTTGATGTACGTTCTGCTACATATTCTGAGAGGGGTCGCATATACACTTAGTTGGAAGTTGTGTTGTATCAACCGGAGTACAGCCCCATGACATTGGACCCCCAACCCAGAGCGCCCACCCTGAAGCAGATGAATCTCACATAAAACCTACTAAAATCTATGGTACAACAGTTCCTCGCCAGCGAAACCTTCCCCGCCCTCCCCCCATCCCTCCAAACGCTGACCTACACCCCTCCCCCACCGCAACCACCACCAACAAGCACCAAAGATAACAAATCCACAACCACCTCCACAACCCTCACAGACGACAACAACAACAACAACCAGAACGACGGCGACGACACAACAGACCCCCGCACCCTCGCCGAAACCCTCTGCACCACCACCCTCCCCGCCTCCGTCCACGACACCCTAACCACCTACGCCCTCCTCCCACCCACCCCGAACAACGCCAAATCCAACCAGAACCCAGCGCAAGAAACAGCCACAGAATCTCTCATCTCCTTCTTCACCCCCATCCTGACCGACTACATCACCAGCGTCACAAAACCCCCGCCCGTCTGGGCGAGCACCCGCACCGAGGCGTGCGAGATCTGCGCCCGCGACTGGATCCCCCTCTCCTACCACCACCTCATCCCGCGCAGCGTGCACGCCAAGGTCCTGAAAAAGGGGTGGCATCCCGAGTGGATGCTGAATAGTGTGGCGTGGTTGTGTCGCGCGTGCCATAGCTTTGTGCATCGCATGGCGGGGAATGAGGAGTTGGCGCGCGAGTATTTTACCGTGGACAGGATTCTGGAGAGGGAGGATGTGAGGGTTTGGGCGAATTGGGTGGGGAGGGTGAGGTGGAAGGCGAGATGATTGTTTTGGTTTTCATTCTCGGGGTAAGGGAACCATTTTTTGAGGTTGAAGGTCAAGAGGTATAACTATATACTTTGGCGGTATATACTGTTTCGGGTTTGTATATATGAATACTAAAAGGCTGTGACACGAAGTAGATGAGAGTGTATCTTAACTAGTATAGACATAGAATAACACGCCAAGCGGCTGTCTAAATCGCTTAAACTCAATAGTATACTGTACAAACCCAACCCGGCCTCCAACACTCCAATCCATGCTTTTATCTGTTCGTACACATCCCCATGCCAGAAGAAAATCCCTGAACCCCAACAAACAAAAATGGCACGGTTTAAATTTACATCCCCCCCCCCCCCCTTTTAGAGGTATCGCTTCTCATGAATCTCCTCGTAACACTGAATATGGTCCCCAACCTGGAAATCACCCCACCCCTCAAAGGCCATCCCGCACTCGGTGTCCTTGCGCATCTCCGTCACGTCCTTCTTCACATTCTTCAGCGACGAGATGGTGCCATCGTAGATCGTCTCCTGTCCCCGCAGGACTCGCACCTTCTTCGTCCGGTTGATCAGCCCGTTGCGCACGCGACATCCGGCGATGCTCATCCGCTCGCGCCCCTTCAGCTTGATCTCGAAGATCTCGCCAATCTCCGCCTCGCCCGTCACCCGCACCGTCACCGTCGGCGGCAGGTGCTCGCTCAGCGTGCTCTTAACGTCGTCAATCAACCGGTAAATCACGTTGTGGTCCTTGATCTCCACTCCGCGCGCTTCGGCCATCTGCGCCATTCGGGGGTCGATGGGCATGTTGAACGAAATCACGTGTCCGTTGGCCGTCGCGGCGTGCTCGATGTCGAACTCGCTTACGGGGCCCACCTCGCAGCGAAGAACGTTGGCGAAGACCTCGTTGTTGCCAACGGCCGTGACCGAGTTCAGAAGCGCCTCGGCTGATCCGTGCACGTCGGCCTTGATGATGAAGTGCACGGGTTTGGGCCCGGACTGTTCCTCGCCCACGGCCTGGCCAGCTTCCTCTTGGCGGCGCCGCTCCATCAGCTCCTTGCGAGCCTCGTTGATAGCAACCGTGTCCTGACCCAACTTGTCCGATTCGCTCCGCTCGATACGGGCCTCGACGACAGACTTAGCCTGTTGCTCGGTTGTGGCCTCCAGGAACTCCGTGCCAGCCACCGGTTGCTCGCGCCACCCGTCAACCTCAACCGGCATGCCTGGCGTCGCTTCATGAACGGCAACACCGGCTTCGTTCCGCAGTGTGCGCACACGCGCCCAAGTCTCACCAGCAACAATAATGTCCCCGACTCGCAGGGTACCCCGCCGGATAAGCACCGTGGCCACACGCCCGTAGCTCTTGGTTGTGCCTTCAACTACCCACCCTTCGACATTGCCGGTTGGGTCCGCGCGGTGGTCGAGGACCTCGGAAAGAGTGACAATAGCTTCTTCAAGCTCCAACATACCGGCTCCCGTCTTGCCACTCACACCGATCGCTTGCACGTCGCCGCCATAGTCTTCGACATGGACGCCATGCACAGACAGATCTTGCTTGACCTTATCAGGATTGACTCCCTCCTTGTCCATCTTGCTCATGGCCACGATGATCGGGACGTTGGCTTCGGTGGCATGCTTGATGGCTTCGATGGTTTGAGGCTTGACACTGTCATCTGCTGCGACAACCAACACCACAATATCGGTAATGTCTGCACCTCGGCGGCGCATGTCCAGGAACGCCGCGTGACCCGGCGTATCAAGGAAAGTGATGGTCTTGCCCGAAGGCATAGCCACGGAGAACGCGCCGATGTGCTGCGTGATACCGCCGTGCTCCGATGCCACGATCGAAGAGTTGCGAAGCCAGTCAAGAATGGTAGTCTTGCCGTGATCGACATGACCCATGATGGTCACCACTGGAGGCCGCGGGGGCAGGCTCGACTTATCCTCCGGCTCAGGGGCGGCAGTCAGCTCATCCTCAGCTGTGTCAAAGATGGGCTCAAAATTGTATTCGGCCGCGATGAGACCGGCGGTTTCTGCATCCAGAACGTGGTTATGAGTGACTTCCTCGAATCCCATCTCTTCCATTCGCTCGATGAACTGCGCGTGTCGCACACCAATGACATCCGCGAGATTGCTGACGCTAATGAACTCGGGGAGGTACAAAGGACTAGGCGCGGCTTCCAACGCCTCCTTTTTCTTTCCGCGAGATTTCTCCTTCCGTTCCTTCTTCGCGCGCTGCCTTGCTTGCCGACGCCGTTGGTAGTCCTCGTGATCGAAGTCGTCCTCGTCTGCAAAGGCCGATTTCGACTGCTTGCGATAGTGTTCTCGTCGCTTGGCATATTTATCAACCTGGTCGTCCGTCTCTTCCTTACCGAGTCTCTGCAAAGCCGATGTGTCCCATGACCAATCATGGATGGATTTTTGAGGTTGATCCTGCGCCTCGCGTCTCTTTTGCCTCTCTGCTTCCATCTCGGCTTCTATTTCCGCGCGCTCTGCTTCTTTCTCCTCTTCCCTTCTCGACGCAAATTCGCCCAGAGCTTGTCCTCTTGTTGATGACGGGGCGGTCCATTTGTGTTCGAGTTTCCGAATGGGCAATGGTCTCTGCGGCTGCGACAACAGCTCAGGCCTTGGTGCGCGGCAGCAGGGACAAGTCATTTCTGTGCCACTGCAGACATACGTGCAGTCTGGACAGGCCCAATCAATGCTTTGTAAATGCTCGGAGATAGTGACGTTGTGATCGTCCCTGTATCTACCTGAGCGGACACGTCTATGATCTCCCTCCGCCATGGCTGCTGATGATCCCTCTTGCCAGGCGGAACGTGACCTTTCGTAGCCATGGCGTCGTGCAGACTGCTCATCAAGTGTAGAGTCTCGCACCGCTTTCTTTGCCGAACTCATACCCCAACGGGAAGTAGATTTCCGAGCCTGTCGAGCATCCGAAGACCCAGAAAGAACATCCAGAGGGCTCTGCTGCGCCTGTTTCTTGGCTTCCTGTGCATCGCGTGCTGCCTTCTCTTCCGGACTCAAACTCTGCGATACGACAGTCTTGCCTCCGATGCGGATAGTGAAAGTGCCTGTTTCGGCACTATCGGACTTTTCTGAAACAGTAGCGTCAGCGGTGGAAGATCTCAGCTGTGCTTGCCGCTGGGACAGCATTCTATCTCGTGCCGCCCTCTCTGCTGAAGTTAAGCCTGATGATGTTGGCGCACTGCTTCCCCAGCGGGGAGCAGATTTGGGAGACTTTGTGGTGGTAGCAGGCGAGCTCGGCTTGGAAGTTTTCGGAGATGTTGAAGAGATGATGTTAGCGGTCTGCTCTGTGGTTTCAGCGGAGCTCGGATCGGAACTGTTGGACGCTGAAAGGCCAGTGTCAGCGACCTTCTCAGGAGTAAGCTCCTGCTGCGCTTGCTGCGCCTGCTGCTTGACTACCAAAGCGTCTCGTGCCGCCTTCTCTGCCGCACTCAGACCCACAGGCCTGGTTGCGTTGCTTCCGAAGCGGGGAGCGAATTTTGCGCCGGTGAAAGTGGCTCTTTTCGAACTTTCGGCTGGGACGTTAGGCTGAGCAGTTCCGCTGGGGGTCTCGGAGGAGCCGGTATGTCGAGTGTCCTGCCGTGCCTCTTGTCCGGCTTTTCGTGCGACCTCTGAAGCCTCTCGCCGTCCTTGTTCTTCCAATTCCTTCGCCCTCTGTTCCATCATTGGAGCATCTCGCCGGGCCTGCTCTTCTTGTTCCCTCGCCCTCTGTCTGGCTATGATAGCATCTCGCCGGGCCTGCTCTTTTTCTTTTTTCGCCTTCTGCATGGCTATGATAGCATCCCGTTGGGCCCGCTCTTCCTGCTCCTTCGCCCTCTGTCTGGCTATTATGGCATCGCGTCGTTCCTGTTCTTCTCGTTCCCTCGCCAGCAAGGCATCCTTCCGAGCCTGCTCTTCCCGTAGCTTCTCCTCCTGCTTTGCCACCATAGCATCTCGAATTGCCTGCTCCGCCGGACTCAGGCCGACGGGTCGCGATGCCTTGCTTCCCCATTTAGGGGTGAGTTTTCGAGGAGAGCCAGAATCACCCGAGGATCCCCACGCAGAGTCGGCAGCAAAGGCCCGGAAGCCCCTCCGGGGCACATGGTTCAACACGGGGGCGAAAGCATCAGTTCGGCGGGCGGTTGCGCACGACCAATCGACACCTTGACGGCGAGAAAGCTAGACGCGAATATCGGCGTTAGTGACTGCACAGTCAAAGTAAGCACTCTGCACGATAGACTCACCTCCAAGCAAGCTCGCCTGTGCATGATGGAGGTCGTTTGCTCGCAGCGAGTGCCTTGGCGTCTAAAACTCCGGCCGATGGGGGAAAGTTGTCGGAGATGGCCCGGACCTGGAAGTACTCATCCTCCGCCCGCCTGGAGGTAAAACTGTCACGTAACATACGGAATTAACCAGGCACTAACTTAAAGGAATTATGTACAGAGCTGACTCAGCGATATCACCGTCCCGCTGCACGTGCGGTCGGCGCCCTCGCCGAATCGGAGGCCGCGATCGGGGAAGCTTATCGGAGAGCGATGAGGTGATAGCCCCGTTCTCTTTTCATCCTGCTCCCTCTTTGCGCCCTCTCTTGATCTTTCCTCTTCATACCGGTCGCTCAAGGGTTCTGCGGTGCTTGAATTGAGGAAAGGCGGTCTGCCATTGCTTCTGCGACCCTCCTAACTCTGAGAAACCACTCCATTCCACCTGTTTTCGCTTTTCCGGGCGTGATCTGAGTTCCCCGCGATGGAGTCCGAGGCTTTTGAGGATATGCAAAAAGGTGGTGGCAGCCTTCGTGCTGTCAAGGACTTGACGGCCGGTGCTGCTGGCGGCATCGCTCAGGTGCTCATTGGTAAGTGCTCAACTCATGCTTCCTGTCATATTTCCGTGCGCATCACGATTGGCACTGAAACTGGACCTCCGGTCCTTCTCCGCCTCACCGCGCTCAACACCGCGGCTATTCAATGGATCGCGTCGCACATTGACCGAGTGCTAACGACTCGCTAGGACAACCGTTCGGTATGTAGCGAGTGCTTTAAAGTCAATCCACAATTTGCGTCCTAATGCCCCCTAGATATCGTCAAGGTCCGCCTGCAGACAACCACGCAGTACTCCAGTGCGCTGGACTGCGCCACGAAGATCCTGAAGAACGAAGGCCCCACGGCCTTCTACAAGGGCACCCTGACCCCGCTGATCGGTATCGGAGCCTGCGTATGTCTTTCCATCTCACCCTAATAGCTCCCACCTCACCCCACACCTCCATTAACGCCCCTCCCAACCATATAGGTCAGCGTGCAATTCGGCGCCTTCCACGAAGCCCGGCGACGCCTGGAGGCGCTTAACAAGAAGAAATACGCGGACCCCACCCTCTCCTACACGCAGTACTACCTCGCCGGCGGCTTCGCGGGCATCACCAATTCTTTCCTGTCCGGCCCCATCGAGCACATCCGTATCCGGCTGCAGACGCAGCCGCACGGCGCCAACCGGCTGTACAACGGGCCCATCGACTGCATCCGCAAGCTGTGCAACCAGGGTGGCGTGCTCAAGGGTCTCTACCGCGGGCAGAACGTGACGTATCTGCGTGAGATCCAGGCCTACGGCACCTGGTTCCTGGCGTTCGAGTACCTCATGAATCAGGACGCCAAGCGCAACAACGTCAAGCGCGAGGAGATCTCCAGCCTCAAGGTCGCCACCTACGGCGGTCTCGCCGGTGAGGTCCTCTGGCTGAGCAGCTACCCCTTCGACGTCGTCAAGAGTAAGATGCAGTGCGATGGCTTCGGCGCGAACCAGCAGTTCCGGAGCATGACCGACTGCTTCAGGAAGACCTACGCCGCTGAAGGCCTGGCGGGCTTCTGGAAGGGGATTGGGCCGACCTTGTTGAGGGCGATGCCGGTCTCGGCGGGTACTTTTGCTGTGTATGTTTCACCCACTCCCTTTCGACTTGAATGGTGGCTAGTTTGCGTTCATACTAATCTCGTGGTTTAGTGTCGAGCTTACGATGAGGGCTTTGGGTTGAGGTAGTGCAGGTTAAATCAAACAGAAAAATCCAATTCAGAAAGAAAAAACAAAACAAAACATACAACCAATACCCTGCATCTTTACTATCTTATCTTTTCCTGATATCCAACCAGAGTACTTTATTCAACAGCACAAGGGACGGGGCAACTGGCATTCTAGACTGGAGCTTTGGAAGTGAAGTGATATATAGAGCCTCATGGATATTCGCCACGTTGAATAGATTTCCTTACACCGGCAATTCCAATTCGACACAAGCTGAATCTCCGGGATCATGGTACATGGTTCTGATAACAAAACCCTTAATTTGTCTCCTGCAGATCAGACTTACCACAGGAGATTAACCCCTTAAACGTTAGCTGAGTTCAGCTCCCAAACCCCAGCGAAAAATCCCCAAAGAAATCCTGCCACGCCGTCGGAAAGTAAAACAGATTCAAGCCGGGAAAGTCCCAGTCGCGCACAAACTGCTCCGGCACGAAAGACTGCAGATCGACCTGGGCGTCAAACAGGTCCCAGAAGTGGGGGTGGTGATCTGCTGCCATTGTGTCCTCTACTACTGTTTCTGCGGGATGAGGGCCCTCTACAGGGGTGTGTGTACCGGCAGTCGTCCCGCTGCTGCTGCTGCTGCCGCTGCCGCCGCTGCCGCCATGATACCCACTCGTAGGTATACTCTTCCCCGGTCTCCGTTCCTGGAAGATGCGGCTGTATTTCTCAATGCTCAGGTGGAGGATGTGCATGTAGATGTTTCCTGATCTTGGTTCTGGTCTGGTGGCTGAAGCACCAGAGGCCATTCTGGGACCGTGAGTACTGTCCGCGGGCGAGCTGGTCATTCCGGCCCGGTCACCTCCCCGTTCGACATCCAGGTGGAAAGCTGAAGCTTCCCCGCGAGTCGTTCGGGTCAACTCCGCAAGCAGCTTGGTCCCAAGCTCCAACAGCTCCTGGTGCTCGTCCCGCTGCTCGGGAAGCAGTCGGGAGAGCTTCAGAAGCAACAGGAAGCAAAAGGCGCACTTGGCCCAGACAAAGTCCATCGCATATTTGAGCTTTGCGAGGTAGAAGGCTGGTTCGAGGCTGATCAGACGGAGATGTTGACGGGCGGCGGATTTGGCGAGGTGAAGGATATTGCGTTCGACAGGGGTGATTGCTCTGTTTGTATGGGAGTGAGTGATTGTTTGATTTGTTGTGAACTTGCAAGAGAGATAGAAAGGGCGTGAATTGTGCTAGCAAGGAAATTCGAATCGGGAGTTCATGATGGATGCAAGGCTGCTGCTAACGTACGCTACGTTCTCGACGCCCATTGAGCGGAGCGCTTTGCAGTGGAGGATGAGCTCGGCCCAGCAGTGCTGGACGCTGAGGGCGGCTAACAGGAAAGGGCGTTCCTCTTGGGCTGGTAGAGAGTTGACTTTGAGAGGCACAAGCATTTAGTACGCTCCGTGGCTGGGTCAATTGCACTAAATGGCTCACCGATTATGCGCTGCCAGTCGCTGAGCGTCGTTAGTTCTGAGATCGTGGAATAGTACAAGGCATAGCGCTTACTCAAACCATAGATCAAGGTCGACCTTGGCCTCGTGGACGTACTCAGCTATGGCCTCTCGAGCTAGACTGTCACGGACGTCCAGTGTGTCGTTGATATTGGCTATTTGCCGCTGGTTAACATACTTCGTTGGACCGCCCAGTGGTTGTATTGGATGCATACCTCGAATGACATTCAACTGATGTCAGAGATCAGCTCCACTGGCAGTTCACGACAACTATCAGACACGTACCTCAACCTGAGAAAAGAGACGCATGTCCAGTACAGTCGACGCTGGGTGATGCAGCAAGATTCGGCAGCGACGAGCATTGCCCTTCATGCGTATACCAGGTGGCTTCCCGCCATCGACATGGAATCTGCACGGAATAGCTATCAATCAATCTTAAGGGGTATGCCTAGCTTGCAAACAGGGTCTTACATATGATCCAAAACCAAGAGTCCGAACCAGGTCCTGGACTTGCGCATCAAATAGCGCTCCTGTGCGTCCATGGCATCGTCAGGCATCTCCGCGGTGCTGTCGGTTCTTTTGAGTGTTAGCCTCTGAATCAGCTTCTCAAACGCCTCGTTCAGGCCCAGGTCCAACGCCATTCTGGTGGCGAAGGATAATATCAAGGAGCGTTCGGCCGTATAACAAGCCACGATCAGGAGCGCCTGTACTGATTCCAGGCAGGTCAACTTTCTATTTTGGATAACGACGCCAATCCATTTCTTGAGTTCCGCATGCAGAAAGTCAGGAAGTTGAGGATCGAAGCCTACGCCATCATATTCAGCATGCTGAAGAGAGCAGGCCCAACGGATCACAACCTACCCACAAGTGCACTTGCTTCAACACGGCTACCAATCGTGCAGATAGCATTGAATAACATGCTACTGCGCGAGCGTACTGAGGTGAATGTATCGACATCTGGGTCAAAAATGGGGATGTATCTATCCTGGACAACCCGTCAATAAGTGCTACCCATGTGTACGGAGACTTCCGGGATTACACACGCAGCCTTCGAAGAACCTAATCCCTAGTCATCAGCGGGGTTGCCAATTCACATTCTATAGATGATCACATACGTTCGAAAACAAGATATCGCTTGATCAGCAGTCATCAAGCCCTTGCATATGAAGTCTGAGATTGGATCTTCCCTGACATCAAATCCAGAGCGCCTCTGTCTGCACGGAGGCTGCGCCTCCGTGTCTATAGGTGATGGGATATGTAGCGAGGCAGATGTCGCCTGCGGATACCCAGCAGAAGAGGTTGTCGTAGCGAGGAGCATGGGCATGTGCCCTGGATTCGGAATCGCAGGACCCGGGCCAGGGAAAGATGTTTCGACGGGGTATGACCGATCCAAAATTTCGTCATCAGTGTGTACTTCGCCAAGTCCCTCATGCTGGAGTCGCTGCGAATGAAGATGAAGAAGCTCGTTCATGCCCTCTATCTGTGACCTGAGACGCTGAACTTCGGACTCGACATTCTGCAATCTCCTTACGTATGCATTAGAAGCCGATGAATGAATGTTGCCGGAGGAGAAGATGTGTGGGCAATGAGTGATGAGCTTACTCGGTTGCAGGATCTTTGGGGACCTCATAGAAGACGCATTGTTTGCGTGAACGTTTGCATCTGCTCATGGATAGGTATCAATTGCGAATGCTCGTCTGGTTGTAATCTGCATCGGAGCGAAGTAGAAAAGGATACCTTGAGCAGGGTCGTTTCCCATCACACCTCACCTACAAGAAGAAGTTATTACAATTGATTCATCCATCATGGGATAGACTTGAAGCCATACCTTCGAATGCCGACAAGCACTACATGCTTTCTGTCAATGGATTCAGTGTCTGGCTGCAGTGACAGGTCGAAGAAGAAGAGTATACCGGGATTCGTTTCTTTCCAATAGCAACTTGCATCACGCACGAGTCATCCGAATCCATGATATGATCCAGTAAGTAAAAGGAAATGAAGCATGACAGAACAGGGAGTGAGTGGGTCGATGCAAAAGGAAAGGCGGGGAGGCCGTCAATCATCGTCGGCTCGGCTAATCCACCATACCATAACAAACCACTGCCAGTTTTACATGGACTCCTTTAGACTTGGCTGAGAATCCCCCAACAACAACCTCTACTGAGCCCAGCTTTGCATTGTTTCCCTTATCATTGAGTCGGTTGGCTGTACACTTGGTGACATTCGCCGACAACTTCAAAGATTGACAACAGACACAATGGATCCTACCAGACGAGAACTATATAACCTGCCGCGATCTCAGATTGCTTTTATCCGGGTCATTCTAGACAGCAGACATCCACTGCATGATCACCACCTCAAGTTCTAACTTGAAGTCAACTTGAAATCTGAACACAATGCCAGGTCTTCTTGGTCTTCCCCCGGAACTCATGCACATGATTGTCGAGAAGCTGGACTTCGCTTCTGATCTGTACTCCCTTGCACTCGTTTGTAAAGGGCTGCGCGCGAACTTTGCTGAAGAATACTTGTATGGCAAGTATCTCCACCCAATGTGCAGGATCGAATCTGGTCGGAAGGGACTACAACCCAAACCCTAGAATGTTCGGCAAGCTCTTGTCGCACAAGCTGGATCTGCAGCGACTGTTCGATAACTTCAGCATCAGCGAGGACTTTACAAGGTATCTGATCAAAAGCTGTAAGCCAGAACTTCTCTTAGCCTCGGCAAGGATTCGTCAGCAGGTGTTGGAAGTTGCGATCCACCAGACAAGAAGAAGTGAGGATGTGGATACTGCGATGGATAGCTACGCTGGCAAATTCCTCAAGCTCTGGCTCGCGTACGCACGTGAGCATCCGCAGGAAGAGAGATCACGTCTAAGGAACCTGATGGCGCGTGCTGTGTATGCGAATAGCCTGCCATTTGTGCAGTACTTGATGAGTCAAGGGTTCACGGACGATGAGAATTGCTCGTCACCCCTGTACTGGGCTGCAGATGGCGGCAGCCTGGAATTGGTTAAGATGTTGCTTGACGCTGGGGCTGATCCCAATCGTCAGTATGCATTCATCCATCCCCCAGATCCATTCTTGCCGCACGAGAATCCCCCGCTGCTGCCTGTTCGGCGGGCTGCAGTGCCTGGCTGCGAGGAAATTGTGTGGTATCTCTTGCAGAATGGTGCAGCATTCTCAACCAAGTTGATCAGGGATCTGATCCAGTCAGGTGAGTTGGAGTTTCGCTACCGGAGTCATAGAAAGCATTGGCGTGGAGAGTGCGATCCAAGACGCCAGCTCGAAGGATCTATCCGATCTGATCATCTACGGAGTGGCGACCAACGATCCAAAGCTTGTTCTTGGTTTGTGGCCACTCGTAAATCATGATATTGATTACGACTATGGAACCGGCGACTGGATCAGCGAAGCGCTGGAAAAGGCAGCCGAGAGGCAGAATCTATCGATGGTGCGGTTGCTTCTCACCAAGGTCAAGGAAACGGATCCTTCGCAGCTTGTTAGTGCCGGCTTTGACACTGCAAGGAGCGCTATCAAAGCTGAGTGGACCCCTGGCCTGGTAGCGGCGGTAGATCCTGACCTGGGCGGAGATGAGCTGCTCAGAACGGACGGGCCTGGTCTCCTCAGCCTAACCATATCGAAGAAGCTCAAGGACATGCGAGAAATGCTACTCTCCCGATGGGCACTCCTCCGTAACACTGACAGTATACTGTATCATTACCCCTGTCCACTCAGGACAGCTTTGTATATTGGTGACTCTGCCATCTTCTTTCAGATGCTGGAGTATGTTTATCTCTCACCAGCTGAAGACGGTAGCTTCCCGAATCCGATCAAGCTCCTGAAGTTCCCTGCTCAATACGGGCCGGTCGAGACATTCCGAGAAACGCTCGCCCATGTTGGGGTGGAGCTCGACCCGGACAACGAGCAGCATGGCGAGGTCCTCGTGGAGGCAGCTCGAGGCGTGCAAACGGATATCATGCAGCTCTTCCTCGACGCTCGTTTCGATATGAACGGTGTCTACAGGTCTGATTTGGACGAGAACTTCAAACTGCCGCTTCTCCATTGCGTGCTTCTGACGCACATTTCCCCTGTCCGTGAGCACTCGGGAGGCGAGAAGGCCATCCGACTCGATGGCAGCAGTACTAGAGGCCTTACGGCCCTCGCTACGGTCATGTCGCGTTTCCGTCACTATGATCCGGAGACACTATGGCTGATTAGAGTTCTTCTTGCGCATGGCGCAGACCCCCTAGCGGGGATTGAGGATGCCCCAGGTCAGAGCGCGCTGCAGGTCGCACTCACTGAAACCCCCGGCCGCGTCGGGTGCATCAAAGCACTCTTGCGCGCGGTGTCATGGGATGACCATCGTTGCCGCGCACTGGTGTCTATGATTGCGACTTGTCCTGATGCTTGGCTGAAGACTCCTCTCAACACGATCCCTGAAGAGGAGGCCCAGTGGTACTGGTCCAACCTATGCCGCGGTCTTGAGGATAATCCATACGAACCCGAGGATGATTCAGATGAGTCTACTGATGAGGACGACTCTGAGGGCCGCATTCGGAATAACTCACATTACAACAGATTCGAGTGCCTGAAGATTATCCGAAAGTATTATTGGCGGAATCTGTATCCTCCCCCCACACTCTGATGAGAATACAGGACGGAGTTGCTTACCTAGCATTGCATTACCTTCCTCTTCGCATCAATATTCACTACTCATGTTATTAGCAATACAACTCTTTAGATTTGATGAGTATCCTAGTTTCAATGCTCCCATCGAATAACTATTCCCTGAGTAGCGAGAAAACACCTGTTGCTGACCGATGATTGGAGTACTATAACCACAGCAATAGCCCCAAGTGAGACATACATTCTCGCGGAGGGTTGATTATGTAGAAGACGTGTCGGTGCAACTCTATGCACTGTCGAGATAGGGATGGGTATCATGGTAATCGTTCCCCCGCCCTTCATGAAGACCAGACTCTCTCCGCTATGCGCTGTCCGACCTCTCGGCATTGAGAAGCTCGTCCGCCCTGCTCACTCTAGCGCCATGACTGCGGCTCCAGTGAGCGTTCTACATGAATAGAATGAAAGGGGTCTGATTGCTTGAACCCCGAAGACCTCAATCACAATCAATGGATAAGAAAGTTGCATTCCCGCACGCCGTCCAAACATCATTCCGCTTCGCGCTAGTACACATACACAAAGTCCTCGTTCTTCCAGTCCGTCAGGTCCTTGAACGCATTGTCTTCGGTCACAGCAGGCTGCACGGGTTCGTCCGTTTTATCTCCCTCAACCACCCCGACAGCCTGCATGGAGTGGTCGATGATCTTGGCACTCTTGCCCATGGATACTCGCTGCTGCTCGTGCTTCTTGTTGAGGAAGGAGAGGTACGCCGTATTCAATCTAGGATTGTGAGCACACACTGGACACAGCACAGCGGCTAGGGATAGATGGGGCCGTACATGCACAGCAGGACCAGAACGCAGAACATCGCGAGACTATGATCATGATTAGAATCATGCATCAGGGTGTTTCTGGAGCGTGGGGGGGCCAGCTTACTTCGATCGCAAGCCCCGTCTATATAACGGTGCGTCGGTGGTCGTGTATAAGTTTGAGCCAAGGACCTCCCATAGATCAGCATAAAAGCACCTTGGTTACTCACAGGGTCGAGCTTACATTGCCGGCGCATTGGCCCACAAGGACTATTCCATTCACAATCTTCTTCTTGGTCTCCCCGGCGGTATTAGCTGCAGACCAGGAGTAGATGAGAGGTGCTGGGATGGTTGTTAGCTTGATTTTGCGCGCAGCATCTCGATGAAACATAAACTCACTGATTCCGGGATAAACAGATACCTGAAGGCTCGGTGTCAGTAATGAAGGTCACTTGAGTAGCAATAGCTTATGGACTCACGATATAATATCCTGCGAGTAGGGCTCCATTGTGTTGGCCATCGTGTGGAATGAGCAGCAACATCACGCAGCCTGCAATAGCAGGCAAGCAAAGCAGCGCAATTACTGGTCCTTTCATCTTGAGAACAGTGGCCAACCAGGCTCCGCCCATGGTTGCCACGAGTTGAACCGCACCAAAGGGGATGTTGAACAGGATGGTTTGAAATTGATTGAACCCAAAAGCTTCAATGATTAATGGTCCGAAAGTCGAAATCCCCCCGCTAGGAATCCTTGGGAACGTTCAACACGGTTCGTCGGATTGCATAGAGTGAGAAGGGGGTACTTACGAGATTGAGAAGGTAAAAGCAAACCAAAAGTAAGACTTGAGATCAAGGCAAGCCTCCTTGACATGCTCCCACTTCCAAACATGAGTCTCAAGCCCTTGATGGTTTCTGCGGATTCGCTCGATAGCCAACAGCTTGTCTTCTTCGCCTAGAAATGTCGACTGCACGGGAGAATCGGGCATGAAGTAGAAGATAAACGCCGAGAACACGATCGTGAGAAGGCCGAAGAACAGGAAGATGATCTGATACGGTTCGAACACCGACGAGCTGATATGGCCGAGTCCATAAGTTATTAAACTTCCGAACTAATTAGTAAACCCAACCTGTCAGTCAAAAGGCAGATTAGAGAACAATATATAGAGGTGCTGACCATGTAGACCACGCCATTCATAGCATACCATGAACCAAGTCGCACAGGCTGTTCGATACGTCGATACCACATCTGAGTGATGGCGATAAAGGCCGGAGCTATGATGCAGCGACATTAGCACCCGTCCCGATAGACGAAGCGGACCACGGTGGGAACTCACGAACACCAGCTTCAAAGAGCCCCAAGAACATGCGGCACACCAACAGCCCTGCGAAATTGTTCGCCGGGGTCATGCACGTCAGCGACACACCCCAGAGAAAGGTTGTGACCGCCAAAAACTTTCCCAATGGCACCTTGACGAGGATGTAAGCCACAAACGGCTGAGCGACGAGCTGCACCAGGTAGACCACAGCCCCTAGCCAGGAATACATCTGGCCATGGAGATGAGCCTTCTCCACAAGACCAAAGACCGAGGCATAGGAGAGGGTGGACTTGTCGAGCTGCTGCAGAAAGTAGATCCCCAGAAGTATAGGCAAAAGTCGCATGTCAATCTTCTTCAGTACTCGAGCATTGTTCTCGGGGGTCAAGACAGTAGAGTGGCCTGCTTCTACAACAAGCTCCAGGGCTTTGTCCAGTCTGGGCTCAACCGGACGTTCCTGGGTCTGAGTAGGCACAATTCCAACAGACTCGATCTGTTCATCTTGTGCATGCTTCCCATGTTCGACCTCTTGCTGAGGTGACATCGTGTCTTCTGTGGTGGTGGATCTTGTCTATTGTTGCTGGCGGGTAAGCAAATAGCCCTAATAAAACTGCAAAATGTAACGCGAGAAGCTAGAGACGTAGACACTGCGGGTCAAGAACTGGAGTTGCCCAAGGGAGGGGGCATGGCGCCCTTTTACTCGATCGTAGTAGATGTTGATGTAGGCTCGCAGCACGGCATGTCCTTGGGTCAAACCACCCCCGTGGGGAAAAGTCGTCACCCCAGCCCCGGACCAGACATCTCCCTCCCGACGCGGGGACGAATCAAAGTGTGTCTGAGGTCTGCTGTACAGCTTCACAACTGCCGAATCAACGTGAGATCCTCTCAGTCTAGCCCAGCATGACGGAGTATGGGGTGGTGTGAAAGCTCTCGGACTAAACTCAACGTGGGTGTCTGATTGGCGCAACCGTGCCATAGCCGTGCAGATGAGCCGGAAAATGGCTCAAAAGTGGGCAGATGCTATCATGCTTGACGTGGAAGACGGTTTAGCTTCGGGGGATCGGGCTGCAAGTCCGATAGTTGAAGACGAATGCGACTGCATTGGGATAAGATGAGGGGAGAAAGTCGGATGTGGGGGAGATTCAGAATGTGGGGGTGTCGGAGATGGCAGCCGAACCCCGACGATGGTCTATAGTTACACTCTTTCTGCCTCTGGGATACTTACGAAACAGCACAGATCAGCCAACAAAAATGTATCACTCAAATACTAAGCTCCCTGGCGCCATCTCAAACTTGACTTTGACTTCACATCACTCATTCCCTGTACTTCGCATCTGCGAGCCCTAACCATCCCCATCCCCCATCCATTTCTCTCTGTCCGAGTCGAGTGCGCCTGAATCATGCCTCAGAAGGAATTCTGTCCCAAGCACTACGAGGCAATCTCTACAGATTCCCAGGAGTCTCCTAGCGTTTCTCTCCGCTCAACAACCCGGAATCGTCAGTTCGACTTCTTCTTCGAGCCCATCCGCGCAAACCTGTTCCGAGTCACCTTCTCGTCGCCAGACCATCCCCTCCCTCCTCACCCCAGCGTCACCCGACCCGCCACAGATCTTCCCCACACCCACGTCTCCACGACAAGCGATGAGCAAGCCAGAACAATCCAAGTCGGAGACGTCACGGCCACGGTCGAATGGGCCAACACGCCCGTGGTCTCGCTGTCGCTGAAGGGACATGACCAGCCACTGTACCGGGATCTGCCACTGCGCTCATACGTCGCAGACGGGACCGGCATAGCGCACTACACCGAGCACGACCGCAACGCTCTGCACGTAGGACTCGGGGAGAAGCGCGCCCCGATGGACCTCAGCGGACGCCACTTCATTCTCTCCGCGACAGACAGCTTCGGCTACGACGTCTACAACACCGACCCTCTCTACAAGCACATCCCACTCCTCATCAAGGCGACGCCCCAGGGCTGCGTCGCGATCTTCTCCACCACGCACGGCCGAGGCAGCTGGTCCGTCGGCTCGGAAGTCGACGGCCTCTGGGGACACTTCAAGGTCTATCGCCAGGATCACGGCGGCCTGGAACAGTACCTCATCGTCGGGAAGACACTCAAGGAGGTCGTCCGGTCGTATGCGGAGCTCGTCGGGTTCCCTCTTCTAGTGCCGCGATGGGCCTATGGGTACATCTCCGGGGGGTACAAGTACACGATGATGGACGAGCCGCCCGCGCACCAAGCGCTCATGGACTTCGCCGATAAGCTCCGGGAGCACGACATCCCCTGCTCGGCCCACCAGATGAGCTCCGGGTATTCGATCGCGGAGACGGAGCCCAAGGTCCGCAACGTCTTCACCTGGAACAAGTACCGCTTTCCAGACCCGGAGCAGTGGATTGCAGCGTACCACTCGCGGGGCATCCGTCTCTTGACAAACATCAAGCCCTTCTTGCTCGCTTCGCATCCGGACTTCAAGAAGCTGGTGGACGGGAACGGGTTTTTCAACGACCCCGAGACAGACGCGCCCGGGTTCATGAGGCTCTGGAGCGCCGGGGGCGCAACGGGAGGTGACGGCTGTCACATCGACTTCACCTCCGCCGCCGCCTTCCAGTGGTGGTACGATGGCGTGCAGAGGCTGAAGCGTGCGGGCATCGACGGCATGTGGAACGACAACAACGAGTACACGCTTCCAAACGACGACTGGCGCCTGGCCGGTGATGCACCCGCTGTGTCCGACGCCAGCGCCAGGCAGGCGGCCTCCAAGAACAACAACAACACCGTAGGACTCTGGGGTCGGGCATTGCACACCGAGCTCATGGGCAAGGCCTCCCACGACGCCCTGCTGGACCTCGAACCCAGCTACAGACCCTTCGTGCTCACGCGGAGCGCCACGGCGGGCACCATGCGCTACGCAGCGAGTACCTGGAGCGGAGACAACGTGACGAGCTGGGAGAGCATGAAGGGTGCGAACGCCCTGTCACTGAGCGCAGGGATCTCTCTTTTACAATGCTGCGGCCATGATATCGGCGGCTTCGAAGGTAAGAAAGAAAGAGCCCTTCCCACCGGAAGCCTAACTCTCCCAACTATCACACAATCTAACCACCAGAACCAAAAAAAAATCCAGGACCCCAACCCTCCCCCGAACTCCTCCTCCGCTGGATCCAACTAGGCATCCACTCCCCGCGCTTCGCCATCAACTGCTTCAAAACCTCCCCCGGCAACACCTCCGTCGGCGAAATCATCGAGCCTTGGATGTACCCCGAGATCACGCCCTTAGTCCGGGACGCAATCAAACGCCGCTACGAGATCCTGCCATACATCTACTCCCTCGGTCTCGAGAGCCACCTGACGGCTTCCCCGCCGCAACGCTGGGTCGGCTGGGGCTACGAATCCGACCCGGAGGTGTGGACAAAAGCTCTGAAATCGGGCGACGAGCAGTTCTGGTTCGGCGACACGATCCTCGTCGGCGGGGTCTACGAGCCCGGCGTGAGCGTCGCCAGGCTCTATCTGCCGCGCAGCAGCGGCTTTGACTACGGATTCATCAACATGAACGAGCCGTACAACTACCTGGCCTCAGGCCAGTGGGTCGAGATCCCCTCCGAGTGGCAGAAGTCGATTCCGCTGCTGGCCAGAGTCGGCGGCGCGATTCCCGTCGGCAAGGCGGTGCAGACCCGCGTGCCGGGCGACGAGACCGCGGCCTCGGTGGCCGTCGAGGAGCTGGACGATTATCGCGGTGTGGAGGTTTTCCCGCCGAAGGGCACCTCGCACGACCAGGTGTTTTCCACGACCTGGTACGAGGACGATGGGATCTCGGTGCAGCCGAGGATCTCGAGGTATACCGTGCGGTATAGCGCCACAGTCGAGAAAGTCATGGTGGGTTTGGCGCGCGACGAGACGAGTGGGTTTGTTCCGGCTTGGAGGGATCTGGATATTATCCTGCCGTATGGCGATGAGAGACACGTTGTTTCGGAGGATGGGAGTGTGGTGGTGTCGAAAGGGAAAGACGGCCGGGGTCGCGGAGTCTATACCTTCAAGCATTAGATGAGAACAGCTGCCGGCCTGGAAACTGGCCGCGTGAGCACCACATCATCGGAGCTGAAGGGTTGTACGAGACATGCTTGATTAGAATTGAACAGATACCGATCACAATCCTAGAAGTTCATGGCACCCACACCCCTACGTAGCTGGAGGAGACTTTGATTCGTAGAATTCAGCGAAGGCCCGATGACCGATCAATCCATCCATCATTCGCTCTAAACTAACTTATAGTAAGTGGATTGGGTAACGACTCTGACCCTTGGGATGACGGGTCAAATCTACACTAGTTGACTTATTTACTATCCAGCCTAGCCTAATAAATGGCAGCTCCAGTTATCCACGCAATATATACAAATCAATCGGAAATGAAGACAGTCCACACAAAAGTAGTCCCTCAGGCTCCCGCACATCTGTTCGCTCTGCTTGCTCGGCTCCAATCCCTCCGCGCATGCAACGAGAATATATTATCCATGAAGGTGGGGGATGGTCATCTCTTGATGCTAGAAGCTGCGTCCTATAGCCAGCGCCATACTCACAGCCCATGGCGCTCGACCCGGTCGTCATGGTCGTCGATGTAGAGGTCATATGCAATTATTCTGACAATGCAACTCTACTCTTGTCCAAAACCTAATGTCTCCTCTACAGCAATGGACATCTTGTGTTCCAGAGCTTCGTGGGTCTTGTACGGAGGAAGATCAAGACGATTGAAGCTAGAGACAATTAGCGAGCGAGCCACAGGAGACAGACTAGAAGAAAACGTGGACATACCAGGTGTGCGACTTAGGCAATGCGTTGGGATCGCCCGACTTCTCGATAGTGAAACGGCGGGGACCGTCCGAGCCCTGCAAGTCTTTGAATCCGTTGACCGGAATACGCGATGTACCGGTGGTGAATTGCAGCAGGCGAGACTTTTGCTCTGCATCCCAGCTGCGGACAATCTTCCAGAAGTTCTGGATTACCTCGTCCTGCTCCTGGTAGCCGCGGTAATCGGTGTGCTTCTTCCAATCATCGACGTCAATGTCCGCGATACCACCAATCAACAACTCCAGCTCGCGCTCGTCGAACACATTGACCAGATCAGCCGGAATCAGCTCATTGAACCCAGACATGAAGGCATTGAACTGCTCCTCCACCCGCTTCACAATCTTCCACTCCGTCACCAATCTTTGACTGTCAGCGAAATCTACTAGAGTGACAAGGATGGTGTACTCACTCGACATATTCATGCTTGTTCTCGTTAGTCACCGGAATATCGCGACCACCGGGCTTCAGATCAACAGTGGTACGCTCGCCAAACTTCTCGTCATCGACCGCAAAAGTCAACTCCAAGACTCCGTCGATGTCATTCTCCCTGCTATTTGTTAGAACACATAACTTAAAGCGTCCGGGGCGCGTCCGGGCCACTCACAGAGTCCATGTCAGATTGCGGTGCAGATCCTCATCGACACCTTCCATGTCCTGCAGCGAGACCTTCTTCCGCAACATCATCTTGTAGAAAGCGCCAATGAAGAACGAATCCAAGAAACGACGATGGAAGATGGCCAAGCCGACAACTCGTCCAATGAATTTGAAGTAGTTCAGATGCTCCGGGTTCACACCAGAGTGAGGATTAATTTGCAGGGTATAATTATCGTGCGCGGAGTATTCGAAAAGACAATAGAAGGGGTTAAACATTTCGTGAGAGAGAAGGAAAAAGAATTCACTGTATCTTGTCAGACCTGGGTTAACCCACGATACTCGGGGCCAACTTACCGTGAAAGACCGCCGTAGTCCAGACCGTCTTCGCCATCGAACTTGATCATCAAGCGCTTCTTAAGATCGGAAGCGCTCTGCCGCATGATCTCGGCGTACGAATCCTCGAAGATGTTGTTACGTCGGACCTTAACGTGGCACTGTCCGGACATGATACGCAAGGCGGGCTGAGACCGGAAGTAGATCAGCTTGCGTCTAAAGTCGCGCTTGTATTGCGGCACGCCCTGATCCAGCGAGGAAGGCAAACGAGGGTCGTCCCAGGTAGTCGTCTTGGTATTGTGATCCACAAAGTATACTCGGGCCGTATTCGTCAACCGCATTTCCCATCCGCTGGGCAGCGGGCCCAACTGCGACACTGGCTGCTGTTGAATTGTGGTGTTGGTACCGTTGGAATTCTGCCCGTACATACGAATGTACTGTTGACGGCGAGGGTCCACCCATGTCGTGGTGCGGGTATTGTGGTCTACAAAGTATGGCCGGCCTTCGGGTGTGTTGCGTTGCTCCCATCCGGGGGGGAGCTCACCAGTGCCTGCAGTGGTAGCTCCCGTGGCCATCATAGAGACTGCATTGGCGCTACCTCCTGCCGGCGGAGTTTGGGCCTGGGGAGGCGCCGGTTGCTGTTGGCTCTCGGGCAGGTTCGGCGAATTGGCACCCGTGCGGTCTTCCGGCAGCATTCGACTCTGATGGGCCCGACGCTCTAGTTGCATATTGGCTTCGCGCTGTGTGCGCTGCGTATGTTCATTGTAGTTTGACGATGGTCGAGTCCAGGTCGTGGTCCGTGTATTGTGGTCGACGTAATAGGTCCGTCCCAGGTTGTCTTCTCGACGTTCCCAACCAGCGGGCAAACGGCCCTGACTATCCTCAAATGAGCTCAAGTTGGTACGAGAGCCTTGTTGAGCATTTGGCGGGGCACTGGGGGCGCCGTTAGGTGGAGGTGCAATTATGCTGGTCGGTCGGGTGGTCGATGGAACACGCTGTGGGTTCAAGGATGCAGTGGAAGCAGCAGCAGAATCGGCCTGACTGGGACCAACGGAAGGGTGTGAGGGCGGCATTTGCGGGACGAGTCCACTCGACGTTGAGGGTTGCACATGTGAACGATGCAGACCATTAGCCTGGTTGGGAATCGGCGTGCTGAGATTAGTGGACAGATTTATGATAAGCTTTCCATGAACGACGAGGTTGTCATTGGACTTCTTTAAGTCCCGGGTAAGCATTTCTATTGCGGATGAATTGCGTCAGCGCAGGGGTCCCGGAATGAGTTTCACATAGTCACTCACCATCACCGCCCATCTGTAAATCTATCACATCTCCAATCCGTACGTTGATAACACCAAGGAAACCTTGATCCTTCTTCTTGAACTTTTTCTGATCGAAAATCTGGATTGCGAGAATGCTATCCTCATTGACTCGGCTGCAGGATGTCACCGTCAGTTTCCGAAAATGGCGGGTTGCACCACGCGTGGCTCCTTACAGATCAAACATTTCATTCCAATAGGGGTTCAGCGTCTTTTTGATCACCGAGGTCGTATGGGTTTGCTCTCCACCGACGGTAGCCACCGCAAAAGGATCAGGGAAACCTGCTTGATATGAGTCCTCAAAAGTAAGACCTGATGAGACGACCTTGCGGAACTTACGGAAAACATCACGCTTGTATAAACCGTCCGCAGCAATGACTGTAAGACCACGCTCTCCGTCAGTTTCCATTCGCACGCGACATTCCGCGAAGTCCAAAAAGGGGGCAGGTGCTTCTTACTTGTGACCCGAAGATTTGGCTGGCTATAGGAATGACATCTATTAGCATCTATTCGAGAACCGGATTATGCACACAGGAGATATATCGTCGAAGGAACGATGTCGCCGACTCCAAGCAAGGGAGGAGGGGGAAGAGGGGTGGTTGGAGGGGGGAAAAGAGGGGAAGAGCGTATGCACATACGCGGGCAGGTTGGAACCCATCCTGAACTGAACAGATCAGGGCAGGCAATAAAGTGCCTCTGGGTGCAGCAAAAGGCCAATCCGGGCAAGCCTCAAAGGGTGAATCGCGGCGTGCGCATGCACCGCTGTTGACAGGCACGGACCCCAAGAACAGCAGTCGAGTGGGTGATGGTCGTGATGGTGAATGGGAAAAGTCGGTGGGGTTTGGGCGGTTGGAAGGACGTGAAGGTGATCGACTCAATGGAATCGAGGGCCTAAACCGGAAGCGACACGAGAAGATAGGGTCGGACGAGCGAAAACTCGAGGAGCGGCGATAACCAGACGATTCAAGGGAGAGGGAGAGTGAGAAAGAGTGAGCGCGAGCACTAAGGCTTGACGATGGAGGCGCGCGGACTTCTATGGGGCTGAGCAGGGCAGTCCTGACGTTGCGCCTTCGGAACCAATCACGACCGAGCGAGGGGTTCAACCAGGAGGAGAAACTGGGAGGAGGATAACCGCACTGGACGGTAAGAACAGTAGTACTTCTAGTAATGGAAGTAAGTACTGCCTGTAGAACCTTCAACGAAAGCTCCGACCTGGCCGACTAATTCGTGGCGGAGAGAATGATAGAAAGGAGGAAAGAAAGGGACAAAAAAAAAAAAAAGGGTGGTGTGGTTGTGGTGGTCGGTGGTCGTGGCAAAGGGAAAGGAGGGGAAGTGCAGTGGTGGAAAGGAGGAAGTGCGAGGGGAGAGGGTCGATTGTAAGTAAGAGTAGGAGTAACTAAAGTCATCACTGACTACTGACTGACTGACTGACTGACTGACTACAACTACTTCACTCACACCTCCACACAACATCTATTATTGAGACTGACAATCTGTTACATTGATCCTCTTTCACCCTTGCACAATTCTTATTTCATTTCCCGCAGTGAAATCCCACTACCAACTGAGTTATCCAGACGGCAGAACACCAGGAGTAGGTAATGAAGTAATTGGCGCGCCGACTGAGAGAATAACCTTCCTCTACCTTCAAGGTTCCCTTGGATCCCTCCCACTGTTCATGCATTTCTTTTCCAATTAGAAAGCAGAGGAGAGTTAAGGGAGGATAGATTAGATTTCAGTCGCATCATGAGTTGCACTGGAATTGATCTGGGCGATGAAATAAATAGAACAATACTTGATTCTCCGCCAATCAATCAGTCTGAAGGGAGATTGATGGCCTGCTGAACAAGGCAACAAGATTCTTTTTTGCATCTAATGAACTCCCCCCGGTCATGTTTTCTCCCGTCTGATTTCTCTCACGCTCCTATTGACCCCAGTCAACTCATTCCAAGACTTGTCCCGAGCATTACGACTCTTCGTGGATAGTGGGGACAAGGACTCGACGAGCGTCGCGATTCCAGTGGCTCTGCTCTGCTTCACTGGGTAAACTCATCAGCATCGCCTTCTAGACTGGTTGAAATACCGGCCGTGCCGGTCCTTACCCGGACTCGAGGCTACAAGGCCATTCAGGTTAACTTGCTCAAACGTGATATCGTAATTAGCTCGTGGCTGAACCGCTGTGACGCCATCTTTCGGTCTCCCTGTCCATTAGTCATTTCTACGGACCGAGACCATGACAGACCGGGACCCGATCACCCTCATTTCTGTGGAAAGGAGGAGAACAGGAAGCTGTCTAGAAGGACTAGTTCTCAACGGCAGAATCCGATTGTGTGCTGCATGATTTTCTGTCAAGCATGTTCTCATGGGTCATGATTGTCCTCTGAAGGGAGTCTTGGCGGGCAATTTCTGCCCGTAAAGCTATTCTCTGTAGTTTAATGATATCACAGGTGTTCCGCCTATCTGACCCAGTCCGAGATTGCCAGAATGGTTATCATACAAAAGTACGTTCCAGTAAATCGACTCCAAAGACAATTTGAAAAAATGTGGTTTCCCCCTCCTCGTTCAGAGACGCGTACGCGTGCCGCGGAGCGATCATCATGGTCAGCTCGGATGCCTTCCTAGCGCTGGGGTTGCGTGCGGTGACCTCTTAGAGACCCTTCCTTGCGCAAAACAAACACTACCCCGTGTATACTGGAGTTGCGCATCACAACTCTCTAGTAAGGAGCATAGCCCCGACCCCGGCCACGGTAGCCACCGCGATAACCTCCCCGAGGCGCGAAGCCTCCGCGATAACCCCGACCGCCACGGAAGCCACCCCGTCCACGTCCCCGGGTCATGCCTGGCAGATTGGTGCGCTTGGGGACGACCTATATCACCAACCAGTCAGCCACTAATGGCAATGAAAGAAAGGGGAGGGGGGGTGGGGGCTGCGTAGGAGTTGATACCTTCAGGTTTCGGCCGCGGAAGACACTCTCATTCAACACAAGGGCCTGGGCTACCAGACTAGGCTCTGCAAACTCAACATAGGCATACCTGGAGTCGACAAAGGTCAGCCAATCTCATATACAAACGGCTGGAATTTATTGCGCAACAGCATACCCCTTAGGTTGTCCGGTGAACTTATCCAAAAGGATGGTGACCCGATTTATCGAGCCACAGCTCTGGAAGTGTGCCTGAATTTCCTCGGGGGAAGCACCGTAGTCCACATTGCCGACGAAGATACTCCGAGCGTCGATCTCCTCTTTGTCCTCGCGTAGATTCTCCGACTGCTGGTCGAGCGTGGCTTGCATCTCGCGCAGCTTGGCGGCTTCGGATTCCATCTCGGCGACCCGCTTCTTCATCGCGGCGATTTCCTCCTACATGAGTGACAGAGCCGTGTTAGAATCAGTGCCAATATACAGAATGTATGGATTAGGTGATGAAAGTGAATGGGAGCCAGTGCTCAAATTCCCAGCGAGCAGTCCCAGGTCAAATCACGGATGATCCTTACCTCGTCGTCACCAGCTTCCTCGGGTTGCTCCACATGCTCATCCTCGATCTTGTGTTCTTCTGCCGCCATGTTGTATAGGAGGGTTGTGGATTTAGTAGTCCGTGTCCGTTCAACAGCACCAAGTCGCAAAGTGAAAGCTTGAGCGGGCACCGATAGCTTCCCGCGGCTGGTCAAGTGAGCTGCGGGTAGGAAATCTGCTGGAAAAATACAAGATCCGATAAGATAGGAGCGATACGGTATATCACTTCCAGGACTCAATCTGCAGCGGGCGTTGGAGAGAGGGAAATTGACAAAGATGGATCAAATGGAAGATTGAAAGGTGGAGGAGAGCAAACGTGATGCTCGCGTTTGATTGTCCCCGAAGTTACTGCTTGCTTCTTCCGGCTTAGCCCTTTGTCAATCAATGTCCGCCGTCGACTTACTCGGGGTCAATAGCGGCGGCGGGCGGAACGCTGTCGAGATTCGAGCGTCATCCTGCAACGATCGATTTTTCAGTCACTCGGTCCATCGACTAGACGAGGCGATATATATGCTGGACCACATGCATTGTAACAGTCTGTACCCATGGATCAGTATATTCAAGGCTTGGCTTTGACTGATCGCGATGAAAAACTGCAGCGAGACCCAATACTCGCAAGAGTTAATACTAATAGCTCTCCAGCAATTCTTGGGGCCACTTCAACGAAAGACCTTCAAAATGGGATCAAGAGTTTAGACTACGGCAAGGAGAAAGCTCTCCTACAGTTCCTACCCCTGACCAAACTACGAATCACCGAAATGTCTACCCAAAAGTGCAAGCACTTGCCGCTACTCGCTCATTTATCATCCACCCGAACGTGTTGCTCTTTCCAGCCTATACTTGGAGTCGCCCGATAATTCATCGCTTGTAGCGGGCAGCCTAAGCTGTAAAGTCATGCGAGCTTAGGCATTCGAGTCTCTTCCTTCTTTTTTCAGGCAAGGCTGAAGGAGTCGACCAACAAGGAGGAAGTCATTATCGTATCTGATCTATGATTATGTACAAGAGAAATAGATAAAAAGCGTCAACTCATGAAGATGCAGTATTGTTCTTGCGGTAAGATACTTTCTCCACCGCGACTGTCTCAGCCCCATTGGCGTCCGTCTTCAACTGGTAGACATAGAGTACGAGAACATCTCCTTGGATCTGCAACGATCATTAGCACCAGGCTCTGTAAGGTTTTCCGTCGCGCAATTGCAACTCACATCCATCAGACAAAAACTGGGGGTGGGCTCATCTCCCTCGGCCCAGTATCCTGTGCTCATCGCACCCGTAGCACTACCAGGGTTGATGAAGAAACGGCCTTCCAGTTCAAACGCCTCGAAACGGTGGGTACCTCCCCAAAGCAGAATGTCCACATCCATCTGACGTGCGGCGATCAGAAGCGCATCCGCGTCGCCCGGGGGGATGATGGTATGGCCATGAGTGAATCCGATGCGCAGGCTACCGTGGGTCACCACTTTCGAGAGAGGTAGATTCGGAGAATCAACATCGAAATCGCCCTTAACCAGTTGTAGATCAGGCGCCACCTGCCGGAGAAACTCGTATGTGCTGCGATCAGTCAGGTTACCGAGACAGAGAATCTGGCCGATCTTGCCCGGCGTCAAGAGTTTTTTGAACTGTTTTTGTGATGGTGTTAATAGGGAGCATAAATAGCAAGCGTCACCAGGACCCAGTGTCACGGCAGGTCAGAAAGTCGCACCTTTGCGGGAAGGTCCTATGCATTAGTAGATTACAAGGTCAGTCGACTATTGATTATTTAAAGCGGGGGTTTGGGGGAGGGTGGGAAGTCAAGAACCAGCGACATACGGGAGCTCTGTCAGGGATGAACAGGTCACCAATGACCAGGACCAAGCGCGAAGTCATTCTGGGCGGTAATGCAGTCACTCAAGGGCCCATTCCAGAATGAGCAATGAGTCTATGAGGTGTGTATATAGTTTTAAGGTTAATGAGAGACGCAGGCGTCGGGAATGCACAGTTGTCGGATGGAGATATCAATTAAGCTAAGTTACCTAGAGTAAGAGCCTAAGAGGGAGTGACTTATCTGGGCCCCTACCGATGGGAGCGGCGCGGGGAAAGCTTACCGTAAGCCTCTGTCGGCCATTGCGACGCCGAACAAGCATAGCCCTAAGCCCTAACACAGGAGTTATTTCGGATTAGTCCAACTGCTTGCATCTATGAGGCTGCGTTCCTGCGTACTGGACTGCACCTGCTGGAACATCATGGAGTCTGAGAGGGCGTTGGGGTATGAGGATCAATGAGGAGAATGAGTGAGTGTGGGACAGTCTGACGAAGGGCATAACTTCGCCGATTGTATGGTGCCTGTCTCCTGAGCCAGAACAGCAATTGAATCATCCACCTCGGTTGCATCAGTATATGGGAGTACGGAGCAAGTAGGCAGGATCGCATCAGCAAGTACTGCGGAGGAGTTGGTCCACTGCACGTCAACGAATAACTCGAGTCGCTGCTCGGATATACTATCCTCAATCTTGCTCATGCACTAGTTTGATGACTCAATGCAATGTGTCTTTTGAAATCATTCCCCAATTGATCCACGGCAGGGCCCGCCCGTTGGAGGCATCCCTCGCTTTTACGGCCGATAGGTAGAGAGAATAACGCGCCAAAGGGGAAAAGGGACCACCCAGAAGTCGGAAAATTCTCCTCGACTGAACTTCACCCCGTTCGTAGACATCGTCTTGACACCATTACACATAACTACATCGAAACTCGTTTCCACCTCATCTTCACACTATCTCCAAGCAATCTATACGGAAAGCAACCCCGGCGATCCCCGATTAGCCGCTGCTCCTGCTTTTCCCCTCCTTCTCCCCGGCGAGTTAACGTCTGGGTCTCCCCTCCATCTCAACCTCTAAACGGGCTCTCCCGTCGAGAGCCGACCTTTCGGAAAGCTGGCGGCCAAACGGACGCAGCAGCGCTTGAGCCTGATCTCCAGACACCTGGATCAGCGACTCCCGCTGCCTGAGCTTAACACCCCGTTCTCGACCGAGAGGAATTCCCTCGCCCCGGACGATCTCGAATATAAACCCATCGACCGCTCCGTTTCATCTTCCCTCCCTCCGTCTCCCACCACTCCATCTTCCTCTCCGCCCAAAATGTCTTCCCAACCTCCCCACAATACCCTGCTGATTCCGGGGCCCATCGAATTCGACGATGCTGTCCTCCAGTCCATGTCCCACTATGCGTAAGTCCGGATTACCCCTCCTTCCCCAAACCTCTGTTCTCCCTTCCCCATCATTGCTCTCTGTCATTGAACCATACCTTTGCCTCAGCCGTCTCTAACCGCTTTATGTTGTCTCAGCGAGAGTCACGTCGCTCCCGGATTTGTCAAGACCTTCGGTGAGACCTTGTCGCTCGTGCGCAAGCTCTTCCAATCCTCCAATCCCGCCGCTCAGCCTTTCGTCATCTCCGGCAGTGGCACTCTGGGCTGGGATGTTGTAGCTTCCAACCTGATCGAGAAGGGAGAAAATGCCCTTGTCCTCCACACCGGTTACTTTGCCGATTCCTTCGCCAACTGCATTGAGACCTACGGGGCCCATGCCACCCAGCTCAAGGCCCCCATCGGCGAGCGGCCTTCGTTCGACCAGATCGAGCAGGCCCTGAAGGAGAAGCCCTACAAGATCATCACCATCACCCATGTCGACACGTCAACCGGAGTGTTGAGCGACATCAAGCGCGTGGCCGAGATTGTGCGCCGCATCAGCCCCGAGACGCTGGTCGTCGTCGATGGAGTGTGCAGTGTCGGCTGCGAGGAGATTGCGTTCGATGAGTGGGATCTCGATGTCGTGCTGACGGCCAGCCAGAAGGCTATCGGCTGCCCTCCCGGTCTCAGCATTCTGATGCTGTCCGGCCGGGCCCTCGACACCTTCAAGGCCCGCAAGACCGCCCCTGCCTCGTACTACGCCTCGATCGCCAACTGGCTGCCCATCATGCAGAACTACGAGAATTTCAAGCCCTCTTACTTCGCCACGCCCCCGACCCAGCTCGTCCACGCTCTGCACACCACCCTCTCCCAGATTACCGCGCGCCCCATCACTGAGCGCTATGCCATCCACCGTGCTGCCTCCGACCGCGTCAAGGCTGCCGTCGCCGAGCTCGGCCTGAAGCAGGTGGCCGCCGTCCCGGAGAACCAGGCCCACGCCATGACCGCCATCTGGCTGCCCGAGGGCCTGACACCCCCCGACGTGCTGCCGGGCCTGTTGAAGCGCGGTGTGATCTTCGCAGCGGGTCTGCACAAGGAGGTGGCCACCAAGTACATCCGTTTCGGCCACATGGGCGTCAGTGTCACCGATCCCAACCGGTCGGACATCGACAAGGCCATTGCCGCCTTGAAGGAGGCTCTGACCGAGGCCAAGCAAGCCAAGGGGCTGTAAATATATCCCATAAGACTGTCGATTGTATTTAGCACATTGTTCAATAAAAATTCCAAAAGACTTCCTTGATTGCCTGATTCCCCCTCTGCTGCCTTCCTAACCACGATTGCATCTTGAGGAGTCCATCATATGCACCACCTCCCCCCCTCCCAACCAACCCCCCACCTTGAGGTACCCCTCCCTGCGATCTCGGAGCAGGTGTGACCGATAAGCCGGACCGGGCCCCGCGATAGGAACGAATTACCCAAACGGGTAATGATATACGCGACCTTCGCCAAGGCATCGAGTAGATAGATATAGAGCCAGATAGACCTTTCCCCCCCTCGTGACACCTTCAGTAGATATAAAGCCAAGACAAAATGCAGCTTGCCTCCATGGCATCTGGAAAGTGATAGTTTTATTGCGCGCCAGATGCCAAATCGTGTGGTACTTATGCAATTAAGTCCGGCCGCAGACGACGATGACTCAGTTGTCACTGATAGCGTGTGAGATATATAGTCAGATCTTCTAGAATGCTTCTTCAAAGTATGGTCGATCCCCTCCACCGAGAACGACATTCCAAAACACTCAATTATAAAGTATTCTCACGCACCATTCGAAGCTGTTTGAACCGCTGTACAAAACCTAATTGACGTGGACGGGGCAGGTAGCCACATACTACCGACCGACACAACTTGAGCCTGTCCATGGGGGTGGAGTGTGCAGTACGAGACTTGAGATAAATTCAGTAACCATGTTTGTCAATCAACCATGACCAAGAGCAGAAGATGGGAGCGAGAGAAGCCTAATGAATGGAAATATTATCTGGAAAGGAATGATGAAAGAAGCGAAGATCAGGTAACAAAAACCATAGGATCACTCCCCCTCACGTCCCTTTCCCTCATCTATACAGGAGCAGAGACGTGAGAGTCTTGATAAGTATGCATGCATTATAAGAGTTTCGTGAAAGGAAAAGGACATCATCAAGCTTTGGTGATTTTCCAGCCAGAGTTCCTCTTCGGTTCTCTGGTTCTGTGCAAAAGGGAGGGTTTATTATTATATTAAGCCTTAAGTCGCACACCTCTCGACCCCGGTGCATCTTGTCCTCGTCAAGCTAAGATTCTGTTTCCCCTCTACGCAAGGCTAGAAAAGCCCGCACATCGGTTACATACTGTAGAGCTTCTAACATGGGGACGAGATGGAGCAACCCGTTGTCGGTTGGATCATTAATCCAGCCCTCGATGGGGATTGCGTTATCTGCGGTTGAGATATCAGTGATGTGAACTCATCTGGTTTCCATACCCTTTGTACACACCTTCGTGAAAAATATAACTCATAGGACTATTGTCCAAAATCATCACTTTGCTCAGGTCTGGCTCAACAGAGCTGAGATCTTTAATGTAAGCGCCATTGCGAAAGGTACAGTGTTGGCGGTAATACCGCGCGTGGAAGTATTTCCGCTCCTGCTCCAGCCAGTCGATGACCGGGTCGGCGTACTCTTGCACACTCGCAGTGAAGATGACCAACTTGTACCATTTGCACACCTTACGCAAGAACTCATCACAGTGTGGCCGTTTATGGACATAGTATAGGATGGGATGTTGCGGACCAAGCGTGGTAGGCGGCCCGCCAGGAGTCAGAGCGGTCGTCATTGGCGTTGACAGCTTAACTTCAACCATGTGACCGCTGGACATGCGGCCTCCCTTGGCCAAAGAGTGAATGAGGGTTTCGTCGAGATCGAGAACCAAGGTCTTTTGTGGGCTCTTTGTGCTGCGCATATTTGGCGTGTAGGAAGGTATACGCTGGGGAATCAGCGGTCGAGGAGGAACCGGCGAATGTGGGTACCGAGTAACACGATGTACGGACGGGGATGTAGGAGATTTCAAGCTATCAAGGTTGAGAGTATTCTGGGATCCATTTTGCGACGCTTGTCCAAGATCTGTGCTTTGGGAACGACGCTGTCGCTGCCGCTTGAGCGCCTCTTCGTTATGGAGCTTGATCCGAATAGACCGTCGGGGAGTGTTATCATTTGGTACATGCTCTGGACTGGGAGACTTGGACTTGACGGACCGAGAACGACTGCTGCTGAGTCCCTTGGTGCTTCGCCGATCACCCTCCGACTCGGACGTACTTGAGGCGATGGATTCGCGTGATCTATAAGTTTTGGGTCGTCGTAAATTTCGTTGCTTGCCATTCGTCGGAGTAGCTCCTTTGCCCGCCGCGCCAGGGTCTGACTCTTTGGAACGATGTGAAAGTAAGCGGCTGATCTTGCGAACCGGAGCCAGTGGAGAGTAATGACCGTCAGCTTCGCGAAAGCAGTGGGCGACAAATAAACCAGGCGCGGCAAGCGTAGTCAGAATGAACTTAATCGTCTCGGCAATGACATCAAAAAATCGGTGAACAAACAGCCCTAGGGTGCTGTTTGTGGCCAGGGACCGATCTTTAGATAGACTTCGTAACAGGGGCGATTTCTCATCAAACGTATATTCATGAACGGGATCATCTGGTGCAACAGATGTCTCATCAGGGCTTTTCTCATGGTGATCCGAGGCGTGAAAGTTACTTTCGCTATAGGACCGAAATTTGGCAAGGTCTCCTGGTTCAATCGTTCGGGGAACCTCTCCTTGCGATCGAGACCGTTGGCGACTCCTACTCGGACCGGTCGGTTGACCGATGACTCGGGATGACAAGATATTCAGTGAGTTCATCTTCCGAGATGGGCCACGGGTGTCCGGGCTGGCGCAGGTGTCTAGTGATGTTGAGCGGAGGCGGCCGGTCAGCACCAGGTCATGTCACGAAGTAACTGAAGGAGATGCGATGCAGGGAAGCAAGACATGGAGCTTTACCGACCTCAATGCGCCAGTCGACAACCCGTGCTAATATCTGTTGGCGGTTGACCCCAACCTGTTGTTTTCGATGGGCAACCCGGTGAGCGATAGCCGTTCGGTGTAGTCCTTGGCTTAACCGACGGATAAGCGGGATGGAGTGAGGCGCCAGAGAGCGCGGAAAGAAGACGGAACAGGAAGCGTAGGGAAGCCCCTCACAGTTTGGGAAGAGGACTGGCTATAATCGGGCAGTCGGCAAGGGACTGAGATTTAGTAGAATAGAAGAGGGTGTGTGTGGGAGAGAGGAAAGATGAAGGAAGACGCCGGAAGTGCGAAGGAGGAGGAAGAGAAAGAGGGAGTGAAAAGGTGGAGGAAGGCAACCAATCTGTATGTATGGGCTGCTTGCTGTTGCTGTTGCTGCTGTTGCTGCGATGGTTCGTTGGGCCGAGCGGGCAAAATCTCCCTCCGTCACATCCCACTTCTTCCACTACTGACTGACTCTTCCGCCTTTGACTCCCCCCTCCTCCTCCTTCTTCTTCTTTGCTACTGGTCTCGTCCGCTGCTCTCTGTGCATTTCTTCCTCACTGATTCCCGGTTTGACTCTGCAGAAGTAACTCTTCTTTCTTTCATAAGCCCTTGAGGCGATCAATCCGTGAGTCCGAAGGTTGTTGCGAGCGCGCTGAACCCCCACAAGGAGTTTCTCAGGTATGCGACTTGTGCGACCAACTCAATGACCCCCCACCGTTCTGCCTCACTAATGCTGCATATAGCTCGACACACCATCGAAGCTTGGTCACCATCCGTCCTGTTAGACTTTACAGCTTTGAATAAGAATACTTGGCCGCTTCAATCCCATACATTCAGAACAAAAATGCCTGCTACCTCGGGACCTTTGACGCCGGGTCTGGCGTCCTTCCTCAAGACTTTGAAGACGAATCCCATTGATACATCGATTGACAATTTGATCTCGTGCGTCTTCAATGTCACGCGACTGTCGGTTGCAATTCGTGTCGAGTTATACTGACACACCACCAGGCTGCTCAAGCGCAGACAAATCCGCCATTCCAGATCGTGTGCAACTGCGACCGCCTATCTCCTCCGCGGTGTCATTTCGGCCTCCAGAACGAACGACGCCAGCAAGTTGATCGAAAGAGTGCAGCATGTCGGTAGGCGGCTTATGGCAGCGCAGCCCCGAGAGATGGTGGTGGGCAACATTGTCCGGCGTGTGCTCGGATTGATTCGCGACGAGGCTGAAGACGACCGTGAGGGTGACTTCAATTTGAGCGAAGCTGGCTCTGAAAGCCAACCCCAGACTCCTCGTGGTCTCGACGGTATGGTCGTAGCATGTCTGCTGGAAATGTATCGGGACTAACGGACAGCGATAACCACAGACCCAACCGATGCTCTTTCCGGCCGCCATGACGGCTCCGACCGTGGTGCATCGAGACAGCCCTTCTCTGCCCTGACGGCCGCCCCTATATCTATGTTCAGTCTGCTTTCGCATCCCGAGGCCGAGAATTCACTCCCTGGTACCCCTATATCCGCGTCACCCTCCGGTCGGCTCCTTGGCCACGCACCCACCAAAGACATTCGAGCTGAAGTCCTGGACGGCATCAGCGAGATCATCGACGAATTGACTCAGGTAGACGACCAGATTGCGGCATATGCTTTGGACCACATTCACTCCAACGAAATCATCCTCACTCACACCTCTTCAACCACCGTTCAAAAGTTCTTGCTCAAAGCTGCAGCCAAGCGGAAGTTTACTGTTATCCATGCCGAATCTTACCCCAACAACCACGAAGCCACTCACGCCACTGTCAGCGGGGCCAATCCCCATGACGATGAGCTTCTGAGCACTGAGTCGTTCCAAAAACCATTGATTGCCCTGGGCATTACCGTCATTCTCATTCCTGACTCCGCGGTCTTCGCACTCATGTCTCGTGTGAACAAGGTCATTTTAGGCACGCACTCTGTCCTGGCCAACGGTGGTCTGGTTGCCGCAGCCGGTACTCGGGTCATCGCTCGCGCAGCCAAGGTGCATCAGACGCCCGTTGTTGTGGTGAGCGGTGTCTACAAGCTGAGTCCCGTATACCCGTTCGATTTCGACTCGTTGATCGAATATGGAGACGCTAGCAAGGTCATCGAGTACGAGGACGGCGACTTGGTGGATCAGATTGACGTACAGAATCCGTTGTACGACTATGTTCCGGCGGAACTGATCGACCTTTACATTACAAACTTGTTCGTCTCGCTTACCGCAGTATCTCCCATCTTCTATGTCTTGATACTAACAATTACTTCTTGTTTAGGGGAGGACATGCGCCATCTTACCTGTACCGTATTGTGTCGGACCACTACCGCAAGGAAGATATCAGTGTTTAAAGGCACCCCCCACCGAAGGGCAGAATCAATACAAAAATTTTACGAGGACAAAAGAAAATGATCTTCACGAACTCTCGATTCATTTATGGCTGAGGTCACATATCAATGTGGATATAAAAGGCGTAAGGAATAATCATAGACAATATAAAGAGGCGATACCCGAGACATGCTTACACGAATTGACTTTGCGCACGGATGGATTTGGCTACTGAAGTGTTGTAGAACACTCTGCGAGATCAAAAAGCAGCGAAGTACAACCCAGATATCTACTTTTATACAAAGTACAGCATCGTGTTTTTGTGAGAGATTTGATATTTCAAAGCCCGTCCCAAGGAGACCAATCATGGCACCATCCTTGTAACGGATATAACAGTCGTGATAAGCCGCAAAACATTAAGTTTGTATTTGCAGGTGTTCTCATCCAGCCTTCTTGAATCCTTTCTTGTGAAGCAATACAGAAGAAAAAAAAAAGAAAATTGAATTTCCAGACCATAGAAAATGCTCGCCTTGTCTCAAGCCGTGGTATATTTTTTGTATCATTCGCTATGGAATGGGCCCCCGCCCAGAACAGAGATCACCTTCCCTCCCCCGGAAAAGAAAAAAGATATCATAATTTTCCTTTCCCGGAGCATGCCAGCCGACATCTTCCTTTTGCTTTGTAAAGATGGGGTTTGGGTTGCTTAAGAGCGGGGCTTCTCCTTCTTCTCCTTCCAGAGGGCCATGAGACCGACACCGGAGACCTTGACGACCTTGAAACGGACACCGGGAATATCACCCTTGGCCTTACCCTTACGACCGAAACCGGCGAGGAGGACCTCGTCGTTCTCATCGATGAAGTTCAAGCAACCGTCGTTGGGGACTAGATGGAGGGGAGAGATGTCAGTGATTTGATTCGCGGACAAAAAGTGGTGTGGTGTTTGGCGTTGTCCTCTGTGGTGGATCTTCTGATTTTTGCCACTCTCACGAGTGCCGTATTGCCAATATCCCATCATTCATCCCATTCCTCTTTCTGCTGATCCACCACAAGAGATAAACACCCAGACAGAAAACCACCACGCAGGAAATTGAAAAAAAAAAAAAAAGGATCACCCACCGAAAGCAGTAACCTTCTTGCCGTTCTTGATGAGCTGGACCTTGACACACTTGCGGATAGCGGAGTTGGGCTGCTTGGCCTCAACACCGACCTTCTCGAGGACGATACCCTTGGCGTGGGAAGCACCACCGAAGGGGGAGGACTTGTAGGCGGTACCGAGAAGGCGCTTCTTGTAGTGCAAGTCGGCCCAACGGTTCTCGCGACGGGTGGTCGCGAGCTTGCGGGCGGCGTTCAAACCACGGGGCTGTCCCTTACCCATCTTGTCGGATTATGTGCGGAGGACTGAAAACTGCAGGAGATGCATATGTTAATTATCGCGGGCATAACCAAAACTGCTGCTTGTGCCAATTTTTTTTATGGATATGATTGTCTGTCGTGTGCTCAACCGGTCCCCCAGGTTTATGCGCGGATTGTGTGAAATGTGCAACCGAGATGGCCTCAAGAGTGTCCGTTTCCTTCCTTCTCGACCCGTGATATCACATGTACGTTCCTCCTCTTATCACATTCGCCCCTTTCAGGTTGCATCCTCTTGCTACTCGAGTTCGAAATGTGTGCGGCGGGTTGATCATCGATGTGTCGTGCTTGGATAGATGTTGTAGGCGAAGGTAGCGGCGACTGGATTTCTACCACTCTCTCGGGCAACTTTTCGCAAATCACACACGCAAAACCCGGGGGACAGGACAAGAGACAGACGTCGAGAACAGCGACAGCAATGGCATGGAGTTGATGAATACGTACCGACTGATGGAGATAACGCCGAAAGGCTGGATGGGCGGATGGATGTCGAGAAGTCGAAAGGTCAAAGGGGGGGTCTTCCTTTCACGGCCGGCGGTCGCTCGACTAGATCGAAAATGTTCTGCTGTGCGCCTTCGCCCTAAACGGCCGCTAAGCGAGGGACGGCGATTCCACCCGGTTGGCCCGGAGCCTCGGCCAAACTTGTTTCTCCGGGTGGCTCTGCCGGCTCTCACCGCCTGGTGCTTTGGAAAAGACGATAACGATAAGGTCGAAACCCCCCGGAATGGGGGCACTTGTTATCGACCTGACAACTGCATATATCCTGTATAGCACCTAGAGCTACTTCGACCTCATGCTTTGCTGCTTCCGGGTCCATCACCAAAAAGCTCGAAATAATGCCTTAATTTCTAATTACCATCCTAAACCATATATACCGAAGTAATACAGGAAAACAAACCCCTCCCAACCACCAATGGCTTCCAACACCCTCCGCATGGATCCCAAGATGGATCCCCGCATGGAAACCGCCCGGAAGATAAGCGCCCAGCGACTTCCCCCGCCCGTTCTCTTCCAAGGTCCGCCCTCGCACAGTGGCTCCAACATCTCCATCCCACCACCGCCTGCGGCAGTCGGCGTTAGCCCCAGTGGTAGGACAGGGCCCGGGGCTGGCAGAGCAGGAAGTCAATCGCCGCCTCCGCTGCAACGAAATCGATCCGCCCGTGGCATTGAAACCCCTGGCGCCTTTGCCTCGCCGTTCCTCACCCGCAAGCAGTCCAAGGGCGACATCGATGGCTCCGATGCCATCTGGCAGGAGATGCAGAGCGCACTTTCGGAGGTGGAACTGAGCGCCACCACGGGTGAGCATGTGTTTGGTGAGAGGCATTCGGAGGCGCTGGAGGAGCTCCGGGCGAAGCAGCTAAAGCTCGCGCAGGCGTGGGCTCGCAGTGAGGCGGATGACAAGACTGGTGATGCGAAAGAGGCGGTCCCGGCCAAAGGATCTGCCGCTGCGCAGGGTCAGGGGTCGCGGGGTGTAGCCGGCGCTGGCGCTGGAGCCTCTGGGGAACCGGCTACCGCGGAGGATGGCACCGCTGCTCGGAACCTGGATGAGGAGACTGAGAAGGACATTCTGCTGGCGCGTGAGAGACGTGAGGCAAACGATCGTTACTTTGACCGTGTGAACAATGGTGTGCTGGACGTTGTGGCCAAGTTGGAGGAGGTGGCCCAGGCTATGCGCGCTGTCGAGCGAGAGAGCCAGGATATCTGGAGTGATAGCAGTAGTCTGAGCACGGCGACACAGACTACAGCAGATGCCGGGTGAATCCATTGGAGGTGGATTGGCAGCTGAAGCGCTCCATGTCAGCCAGATGGCTCTGTCCAAGCGGAAGTCAAGGTGGTATAGCCCGCCTATCCAGTATCCATACTGAACCACGGCGAGAAACGTCCATTGTATGTATATGCCCTGTCCCTTTGTGGCAGACACAAGCCGAAAATACAATGTAAAACCACGAACCCAAGAGGAGAAGACCCAGTACTTTTAATAAGAACTACCAACCTACCAACATCAAACCAAGGGTATCAGAACAATAGAATAACACACCCAATATCATACACCTCCACGCACAATGCAAAAAGCTTGGATCCACCTCCAGATGCAAAGAAGCCACAACCCCGCCGTTTCTACTCGCTCTTCACCAGTCTCGCGGCCGACCTCCACCCTTCCACAGCCATATCCCTCACATCCTCCCAGCTAGTCTCGTAGGCCTTGTTCGCGTACGACTTCACTTCTGTGTTCCAACGATGTTTGAGCAGCTCAGATAGGGTTGGCTGTGTGCGTTGGGGCGGGAGCTCCTGGGGTGTCTCGGTCTCGCTAGGGATTAAGCGGCGGTCATATGCACCGGTCGACGAGGCCAGCCAGGTCAAGGCGCGGGTCTGTTCGCGGATCGCGTTGCGCTGCTCCAGGCGATTGTACCGGTGGACTTGGACGGTGAGGTAGATCACGGTCGAGGTGAATGCAAAGCCACTCGCCTGAAGTAGGTCAATGGTGTGTTTTGGGTGAGGGTGTTTGGGTTGTGACTTGAGATTTATGGGGTGGATGATTGCGGAGGAAGGGGGTGTAGTACTTACGAAGCCTGTAAAGAAACCCATTGCTGTGATGATATTGGCTCGAGTGAAGGAATTCACAAACACTGGTCGGATTGAATGATCAAGTTGCGCAGGGCGGGGAGGACGGGAGAAGTGCAGACTCGCAATGGACTCGAGGCACGGTTCGAATGGAACGGTTCTTCACAAGGAACGACCCAGTAAAGCAGCATCATCCAAGAAAGTTTCTAATACATCGATTGTATCCAGATCGGAACAAAATAAAACCTCGCATGAAAGTTGCAGGTATATACTACATCATCCAGGCATCGAACATCTTCTCTCTCTCTCTATTGAAGGGAAAAGCGCGGACCGGACCCAGCCGACACTCCGATTGGCCCGCGCGGCCAACCCGAATCTTTTGCATCCAGAACTTCAACTCATTGCATGGAGGGATCTCCAAATACCTCTCAACCTAGAACCACCCTCCCAACACCGAAACCATAACTCAACTCTACCTCTCCAACCCAATCGAATCGGACCATTTCCCCCTCAAGTCAGCCGTCCCAATTGAACCCTGCAAATCCGGGCAAGACAGAAATCCCACCGACACCCTCAAACCACCACCCTCACCACCCTCACTCCCAAAAACCCCCAAATCTAAACAACCACAATGGCCGGAGGTGCAGCCAAATACCGTCACCTGAGCCGCAAGTCCTCACACCGACAAGCCCTCCTCCGCAACCTGGTCACCTCCCTCTTCACGCACGAGTCCATCACGACCACCTGGGCCAAGGCCAAGGAAGCCCAACGCCTCGCCGAGAAGCTGATCACCCTGGGCAAGAAGAACACCGAGGCTAGTCGCAAAAGCGCTCTGGCAACTTTCTACGTATGTCATACCCACTTCCCAAAACCCAGGATCCAAAGACAACCACTCTCCCAACCATGCGTGGCCCTTTTTAAAAGCCCCTCCCAAGGCTTGTAACAAAGAAGCATCAACCCTTCCAGTTACTTACTGGAATTATGGAATAATTAGACCCCCCACGAACTCCTCCCCAAACTCTTCGGCGATCTCCGTCTCCGCTACGCCGACCGCCCCGGGGGCTACACGCGGGTGCTGCGCGTGGAACCCAAGAAGGATGATAAGGCGGAGAGTGCCATCCTGGAGCTCGTGGACGGGCCCAAGGATATGCGGTTTGCGCTGACGGCGCGCACGATCGCGCGACAGCGCGCCCAGGGCTTCGACACGCTCAACCAGCTCACTGCGCAGAATGTGCGCAAGGTGACGCGGTTCCGGAAGGATGGGGTGGAGGCCCTGGAAGCGGCGGTGCAGAAGTTGAAGGTCAGTGGGCAGGGGGCCGAGAAGGAGAAGCTGTCGACGACGACGACGTCGACAACAACGACGACGGATTCGGATTATACAGACACCCCCACCATGAAGACGTCGAAGCGTCAGGCTTTGCGCGGTTGAAAGCAGTGGATTTGGACTACATGAAGGAAGGAAGAGACAAAGAGAGCGCTGGCAGAAAGTCCATCCTCGCTCTCGTGCGCGCGTGTGTGTGTGTGTGGTTATAGAGTCTATTGGCAGCGACGCTGGTTTGCCTTTTTCTGGTTGTTATGGTTCTCTTGCCATTTTTTTTCGATGATTTTATCCTGTAACTTATATCATTTCGTATCGTATTTCTCCATGCTGCTTTTCTATCAACTATAAGTCGAATGGAGGCTGGCCATGACTGTACTTCTAGCTGATGAGGTTCCTACCAAAATCATACTTTCGAGCAAGCTATACTCCTTCATAATTGAACTTGTTGAATCGCATGACGGTAAGCAAAGAGATATGACCTTGTCTAGTCCTGGAAATTTTCGGACGACAAAAGACTTCTCGGCATCGATTCAACCATACATGTACTGTATCTAAGCACTGTCAACCATCCCATACCAGCAAGATCTAAGAGAAGATATAAGTTTCAAAGCTACTGTGCCATGCTCGCAAGCAACTAGACAGCTACACCAAACGCCATGCAAAGCCCGGTCTTAGTCGCGATCTTTACTATAACATGGTCCAGGCAACCCGCCACATGGATCGAGAATCAATTCTTGCGCCCTGCGGGGAGGTTCGGCATTTTCCATACTTTAATCAATCTGCTCCTTACTAAAATTCGCCATAGCAAGTTTCTCTCGCCTGCGCTTGCCAGGAGAAGAAGTATGTGCACTTTTGAAGAAGAAGAAAACAGGTGAGAAATCAATCCGTCGGCAGAGCAGTTGTACTAGCTAGCCCGCTGAGTTAATTGGTTCGTGGTAGTATAGTCCCTCCTGAAACAACGAGCGGTCCATTTTTGCTGTTTAGCGCGCTGCCTGGAAAGGGCGGAGTAGAGGCAGGCCCGCTTCGGTGCTTGATATCATATTCAGATCGTACCTCGGATGGTGGTGGCTTGGGCGGAAGATGAGACGGCGTGCCCCACTTGGCAATGGAATCTCGACCACTAGAAGGTATGCCTCGAGGAAGGTTCTGTCCTGCGGACCCTAACGTGTCCTGACCCTTGGAGTTGACATCCTGATAGCCATTCCACTGGGGGAGGACCCCAGGCTGCATCCCAGGGTACGGACCCATTCCATGTTGATTAGCCTTGTTTGGGTGCCGTGCTAATGTAGCTGCCCCACCCGGAACGAATGAACGCGTCTGGGGATTGAAAGGAGACCGGCTGAAACTCCCGGGCATAGGGTGGGAGCCAGAGTGAGGTTGCATCGCAGGACTCATAGGTTGACCCGGGTACTGAGTGTAAGGATAAGAGGTAGGGTTAGGCGGTTGCGTCTGGTAGTTCGTCCATGCAGCAGGAGTAGGAGCAGGAGCATGGGTGCGATGAGGCTGATGGTGGTAGCCACCAGGGTAAGGCGGTGTTGACCAGCCAGGCGTCTGCTGATATTGTACCGGATTGGGCATTGGATAGCTGCCAAGGGCAGGTGACGATTTCGTCGACGCCATTGCCGGGGACTGCGTGATGGATGCATATCCTGCAAAGGGAGACTGCTGAGGCACAGGCCCATTCGGCCACGGCCCACTCGGGGTCATTTGTGGAGAGACCGGCATCGAGTAATGGGACATGGTGTTCTGGTTCACGGGACCTGGGAACATGGCACCCGTTTGTGCACCAGAATAGCCCATATTCGGTGGAGATACTCCGGGCCCCACCATGCAAGGCTGATTTGAAAAGGAGGGATCATTCATGGCCATATTGAATGGTCCTGATCCATTGCCGAAATGCATCCCAGGATAATAAGCATTGAATTGTGACCGGGCTTCGAAGCTATCGTCATGCGGCGTCTTCTGCCGGTGCGTCTTTTTGCGTCCGCTGGTTGAACTTGAGCGCGACATGTTGGCGCTGCTATCGCCATTCACAGTCTCTGCAGCAGCCTTCGACTCAGGGAAGTCTCGGAAGATCCGTTCACGCGCTTCTTGATATTTGGCTTCTCGCTCCTCTCGGGTCAAAGCCAGTCTATCTTTGGCCGGAGTGGCACCTGTAGATGAACCACCACGATCTCCGTCGTTGCCGCTGTCGCCAGCTTCAGATCCGTCCTTTGAATAACCAGAGCTTGCTGCGATGCTGCCTTCGGTTGAAGGTCGCTCACTACCCGCACGCCTCATGATTTTCATGGCGGGCATCGCAGGTGGGGGTGTGCTATTGTTCGCTGCATATATCATGGCGAGAGGCGTTGGACTAGCAAGAAATCAGCACCTATTTTGGGATAGAATTCATATCACCCAACTTACAGCCGACAAAACGGTGTCCTGTGAAGTCTGACGGACGTGACGTTATTATCCACAAAGTGAGTCAGATGGTAGTAGTCGCCCAATTTGTGAGCCAAGAGTCTTCCGAACGCATTGGAGGGAGGGAGTTCCAGCGAATGCTCCCTATACTCAACTATTAGAGACAATTTCAAGGCGGCATGATTGGGATAGGGACTTACTTGGAGTTCTCAATGAAATGACGAACCTTCTCCTCTAGCTGCAAAATGAGAAGTCGGTCTTTCGGGGACTTCATGGCCTCGAGTAGCTTCTCATCTGGTTCTGAGGGGAAACCGTGTATGGGTCGACCTGCTTGAAACCCTTCAGAGTTGGAGGCAAGAAAGCCGCTAGAAATCGCATCGGGAAGCAAGGCACCGTTACTGTGCTGGGTCCCATCAGGATACAATTGTCCTGTCGGCTGAAGGATTGCCCGCGGTCCTTGTATATCTCTAAACCCGCGGGCACCCGAATCGGATCCTGTCAACGAATTCGGTGCGTTAGAGGCAGGCCCGGAGAGAGATTCTTCCTCATCAATAGCTTGTACGCTGGCACTGTCATCAGGACGCAAAGAGTCCTTCTCATCCATGGCAAACGTGGTGACTGACGCCATGCTCTTCGAATCGAAACTCGTCGGCTTGGTCGAAGAACTTGAGAGATGAGTTCTGTCATCCTCGTCAAAGGAAGTTTCTCGTTTCAGTGATCCATTTCCTGGACCTTCGCTAGGAAAATCAGGATCATCATGATACTTCTTTTCCGACAAATCAATGCCCTGAACGGCCTGGGAAAGACCGTCGACAGTGCGGTCGTTGGCAACGGAATCGTTATGAGTGTTGCTAGGGCTTGACTGGCCAGAATGAATGTCGTGGGAATCATACAGTCCAGAAGACGATGGAACTTCAGTCGACTGAGAATCGTGTAGCTCGTCAGGTGGCATGGAAGCACCTGATCCAAATGGTGGAGGCATTGCAGCAATCTGTAATGGCGTGTCAGGCAAGATCTGAGACCAGACTCTTGGTGGTGCACCGGGACCACCAACCTTTGCAAAGGAGAGACGATGCTCGTCCCTCATAGAACCTGATGCCATTATCATGCGAACGTTTTCCGTCGGACCTCAATCTCTTCCAGACGTTCTCTTTTTCGGAAGGTGAAAATCGAACGAGTAGGGAGCCAACGACTGAATGGGGAATCCCTATGAGAGGAAGGGCAAGATCGTACTCGGAGCCTGCGAAAAATTGGCGAAATAAAAAACCGTGAATCGAATTGATCAAAAGCCACTCAAAGAACCCACTTCACACAAGCCCAAAAAGAAAGACGGCACATCTCTGGGAAACGTAATTCGCCATAAGGAAAGCTGCTTTGAGGTTAGAACCGCGGTCTTCAACCACACAGCCGTCTCTTAGGCCAAGCGGAGAGCAAGGTGAATGATTTGATTAGGGGAAGAATGCGAATGACGGGAGACACGAGGATAGTCGGTAGAGCAGCTTTGAGAAGAAAGATGACTGGTCTTTACACAATGGTCAGAATGATCGAATCATGATCCTCTCCGATAGGCGTCCGATTATCTTCTGGGGAAGGGGGAAAAAGGCTTGTGAACAAATCGGGGAAGAGGGAAGAGGGGAGAGTGAGAGAGTGGGGAGAGAAGGATATCCTGCTTCAAGGGAAATAGAAAAAAAAAAAAGGGGGGGCAAAAGACGAACAACCACCCTTGGAGAACAAATTGAACGGAGGACCGACAGACAGACAGTGAATAAGTACGTACTGTAGAGGATGTGGTCGCAGTGGGTTGAATCCGTCGCTACTATGCGCGGGTGGGTAATAGTAATGGGATGGGATGGATTCTTCTTTTGGGCTGAAGGAGGAACGACGGGGAGCGACGGGAAGCATTTTGCAGGCCTCAGGCATTTAATGGGCAGGTGACTTTAGCCGCGCGCCTGGCTGTTTCGATCCGACATGGTTGTTGGTCGGTGGGAACAGACAGCCGCGGAGGACAAAGCCTGAGGTACGTAGTAGTACTACTACTACTTACTATCTACTATCTATTGGTTCAGGTGAGGTAATCAGAGGCTGGAATATATCTCCGTGGTCACATCCCTTTCGTGCTCCTCTCATCCTCTTTTCCCAAACTCCCCTAGCCTCGACTGGGTCGAGGGCTGTTCTGGATGAATCGGTATCGCAACGCCCCCGGGCTTAGAGGCCCTAGCAAGGCAACAGCCAGCACCCTGTGTCAAAAGTGCTTACAACGAGATATGTCCTCAACTCTCATACTCCTCATGATCGCCAACTGACCTTGTTCCAGCACGGCATTACAGCTATGAATGTAAGGTCACCGCGCAGGAGCGGCCTTATATGTCTCGCCCATCGCGCACTCAGCAGTTGCAGAACCCCAAACTACGGCCGCAACTAACGAATGATGCCTATAAGGATGCCTTGCGCACGTGAGTCTGCTGATGCCTTTTACGTCCCCGGAAGAACAGAAACTGATAGAGCAATAGGAAAGAGCCCAATCATGAGACTTTGACCAGGCATGAGGAAGAACGAGGTCGCAAGAGAGATTTAGATCAGGTAGATCCGTTGCACAGCGGTACTCACTTATCGAAGCGCGCACGCTCGGCTTCTTCGCATTCGGCAAGCTCTGTATCGACCATCTCAACCAGTCGATCCCACTCGCGGTCGCCGTCTCGCAGGCAAGAGCGGAGAAGGTCCATGTCCTCTCGTCCTTCCAGCCGCAGAAAGAGACGCTATAGTGACTCGCCTTCTACTCACTCCATTGCATCCTACACCTCTGGAGAGAGAGATTCTCGGTCTCGGTCGCGGGAGTGGTCAGATGACAGAAACACAAGGCGGAGACGTCGCGCTTCGAGTCCGGAGGAACGAGGGCGGCCCAGGAACCTGTCGCCGGATGGTGGACGACGGGATCGGTCTAGAAGCCATAGTGCTGATCGCAGTCGAATGGCCAAGAACAGAAGATCCGTGACTCCTCCGCTGGCGACGAGGAGCGACTATCAAGACCCAAACCATCGCAAGGCGCAATCCCGCCCGGATCCTGTAGGCAGTGGCGGCGGGCGCGGCCCCGGTCAGCAACTCCCTCCGCCCCGGCGAGAGAGGAGTCTTAGTCCTTACAGTAAACGCATTGCGCTGACCCAAGCGATGAACTTCGGACACTAGGCAGCGAGCGGAGCTTGGATAGAACAAAAGTCGTTGGGATGTATGCGTGGGCGTATGGGCGTTCTAGTCTCAAATGATTATGGGGACACATTGTATGATAAGAGGATTTAAGCGTGAATGATGCAGAGATCATTGAAAGCATAATGTTTTGTGTATTGCTATGCAAAATCCGTAACGCCTTGCGACAATTGCCCCTGGCCCCAGTCGAAGAGCGCCTGAAAAAGAACGAGATCAAACCGAGTCGGACCAACACTTAATGTACAAACACCATTTCGAGGGTATCAAGGTTATGCCGCACCGTCCTCCTCCAGCTCCCTCCGTTCCTCCTCTTCCTCTTCCCTTTCCCGGACGTGGATTCCCTCCACTAACATCTCGCCCTCGATGCCAACCTCCTCCCCTTGTTCACCGGTATCAGACCCGGTGCTCTTGGCCTGCGCGGCCCGCTGCGCATTTTCGATACGTTGGCGTACCAGTTTTGCAATGGCGTTCTGAGTCCGGACATTCAAAACATTCATTTTCTCGTCCAGGTCACGTTTAAGATCCCAGTTCGGCTTCTTCGGCTGCAGCTTGAACAAGTCAATTGGTTGATCCTCCTCTGCATCCTTCTTTGCTTGTTCAGCCGTCGCTCTCGCGATCTCCGCAGCCTGCGCTTCGACGGTCACCTGGCCATCTATAGGAGCTTGCTCGAATCCAAGCTTGGGACCACGAGTTTCCGGGTCGTAGTTTCGTCCGGACAGGTATTGCTTGGTCACGTCCGGGGGAGCATCTTCTTGCTGGTCGTTGGTGACACCAGCTTCAGCTTCTGATTCCGGTTCGGGTTGTTTGCGTTTTAGGGCAGCCAATTTTGCAAGGCGAGCTTTGCGCTCCGTCGCCGCGGCATCAAGAGAGGCATGGTTGGAGGACATGGCGGCGGGGAAGCTGCGCGGACAATCAAATCGAGGAGGGGAAATAAAATCGGCCGGTTGCTGAGATTGAATAACTTAATGGTCAACGTCGAAACCTCGTCTTCACCTGTTAATCCTCTCGCTCTCTGGATGCACTTTCTCAAACAGAGCAGTGCAAGCGTAAGAGCAGTGGGTGGTACTGTAGGAATCAAAATCGGAGACCGCAAAGTAGCTGCTCAAGGTGATACCGTAATAGGCCTGATTGTCGGCAGTAGTTTGCGCGCGCCACAACTCGGCGGGATCTCACCAGCCACAGTTTGATCCGCGTCGGAGCAAAATCGGGCGCTTTCCCCGGGTTCGCCGTAAGGAAAAAGAAGATAAGTTATGCAATCCGGTACCTCCCAGTCACTCCTCTTACGCCGCCTGATTCTCAGAGGATTCTCTTTGTCTTGCTCAGCTATTCCATGCAAACGTGTCATCAGAGCTGAATGTCATTCAGTGCGCACCGCTTCTTGCGCCCCCGCTCTGGTGCCGGGTTGCCTTCTGTTGCCCTGCACTCCAGACTCCGCCCCGGATATTGGTGTCGCCCGAGAGGAATATTTCAACAAGCAAGATGGCACCTTCATGATGCAAGACGAACAAATGCGCAGCCACCCACTGAGCCGGAATTGTTATTCTGCGAATCGGAACCCCTCACCAGCTCTAGTATTCTTGCGAACCACAGTCTGAATCGATCTCAAAGAACGCAGTTATCGCCCTCCTCCTCCGCTCGTTCGGCTTTTCAAGAAGACGAAAATGACTTGAATGACGAAAGTGATTTCCTCGACGAAAGTGAACTCATAGACGAAACGCCGCTCAAGCCACCGAAGCCACTCAAGCTAATTGACCCTTGCGACCCCAATCGCAGCTATCGGTCCCTGCGCGTCGGCAACTATGTGGAGGGCAACAGGCAGCTTCGCCATAACGCACTTGTGGTGAATAATGGCACCGTTAGCTACCGGGAGAGAATTGTGGACGAAGAGGCGTACCTTGCGGACCAAGAAATACGAAGCTCCTCCTGGTTCATCGGTCGACGTCGACTTCGGATGTGGAAAAGTGCCCGCAATGAGCTGTTCAAAGCCAAATACTACAAGCGGCCAGTCTCTCAGGAAGATCTTGTGCAAGAATTTGAATTGAGGGAAGCAGACAACGAGCTGCTGACGCTGCTCCAATCGCCCAACCTTGACGGCTTCCGCGAGTCTTGGAATCAACTGGACGTGGCCACAAAAAGTGAGCATTGGATGAGGCTGTCACTCTGGCTCATAGCGAATGAGCCGACGCGTGCTCTCAAATTCCTCTACATCACCTGCCAAGATAAGCAGAGGCCGCTGCTCGTAATGATTTCTGAATGCCTGCTGTTCTTGCGAAACTATCCGAAATTGTTCGACTCCTGGAGATGGGAATCGGTGACCTTTCCCGACCTTGTGGCCACTTGCCTGGATCCACACTATTGGCCTATCGTCTACACGCCACAAAAAGGCATCCGCTTCTTCATTGGTGCGGCGAATGACGATGATGTTCTTCGAGCTTGGAAGCTTGTATACGAGCGGCAAGTTCATACGTCCGCTGAAACGTACCTTGCTTGGGCGTCCCGCTTCACGCGAATGAGAAATATTGATTTGGCCCTCGAGGCATTGGAGCATGTACGCCAGATTGGGCAGGTTGGCCTCGAAATCACCTCTGAGCCTGTCAAACGCCATGGCTGCTTGCTGCTGCTGCTTGACTCGGTCAAGGATGGCCCCGAAGGGCGCAATTTCCGCATTCTTCCCAGGCTGCTCGAGATGGGCATGCGTCCTGACTTGGAGATGATGGATCTCATCCTGGCCAACTGTTACAAAACCGGAGATCCAGAACTCGGCCGAGATATGTTGAATCATATGCAGAGTCAAGGCTATCCGTTGACTACGTATACCTACGTCACGCTTCTATCAGATGCCACGCGGCGACTGGATCGAAGTGAGATCAACCGCTTGAAGCACGAAATTGAAATGCAAGGAGAGGACATCCGCACCAACCGATTTGTCAAGTCGAAACTGTTCCACGCCTATTTCTGTCTCAACGTGAAGGACCAGACAGGTCGGCCCGAGGAAATGGATAATAAACATGCATTCCGCAGTCTGTTCAGATTGTATAACGAAATGTACGACATATCACCTTTGAAGAAGCTTGGGATTGTTCCGCAATCCTATCGACAGCAGGTTACAGGAAGAAGCCCTCTGAGAACGGAGCCCGATGCCGTACCCCTCTTCCTCATGATCGCATCGTATCTTCGATGCCACAGCGATATTTCTGTCACTGCACGGGTCTATGATCGCTTTGTTGAACTCTTAGAAAATGAGGATCCGGTCATTTCTCCGTTGGGTAGGACAGACCATACCTGGCACGAGTTCATGTTCGCATGGCGCAACGATGTGCGAGGACTGCGCCCTTCAGTCCGCCTTGTGGGGACCATGGAGCGCTTTAACACTGAAGATCAAGGCGTGAGCCCGGATCAGCCAAACTTCCGGCCCAAACCGACGGTCTACATCTGGACCGCTTTGGTCTCCGCGTTCCTCTGGAATAAAGAACCGAACGCGGCAGAGAAAGTGCTGGAATTGATGGACAAGTACAAGGTCAAATATAACAAGGTGCTCTGGACCAGCTTGATCTACGGCTACGCGCAGAACAAGGACATTCTCAAGGTTGCTCAGACAATCAGAGCGATGGAAAGTGCTGGCCATGAAATGGATGCGTTCACCATCAGGGCGCTCCGCCACATCCAGGATCCAGAGCGACTGTGGCAGGCCGTGGATGAGCTAGACAAGCAAGCCAACGAGCAAGTCCACAGCGAAACATATAGCTCGCTCACGGACAAACTGCGTCTCGACGATCTCCAGGGCGACGGAGATTGGCTGCTCGACCAGGGCCTTCAACGCATGAAGGCCAAAGCCCAAGCACGGGCGGACTAAGATACCCTTTTTCTTCTCAGCTTAGATATTCGGATTATTTCTTTCAGCGTACTCGGGTGCATTTGGGTGGGAGGAGCTTGCCGGTTTGTTATATAGCGCGTTTGGAGGCTTCCAGCAAGGCACAGGATCTGTTTTGTGGAGTAAAAGTCGCATGTTCTCGATGCCATGTACATAAACCTCACTAATTCTGATAGATCAGGAAGGAACAAAAGGTCTCATACTACACGAATATATTGATTAGGTGAAAGTCAAACTTCAGATTAACGCCACTGCCTCGAGGGAAGCCACCAGCATGCCATGTCCTGAACGCGTGAGAGAGTAATACACCTCGCTCAGCCACCGAAGAAGATCGAAACCTAGACAAAGTGTCCCAATCAGCATCTGCAATCCGACCAGGAAGGGTTGTCTGTCACGAGAGGTGGAGCGAGGGCACTTACAGCCATCACTACACAGCAGATACTGACGTAGGGACTCAGCCGTTCGCCGATACGAGCACATTTCCAGAAGATACCGAAAAAGCTGCAGACAAAGTTAGAGATCCTTCGGCCGGTGAAGTAGGAGTGACCGATGCTTTTTGAAATCGCCCTGTAGATGTCAACCAGCACATACCCATTTTGATTGCGATCCATGATCCCCGGCATGATCGAGTGGGCGTAAGTGCTCGTACAGATGATGAGGAGGAAGACCAGCAGAAGTGACTGGAAATTGAAGAGCGCCGACTACAACAATCACAGAGGTCAGTACCACTGCCAGTGAATGAGGGCCCCGCGTATCACGGCTCATAATTCACTTACCATCTTGACGACTTGACTTAAACCAACTGGCTGGCTAGCTGGCCTCCTGTTTCTTGTCTTCCTTAAAGTGCAAGCTCGCAAACAGAGACCGTCTCTCCGTTCTCAACTTCGTTTGCTCAAAGAATACAAATTCTTCCAGTAAGACTGGCAGAGTATGATTCGACGGCGTCAGCGATCATTTAATAGGAAGGATAAGAAGTAGTGCACCGCCTTCTCGTCATCGACATCATCCTAAGTTCCCACAACCTCATCCCGCCAGCGGAGCTCATTCTGCCAGCATGTCGCCCGGCAATTACCGCCACCGCCTTTCGGGGTCCAGGCCCGCCCTCCGCTATGGCTATGCCTCGCCGCGGTTCCGTCCTACTACGACGACTACTTCGACGGTCAGTACATCATATAACCAGACGACCATCAATTCCTCCTCCACCAACTCCCGCAATCCTCCACCCCCATCATCCACTTTCGCGCAAGCTGAAATCTCTTGCACCGCTCGCCAGCAGCCCCCAACAACCAGGGCGCCTCCGCCCGCGCTCCCCCGCCACCGCAGCACAGGTCATGTTTCGAGTAAACTCGCTCCTCCCTGGCCTTGGAACCCCGAAGAAACAGATCTAATCCACGCCGGATATCGACCCGCCTATCCTCCCCCCAGACTCAATTCCAGCAACCAAGACAACGACGCAGGCAAAGCAACCGCAACCTCATTTGCGGCTGCATCCACATCCACCAAACCAAACCCCAAAACCAAACCTTCCGCCGTCAGAAAAATGGCCGAACCTCGAGCCCGTGCCGCCCGGCACAAAGGGCAAATGAACTTTGCCTCGGAGCGTAAGAAAACAACTCCCCAGATACTATCTAGAAGCTCTAAACTCCAAATCTATCCTATCCGGACAGATTGCGTTGACTAACACTTTCACCGGGGGAAAAAAAAAAAGTGCGTCTTCTCCTTCTCGCCTACGGTGACCCCAGCCCGCACCCATCCTTCCCTTCGGAACCCCTCCCAGAAACCGTCCGCGTCCTCGACGAGATCGTCACAGACTTCGTGCTGGAGATGTGCCACGGCGCCGCGCAGTACGCGAGCTACTCGCGTCGGCAGAAGATCAAGGTGGACGATTTCCGGTTCGCGCTGCGCCGGGACCCCAATAAGCTGGGGCGTGTACAGGAGCTGCTGCGCATGGAGCGCGAGCTGAAGGAGGCGCGCAAGGCGTTCGATCAAAATGATGATCAGGTGGGGAATCTGAAGGATGCGGCGAAGAAGGGCGGAAGTGGTGGCGGAGGAGCAGGCGGGGCTGGTGGTGCTGGTGCTGGTGCTGGCGCGGCCATAGATGATGATTTCGGGGCGGCGGAGAGCGTGGATGGTGGGAGGAAGAGTAAAGGGAAGGGGAAGAGGAGCGCGGCGGCGAGGAGGGATTCTGATGTTACGGAAGAGAGTAGTATGACGGCTGGGATGGCGAAGAAGAGGAAGATGGGTGGTGCTTAGTTCTGAGAGGCCATTCTTCGGTTTGTTCATCTGGGATGGAGGTGTTAAGTTGCATGAAGGGCGTCTCTCAGGTTTTTGTCTTTTTCTTCCTAGGTTTTCTTCCGGTCTGGCTATTATTATGGATTGTGGCCGAAGTGTATTTACATCAAGTGATATCCCATTTCTTCGTTCGTGATCGAGGCGTTGATAATAAGGCGAAAAGCAATAATTAGTGATACTTTCGCAGATCACTAACACCTGACGGCAATTATATATTTTATCCGCATTTGATAAGACGTCGATCGCCGATGAGTCTGGGCTATCTTATCTACTGCACAGCCACATCAGTAAACAACTTACAGAACTAGGTAAGTATCAAGTCTACGAGCTGTAACTTTTGAAGCAGCTACATCAGTTTCCAATGCTTCCTCTATCAAAGACAAGCGGATAAATCATGCATGCAATCTTCTCTCTACCTGAAAAACAAACTCTATTTCCTCTGCCAACTGCGTCCAATACTCCATTTTGTTTTGTTGCCCCCTATTCCATGACTTCTCCGATATTTTGAGGATTCTTTCCCAGTACTCTGAACAAAAAGCCAGACGGATACTCCAGGACGCCGTGCTCTTCTTGCTTTTCGCCCGTTCTTCTTCTTCGTGTTGTTGCTTGGGCTCTCTGGGGCGAAAAGTCTTCATCGAGATTGGCTCGCTTGTTTCCCCTCAATGGTACAGGTCAGCGTTCAACATCGCCCGTGGTATGCAACCGACAAGCCTGGTTTGGAAGGTAAGTATGTGTGGATGTGAAAGTTGCGTATGTATATGAAGAACCTTCTCCAAGCCGAAGCAAGCAAGAATCGAAATCGACCAGTATGAAATTAAAGAAAATCGGTGAAGAGATTAAATGCACGGAGAATCAAAGACCAAATGGAGACAAAGAATAGATGCGGAAGAGAAAAGTGGTAGTGGGACGATGGTTGAAGAAGGAGAAATGGAAGGTATCGTTTTTCTTTTGTCTTAAATCAGAACCCTATCATAATATCCTCTTTACGCGCGAGTCTCCTCTCCACTCCGCTCTTGAGTCCGCTGCTGGCCACCCCGGCCTCCCTTGCCGCCCCGCTGTCCGCCGCGCTGGGCGCCGGACTCGCCGCTACCTTCGCCGCCCAGGGTCAGCTGTGCGGTGGCTAGACGGTTGGACAGCTCCATCTGGGTGCGGATGGTGTTGGCCAGGTACGACACGACAAGAACGTCCTGGATGTGGTTGTTGCTGCGGAAAGGAAATTAGTTGGAAAGCTCAAGTAAATAGAGATAACCAAGGAAAGGATGACGTACAAGTCACGCTCAATGTCAGCAGGCTCGACCTTGGGAGCCAGAGCCAGAGTGTTGAGCAGGTACTGGCCCATGGCCGTCGAGGCGGGGGCCTCCTCGTCAATCACGGACTCGACGTAGCGGGAAACGCGGTCAATCATGCCAAGAACGTCCTCAATTGCGCGCTCGAGAGCTTCGATGTCGGTGAAGATGTTGGCGGAGCGCTCCTCGGCATCCCGGGCAGCGGCAATGGCCTCAAGACCGCTCTTCTCAGCCTCGCCGTAGCGGACCTCATAGGGGACGGGGATGAAGGCAGCGCTGTCGGCAGCACGCTCAGCGGTAACACCGACGGGGGCAGAGATGTAGGCGCGAGTCTCAATGTCCTTGCCGGCCTCGGTGGAGACGGTCAAGTGAACGGCGGGGTGAGGCCACGTTCCGTCGCCCTGGCCGCTGTAGAAATTTTGGATCAAGGCAGAGAAGGTGTTGAGCTCGGACGAGGTAGCATACCAACCGACAAGGACTTCCTTGGGGTTGGCCTTCAGGTGCAAAGCGAGCATCTGCTTCTGGTATTCCATATCCACCTCCACCTGGTCTGTCGTCTCCGTGTGACCCACGGCGAACGTGCTGCGGATTTCGACTTCGGTGCCATCTTCGGACCTGGTTCCCAAAAGAGTACCGATGACACGCTCCTGGTCGGCGTTGCGACGGAGCGAATGGTCAAGAATGGAGAAGAGTGCCTAGCAGCGACCATCAATCATACCGCTCCCGGTTGAAAGAACTTTGACAACGCGATAACCTGATGGACCTACCTGGGGCTGAATAACAACATTCACAGGGGCGGTCGTCGGTGCAGACCCCACTGCCACGGGACCCAGAGGGCGGGCGAGATGGAGGAAGGAATCGGTGGCAGCCATGATGCTGGGGTGAGTGAGAGTACCGGTGGTGTGGAAGTTGGGGCGTGGAAAAGGGAGATGGCTTGTCACTTTCAATCGGAGTTTCTCTCAGGTCGTCTCCGGGGTGGGGGTAAGAGTGGCTCTTCTGGTGGAGGAGATTAAATCTTCTCTTTCCGCCTCTGGGCTGCGGCGGACGGAGGAGGTTCTGCTGCGAGGCTCAAATTGTGTGTGCGCAAAGGGAATTTCGCGCTAAGATAAGATAAGCCACCGCCCAGAAACATCCCGCCGTGAAAAAAGAGTTCCTGGTTGGCTTTCCACCTGCTCCCCAGCTTGTTATCGCCCGTTAATCGCATTCTTGTAAATCTTGACAGTCCCCAGAATGGCCCCTCCGCGTGGTAGAGCTCCTAGAGGGCGCGGGAAGCGCCCTCGTGGTGGTGGTGTCAGTCGCAGAGATGCCTTTCAAGCGTCCCGAGTCGACGAGATTCAGTAAGCGCTCCGTCAGTCTCGCATTTGACACAATTCATGGTAACTGACCGATTATACCAGGTCGGATGCTTCGTCGGACAGCGAAATTGACTCAGTTGATGAGCCCATGGAGGACGCAGCAGCCAACGAAGATCTTCTGAACCAAGATTCATCCGATAGTGAAGAGGAAACCGAACAAAAGGGACATTCGTATAATGAGTTGTTGAAACTATTGAACACCGACAACGAAAACAATGGACCAGCTCGCAAGAAGCGGAAGACCGACCATCGCAAGACTGAGGTTCAAGAGGTGACTCGCGACGATGCAGAGGAGGAGGACGAATCTTTGCTGGGGGACGACGATCTAGAGCAGCAAGAACCGTCGGACGCAGAGGACGAAGACAACCAGCCTGACGCAGAGGCAGAATTGCAAGCGGACAGTGATGACGAGGAGGATGGTAGGATCCCTTGCATATTTTTCTCTTGGTTGCGATTCAGCGCGCTGATCCGCAGCAGACAATGATCCTTTCGATGCCCACTTCAACACCCTCAAAGAGGAGGACTTAACCAAGAAGGTCAAAGCCATCGGAGAAAACAAGTGGACGACTACCAAGAAGGAACTCGCGGAGGGACTGAAGGTCGTGCGCTCCATTCCTGACGCGGGCGGCGACGCATCCTTGCTGCCTCCGATGAAGAGCATTTCGAGTGTTAAGGTAAGCCGTCTACTACTAGGTCTACATATCTACATATCACGGGGGTGGAAGGCTAATGTTTATCGATACGCTCAGCTTAAGAGAAAGCTCAAGGCTCCTGCGACAGAACATATCTCCAGTATTGACGGTGATGCTCAACACCTGGCGCCATACATTTTTGGCTACCAAGATGTCCTCTACGGCGCCCGTACAGCTGACAACGCGGCTCACATGCGGGATCTCTTGGCCCTTCATGCGGCTAATCACGTACTGAAGACCCGCGACCACGTTCTCAAGAACAACGCCCGTGTGGCCAAGGATCCGGATTCCGACCTGGATGTCCGGGATCAGGGCTTCACCCGGCCGAAGGTGCTGTACTTGCTGCCGACCAAGCAATCATGTGTGCGGGCGGTGGATGCCATTACGCGATTCTTCCAACCAGAGCAACAGGAGAACAGGAAACGACTCTTAGATACCTTCTCGGCGGCCGATGACAAGAATTGGGAGAACAAGCCGGACGACTTCCGCGACCTGTTTGGCGGCAACGACGATGACATGTTCCGACTTGGCCTCAAATTTACGCGCAAGACTGTGAAGTATTTTGCGCAATTCTACACATCCGATATGATCCTTGCCAGTCCACTCGGTCTGCGCACGATCATGGACCAAGCCGAGTGAGTACTTCCTGCTTCCCCCCGCTTTTCGGCGCACGTCCGTGATCAATCGCTTACCAAACCTCCGAGTTACTAGTGCGAAGAAGCGTGACCACGACTTCTTGTCCTCGATCGAAGTGGTCATCATCGACCACGCGGACGGCCTGCTCATGCAGAACTGGGATCACGTAGACTACATCCTCAAGCACCTCAACCTGCAGCCGCGCGAGGCGCACGGCTGCGACTTCAGCCGCGTGCGGACATGGTACCTAGACAACCACGCGCGCCATATGCGACAGATGATCATGCTGTCTTCCTTCCTGACGCCGGAGATGAACTCGGCATTCTCGACGCAGATGCAGAACGTCTTTGGCCGCGTCAAGGTCAGCCCCGTCTACGCGGGTGCCATCGGGGAACTGGCGCTGCCCGTGTCGGTGCGCCAGACGTTTTCGCGCTTCGACAGCCTCTCGCCGGCGAAGGACCCGGATGCGCGGTTCAAGCATTTCACGACGACCGTGCTGTCCTCGCTGGTGCGCGACCTCGCCTCGGGCCGCGGCAAGAGCGGCGGCGGCACGCTGATCTTCATCCCCTCGTACCTGGACTTTGTGCGCGTGCGCAACTACTTCGCCACCTCGACCCAGACGACCCACGTCTCATTCGGCGCCATCAGCGAGTACACGGGCGTGCGCGAGGGCACGCGCGCCCGCACCCACTTCGTGCAGGGCCGCCACTCCGTGCTCCTGTACACCGAGCGTATTCACCACTTCCGCCGCTACCAGCTCCGCGGCGTCAAGCGCATCATCATGTACGGCGTTCCCGAGAACCCCATCTTCTACTCGGAGATCGTGGGCTTCTTGGGCCTGGATCCGGCCCAGGTGGCCGAGGCGGCCGAGGGTGGCGTGCGCGCGCTGTTCTCCAAGTGGGATGCCTTGAAGCTGGAGCGCATTGTCGGGACGAAGCGTGTTGGAAACATGTTGCGCGAGAAGGGCGGGGACACTTTCACCTTCATGTAGAGATAATCATTATTTAGTTGCAGCTGTAAGATTTAGTTAGAGAAAAACTTACTACGATATCTAGGTAGTTATAAATACCTCCTAGGGCTGGGGGACGGAGCGAAGTCCGACACCGCTCCTCACTTTTTTACATTTTATGGAGTTAACTACCAGGATCCCCTGTGCTTAGGACTTTCCTGGAACCTTCGTGATTCTTTTTACCATCAAGAGAGAGCTCTCAATATAGCCTCGATACTGTATATCACAGGAGCTGGCCGTACTAGATCCTTCAAAGCGTACTTAGAACTCTTCTTCATCCACGGAGGAGAAATAGAACCACTCGGGTACTTCACCGACATCTGACTCAACACGCCTACATCGGAAGGGGGCGAATAGCAAGCCAAAAGAAAAAAAAGAAAAAGAAAAAGAAACTCTTCTCACCGGTCAGATGTCCTCTATTTGTTTTTCTGCTGCTCGAGCTCAGCTGATCCGGTTGTTTTTTTGTCGCGAATTAATTTGAAGTCTGACCTTTTTCCTTTCTTCTTTCTATTTCACTCGTCAAGGGCGCGAACGCGGTGATTAGTCATTGCTTTGGGGCCCTTAACTTACTATCTTTTTTTTTCTTCTTTCGCTCTACTCATTCCTCGTTGGATTGTTCAAGTTCCTCTTTTCCTTGGACGGAGAGGTTTGTTGCTGATCCAGAGGAGACACGAGAGTTTAGTATATATATACATATATATCTATCCAGCATTCCTGCATTCGAGACTGTGTATGAGTAACTTACTCGAGTAGTATCTTACTCATCGCCGCCAGACCGGATCTACTTGTGAAGAGTAATTCCGAACCAGGGTGCGAGGAAAGCAAAACAGGCTCAGACTTCAATCAGATCGACAAACACAAAACAAAAATGGCCACTTGCGTCACTCCTCGATCCCACGAGGATCCGAGCCCACGGGAGATCATGATAAGAGGAGCACCCAGCGAACAGAGTCCCCTTCTGCCTCGTGCATCCCCAGCCATGATGCCTGATGCAATGACCTCGACTTCCTGGTGGACTTCCCTGCGCCACTCGAGCGAGGAGCTCTGGGTGCAGGGGAAAGGTATGATTCTAGTCCTCGGCGCCCAGTTTTTCGGCGCAACTATGAATGTGATGACGCAGGTTTTGGAGATCAAGGGGAATAATGGCAAGGGATACCACCCGTTTCAGGTAAGTCTGCGTGAGTCCTAAGTTGCGTGCTTGCTCGAAGTTTGGCTTCAGGCTTTGCATCGATGTGTGCAACCATGAAGAGTACTGTAGTGTTAGTGGATCGCTAATCCCTCCGCAGATCCTTTTCGCGCGCATGTCTATCACTGTCATAGCCAGTTACCTGTACATGTGGTACACCAAAGTGCCACAGCCGTTCGGAACCAGACCGATCTTGTGGCTGCTTTTTCTACGGGCCAGCGGCGGCTTCTTCGGCGTCTATGGACTGTACTACTCAGTCCAGTACCTGCCTCTATCCGAGGCCACTGTGGTTACTTTCTTAGTTCCCATTCTCACCGGGTATGCCTGCTCGCTATTCATTCCTCGCGAGACGTTCACTCGCAAGCAATTAATGGCCGGCATGGTGTCTCTGGTTGGTGTAATCATGATCGCCCGTCCGTTCGCCTTTTTGCGCTCGGGCGAAGAGACTGATGATGGAGAATCCGGCGATAAGCCTGGTGCAACTGACAGCTATCACCATGTCCTGGCGATAGTTGTTGCGCTGCTAGGTGTTCTGGGCGCCACATGCGCGTACACGACCATCCGAATGATCGGCCGGCGCTGCCACCCTCTCGTGTCCGTGACCTGGTTTTCCTCGTACACAACTATTGTCTCCTCCCTTGCAATGCTGCTAGTCCCGTCCATTCCCTTTGCGATGCCCGTCACGCTGTTCGAATGGACCCTGCTTCTCGGCCTCGGAGTGTGCGGCTTTTTGTTGCAATTCCTCCTCACGGCTGGTCTGTCATATGTTCCGCCAGTACGGACGCCCAGAGATCTCTCAGCCGGCTGGGAATCGAGTGCATACGGCACCCAAGCTAGCGGGCACGTAGAGGACGAAGAGCAGCAGCAGCAGCAGCAGCCGAACGAGGTCAAGCCATCTGTCCAAAAGACGTCGTCCGGGTCGCGCGCGACATTCATGATCTATACCCAGATGCTGTTCGCATTGTTCTATGACCGCGTCGTCTGGGGTAGCACACTGTCCCCAGTGAGTTGGGTTGGATCTGGGTTGATTCTGGGCTGTGCCATCTATGTGGCCATTGCACGGGAAAGCCCGAAAACCGAGGGTGGTGCTGTTGCGGCCCCCAGCAAGAACGGCGTCACGGCTGCAGCTCCGGCAGACGAGGAAAGTGAACGCCTGGAGGTAGATGTGGGGAGGTAACCGTGAGGAACGCAGCTGGATGCGTACTTCCTGCAAGTGTGCATTGTAGGAAGACGATTTAAAGGAATTGGCTGTTGAGTCAGTAGGTTTTCTGCGCAGCAAGGTGTGCACTATGCACTCCATGGCTAATCCGGCTAGTGGGGGAGGGGCAACAAAAGGCGGAGGCAAGCGAGGAGATAAGACAGGGTCGCCTTGCCGTGCTGCATTTACGGAGTGCAGTAGTTACTCACCAAGTAGAGTCACTGTGATTCACTCTGTTCTAAAATAGGTGGAGGACGTCGGGATGCATGATTGCATGATTGCATGATGAATGAGTTATATAACGAATGAAATGAGATGAGATGAGATGATGACACACGGGCTGGCGGGGACTCAAGATTCTGTAGTGTCCCTGATAGGAAGGTGTGGGGGTGGGACTCGGTTCACCTGCCTTATTGGTTGGTCATCTGTCGATCCGGAGGTGGACTTTATCCACCCTCAACTACGGCGTACACAGTATCACTTCATCCATGGACTCAACCCGCCTACCGTCCTTTTAACTACCAGATGATTGCTATAAAATATACCAAGCATCAAAGGAACACAAACGAATGTCTGAGGGCAACCGATGCGCCGTCCCCGGTATGCGGCCGCACAATCGCCCTCAGACAGTCGGCTCGGAGCACTCTCGTCCTATGCAGCCTGTGCAGCCTGTACAGCCATGGAATTCAATCGTTGCAACTGCCCCTGCCAGAGAACGAGGCATTATCTGGCTGAGGGTGTGATTGGACGCCACAACGTCATTCAGTTGCTGGCTGGACTCACGGAAGAACCCGAGGGTGACCGCGAACGGCCATGATTGGCATCAATTTGATTGCCCATGGCGTTACCACTTAAGCTACAGCTTCAAGCGTTTGAGCTACTCGATACAAAATGAGTGTGTAGCATCCTATGTCCCCTGGGAGATTGGCAAAAAGAGGGTAGATGCCATATAGAAGTATACAAGTTCATCGCGTCCTCCCCCTTTCCCCTTCTACTAGGTCAATTCCCTTTTCCTTTCTCTCTTGCGTGCTTTGAGTGTAGATTTTACATCCGATTAGGAAAATGCGACATTTCGACGCCTGGGTCCTGCGCGACCCCTACTCGATCTTTCATTACTATCCCACCGGCCGCCGCTGGCCAGAGACTGTTCGCTCCCTCATCCAGGACCGGCAAATCTGCGCCCCCATTCCCACCCCGTCCACCCGCTCAACAACAACACCAGCAGTCTTCCATGATATCGATCCCCAACTGGACAGCCCGCTCTTCAACCGTCTCCCCGCGGAGATTCGAATAAAAATTTGGACTCACGTCTTTGACGCAGAAGCACCCACCCTAATCCACCTCGTCCAGATCCGCGACCAGATCCGCCACGTCCGCTGCCCCAATGCTGTCAGTACAGCCGTGGACAAGAACCGGCGCTGCTGCCCCGTCACCGCCGCCAGATGGCGCACCGATGTAGATACCTCTTCTACGCCCTCCCGCGCCCTCTCGACGAGAGACAAGCAGCAGCAGCAGCAGCAGCAGCAACCCTGGTCCTTCTCCTCCTCCTCCGTGTCATCCTCGACCTCCAAGCTCTACCCCCACACGCACCCAGCTCTCCCCTTGCACCTCACCAACGCCCCAACAAGCCTCCTTCGCACCTGCCGGACAATCTACAACGAAGCCAGCCCCGTCCTCTACCGCACCGCAACCTTCGACATTGACGACCTCTCAACCCTGCTCGCATTCACCGACCAAGTCAATGCAGCATGCCTCCGAGAGATAAGGCGGTTGCAGGTCCAGGTCGTCCCTTTAGGAGGCATGTTCGATGACCCGTCACCACCATCAAGCAACACGGCAGGAAGTGGCCGCCCACCAAACCGCACCCCAACTCCAACACCCACCACGCCCACCCCGCAACCAGAGGCTGGAAGCAGAACCTCCCATTCAATCCACGCCCACACCCACTCGACAGTCCTCTGGACCACCTTCTGGGAAAGGATAGCCACCCGTCTCACCGGCCTCGACGAATTGGCTCTCTGCATCGATCTGGGCCGCTTCACGACCACAAGCCAGGGCACGGTGGTGGGTGGGTATAAGCTTCCCTTGCCTTCTTCGTGCGTGCACGCGGGGCGGGAGGATGATCATGCAGCCTCCAGGGCAGAAGGAGCGGAAGCGGCGTGGGCGAGACCCATCCTCCGGGTGCGCGGACTGAAGTGCTTCGAGCTGGCAGTCACGGCGCGGTGTGATGCGACGGCAGCGGCGCGGGCAGGGGTGGAGCGGGAGGTGGGCGGGCCGGAGCGGTTGGAGCGGTTGCGGCAGGGGATCCGCGGGGTGGTTTGTTCTTCGGTGCGTCAGGCGGGTGGGGACGGAGTCGGACAGGTTGAGGTGGAGGAAGAGCCTGGGCTTGCTGGGGATGTTGGGTATGATGGGTCTGGATTGAGGGCTGGGTGGAGGGTTCCGAAGCGGAGGTTGGCTATCTGTGCGGCGTGAGATATACCGAGTAGTTTGGTCTGCGGTCGATATAAAGATTACTTAGACAGTAGATGATTGATGATGGACTTACCATAAAGATCTATACCCTTTTCTTTCCCCCCCCCACCTCTCTCTCTCGGAATACCTAGAGCAACATCTATCCCGTTCCGATATGACCAGAGTGAACAACCGATGCCATTACCCAGGCCTGGATACCTATATGCCTCGTCGACAAAACCAACCCAATCCCAAAACCAAATTCATCTATAACAATCTAGTCGCTGTACAATACATAAGGTAATCATATTAAGCACCCCCCCCTCTCTCCAAGTTCCCAACCAATACAGTGCAATGAAAGAAACCAAGATTTCCCCAAAATCTCATCTCAATGATAGCTCCCAATGCACTAGTGATACCACATAACAATACATCTCATCTGACATATTCCGTGGTTTTCTTGTTCTGCATTACCCATTCAAGCCACATCTGAGGGCCGACGGGCCGAATATTCAGTTTCTAAAACACCATATAAAGCCTCGAGAAGAGAGAAGGAAGAAAAAAAAAGAAGAGAAGAAAAAAGTTTTTCTTTTGGTTGTCCAATTTCAAAGTTAAGCTCATACCAAGACTGGTCCTTTTGCTAACCTTACATTATCGGGTAAAAGGAAGAGATAGACATGAACCAAGGATGTAGAGGTAGGTCTGGGGAATTAAGGGAGAGGAATCCCGGTGGGGGGAGGGGGGGGGGGGGGCGCGGAGAAGCAAGCCAGAGAATTTGTTTGTGTTGTATCATGAAAATAAATAATCACTCATGCCCGCGATCCAGCTGCGTGTTGTTGTTGCTCATACTCATGTTCTTGTTGTAGCTGTTGCCCGCTGCTGCGCTCGGCCTCTGATTCATGGTCTTCCTCACTGGTCGGAGACGGGGCCCGACTGCCCACTAGAGACCGGCGGCTGCGCATCTGGAGATACTGTTAGTGACTGGCTACGGCCAATGCTTCACCTCCTCGATCAGAAAACTCACCCATGATCGAACACCACCAATCAAACCCAGACTGTACCCCGTCGCAAAGTAATCCGGCTCATTCCGGCCGGTGCCCATCGGACTGTCGGGACGACCCAGAGCCTCAACCCGCGAAACATGCGTTTTGTTGCCCAGCACGGGACTGGTCAGCCCACTGCGCGAGCCGCCCAGATCCATACTGTTTCGGTTGCTAGGCGCCGGGCTGCCGGGGCGGCTGTTCTGCCAGAACTGACGCAGCTCGCGACCCAATTCCTGACCCGTGGTAGTCCAGTTGGCCCGAATGTTATCGCGCAGCTCTGAGACATGGCGTTTGATCTCCAGCTCGTTCTTCTTGATCCATGACACGTTCAATTCCTGACGGGAGGCACCACGCTTGAATTGTCGCGAGATGTACTGGTCGTAGTCGCGGACGATCCTGGACCGAGTTAGCACGACAAGACTCAACCCGTCCCAAAACTCTTTAACTCACCTGGTGATGATACCCGTGGTGCTGACACCTTCCGTGCGCTGCGTAACCAGGAACTTTCCTTGTCGCTTGATTGGGGCGTAGATGTCGTCACCCTCATCCGCGCCGTACGGCAGGTCGTCATGTGCCACATAATCGATTTTGTGCTCATCGAGGAACTCCGGGGTCAGAATCCAAGGACAGTTAGGGATCACTTCGTCCACCCATTTACAGTGTCGCAGCGACTCTGCACGCTCTGCACCACTCAAGACCGTCAATCCCTTGCGCTTATGTGTCTCCTCATCACCCGTCACACCCACAATAAGATATGTGTCGGGGAAAGCCTTCTTCGCCTGCTCCAATTGTCGCATGTGACTGTTTCAAGACAACACCTGTCAGCCATTGATCGCCCAATAGACACCACTGCAAGGAAGGGAAAGGGGGGAAGAAAGAGGATCGACACGCACCCCAAGTGAAACAAATCAAATACTCCATCCGCATACACCCGCACCGGCCGACCCACCGGCGGCGGGTTGGTGTGATAGCCGACGGGATCCTGTATTCCACGCCCCGCCAGTGGCTTCAACAAGTGCTCCGGGGGCGTCGTCGTGTCGACCTGCAATTCCGGGCGAGTGCGCTGATTCTCAATGTCGCTGCTGGCCACGGTGGTTTCGGACGGCTCGCCGGGATCTTCCTTGTTCAACGCACCCGCCGCATTGCCGTTGGACAGATGACTATGGTTGGTGTCGCTGACGGAAGCCTTCCGAGCCCGCTTAGACGGGGGCACGGCGCCAGTCGATGTTACGTCCTCAGACAACTGTTTCTTGTGTTTGTTGGGGCTGGGCAAGGGAATGGCCGGGCCGGTTGAGTCGTCGCCTTCTTCGCCGGACGCGTCGCGGGAGGAAGGTTGCAGAAGATCTGCAGGCGCCGGAACTGCCTTAGAGAGGTGTTGGGAGCCACTGCGCTTGCGTTTGCCGGACGGGGGAGAGGACATGGTGGCTGACCGAGGGAGCACAGCTCTACTTCTGTCGAGGAGAGGTTAGGGGAGAGGGGAGAGGAGGGAAGGGGGAAGGGAAGGGGAAGGGAGGGAGGGAGGGAAGAAATGATGGAAAAGAAGATACGGACGGATAGAGAAGTCCGATGGTGAAAGAAGGGAGGAAGATATGGAGAGGGAGGGGGGGGAGGGAGGAAGCGAAAGGAGAGGTGAGACAAGAAGAAGAAAGTAGGTTAGGATGACGGAGAAGGGCGAGCAGCACCCAGTGGAAGAGAGCAGAAGCCGGACGGGAGGTCCCGGTGGAGGAGGAGGACGGTATGCACCACAACAACAACAACAACAACAATACGGGGACTCAACCCAAATACGTGATTCCGCAATTCTAAAGAGCCGACAGGACCCTGAACTGAATCCGGAGAAAATTGAGAGACTCACCCTCAAGGGGAGGGAATCAATCTGAATTTAGAAGAAATCAGACCAAGACTAAAGGAACAAAATTCTGCGGGCGAAATGGTCGGGAAGAAACCAAGCCGGGATACGGTATGGTAAAGTTTCGATGACAGACACCGCCTCCGAAAGGGTCCATCCCGTGTCCCAACAATAATTCCTATAGTCTTTCTTACTCCGTACTCTACTCCGTAATTCTTATGCCTTTGAAGGTACAGTACCTCCTATATTCCAACGAGATTCTCTTCTCAATCATGAGAAGCCATGCTTACCACAGTTCTCCACACCTAGAATCTCTGAAAGACTGCTATTACCGCATCACAGCATCGCCCAAACTACTATCAATCCATCCCCAAGCCGCACTAACCGTGTCAAGCTTAGCTCAATCGCTTTATACTTACTTCCCTGCAGTAAGTTACTACTATCACTCCGATTTTCTCACTGACTTTTACTCTCAACTTCCATACTCCCATACTTTGAGCACCCAGACCACTCGATCCACCGATCCCCAATCGTAAGGCGGATCGTTAGACGCATATACCTACTGCATCTTCATACTCGAACTGGGATAGGCCGGCCGAGGTATTGATAGCGCCTGCCGGATATCCACCTTCTATTCCACCCTCCAGGCTCTAGGATCTTGTCTTGCTCATAGGCACCCCCAACTAGTATAGGGGATGGATGAGATCTGTGTGGCCGGGTTGCACCACCAGGACATGTCAAAGCTGAAGTAATGTTGGGGGTGGTGGGATACGCTTTAGAATTGTCAAAACGAGTCGGCACGTTAGACGACACTGCTAAGCACGTGATCTCTCTGGTACAGAGGTATCAGCAATAAAACATACGTTTACATTGCACCTGCCCAGGTATATACCATGATTCAAGTATGATCCGGTTCTACGACCTACACGCCGTAGAAGCTAACAGCCAACGGTGTCTATATGCATACCAAATGCAAAGGGACATCAGATACATGACCGTGTCCATCCCATTCCAAGAATCTCCGCTGCTGAAGAAAGCCATCGACTCCAGATGCCTGACTACCACCAACATGGGTCATTGTGATGCGGGGGAGGTAGACCTTGTGCAGAGGGTCCCTCTCAGGCAAGATGTGTATCCATTCCTTTTCTGTCCTGTCCACTACAGCTGAAGGTTTGCCCGGGGTTTAATGCCGGCTACGCGCCGTTCCTCGGGACCGGCATGGAAAGGACCAGGTTGCTGCTGCCGCTTTCGCCGAAGAGAGAACGGAGGTAATGATGGATAGGGGAGAGTATGAGAGATAATGAAACAAGTCGTAGTAGAAATATGAAGGTTCATCAACACTGGGCGTTTTGTGCGGTATCTTGGTTGGTGTCAAGGCATGAAACAGACGTGCTCTCGTGAGACCTGCCGCTCGCGGCTTCGTATGTAAATAAAAATGAAAAGCTGGAACGAGAATCCCCCCGACCCGATCCCCGTGAAACCATCTTGCAAGACATGACAGAGATGTGAAGAGAATTTCGAGAGTCGCAATTCCCCGCGTGTTTCATTTCGTCCACAGCCAATGGGCCAGTCGATGAGAGGAAGCTGGAAGGATGTAGAGAGTATAGGGTGTAAATTCGGAAGAGAAAAATAACATGGCGCTTCGGATAACATGTGGGGAACAAAACAGAACAAGGGGAGCAAAAGCGACACTGTCAGAGAATCACACGAGGATCAGGAAACCCAAAAGGAAAGAGGACATCAACAATGGATAATAATGCAACGAATCCATCCCATCATGACTACACATTAGTTAGGTTTCTGTGGCGTTCCAGGGGCACTGGTAGAAGAGTTCTCCGCGGTGGTCGAAGGCGATTGCGAGATGTTGGCAGCTTCATCGGCCTTGGGGGTGCTATCCGTGGATTGTGGGCCAGGGGTTCCTTCGCGATCAGTCCGGCCCGCATCGGAAGAGTCATGGTGCACCTGGTTGCCAAGGTCCCGGTCCTCAGTATGATCAAACAGCTCATCATCGTTCTGTTCCGGAATCACTTCTGTGCCATCCCCCAAGAGAATGATGCGGCCCGAGCGGACACTGAAGCCACGAGAACGATCGTTTTCCACGTCATAATCATCCGGGTTCTCTTCGAATTGATTACGGATGCCGGGGCCGCGGAACTCAGCTGCACCCCCGGGTCAGTCAGTAGGAGTTGGGATTGGAGGCCTCGGGATCCTCGAGAGACTTGCCGTACTCGGGCGGAGCGCAGGGGCCGTCTCCGTTCGCCACGCGCTCGGCGATCTGGTTATACCATTCCTCTTTGGTCCTACCGTTCAGGAGACCGATGATGATCATAGTCATGTTGTCGCATCCGACACCCCCCGTTTCGCTGTTGGAAGCCAGGCAGTTATCCATCATGTTCTCACAGATGCGGTAGAGGTCCTGTTTGGCGGCAATACCGCGACGCACGAATTCCACTACGGCCTGAGAAGTCTGACAATCCCAAATACCTGAGATCGCATTAGCAATGCATCAGACGAGCCTGGCCGAGCACATGGAAAAGGGACATACCGTCGCAGGCAATAACGAGGAACTCATCGTCGTCAGTCAGGTCGTGAACAGTAACATCTGGGTAAGCGGTCACAATTTGCTGTTCGGGCGACAGCTCAGGGCTCTTCTTGAATTCAAAATCTCCAATGGCACGGGAAAGGGCCAGGTTGCCGTTGACACGGCCAAAGTCGACGAAACCGCCTGCGGCACTGATACGGGCCTTCTCGCCTGTTGAAAATATTTTAGTATGAGCGATGACACTTTCAAGCAATCCACTTCCTGGAAACCGACCTTCGTTCTGAGGCTTGTGATCGAAGGAGAGGGGTTTCGCGCGGCCCTTCACACCGAGCACGGATCGGGAGTCACCAGCATTGGCCTATACACCGGTTAACAAACTGATCCAATGAACAGCCAGCGTAGGCTGATTTACGTACCACCCAGATCTTGTGCTTGGAGATGACGCTGACGGCTGCAGTGCAGCCAGACACTTCTTCCTCGTATTTGGGATCTAGCTGAGTCAGTCCGCCGTCTTTGCTCGGAAGAGAGGAGGGAGGACAAAGAGGTCGTCCCGGTGCACCCCCAAAGCAAAGTTGTTCACGAACCTTCCAAGATAGCGCGATCGGTAGCAAGGAAACCGTCCTTCAAAGCTTGCTCAATGTCGCCCTTAGCGAAAGCATCCTGCTTTGCGACGATCTTGTGGACGTTCTCTCCGGCGAATAAAGCTACTTTATCACCGCCGTGTCCATCATATACACCGAAGAACGCGAGCCGTTTGTCGGGATCGGTAGAATTATCGTTCTGCTCAGAAGACTTGGCCTGAAGGTCTAGCACGGCCGCATGGGCATCCTCCATGCTAATTCGCCAGCCCTGCATGGCTGAGACACCATATATACAACACTCATCCTGGCCTTCAGCCGAAGCCTGGATAATGTTCAATCATATTAGCGTAATTGAAACAGACGGAGCGCGAAGAGAAGGTGGAAATGACAGGTCACCCGCCCGGGAGCTGGCTGCAGGAATTTTCATCATCTGTGGAGGGAACCCCGCAGGCGTGGAAAGATCACCGAGGCTGCAGCCCCTCCGACCACCACCAAGAAGCGATTCCAGGCATGTGTTCGTGAACCGAGGCAGTTGTACGAGGAGTTCGTTTGGAGTAGCTCAGGTATGTTGAGAAAGGAAGGGACAGAAAATGGGTTGCGCGATGATAGGGGAGGCGATTATAGGGAAATTGCGTAAGGGCTGTTGCAGTGTGGTGGGGGGGGGCATTGCTTTCAGATTCACGCACCTTTTCGACCACCGGCTCGGACAAGGTCTGACCCATGATATCTGATGGGAAGATGTAATTGTAAGTAATGCGCGAAAGAGAAGTATTGTGCGGTGGAAAAGGGGGGGGGGTTTGAGAGTAGTTTCGTAAAGAGATCGAAGACTAGGAAGGGAAAAGTTTAACACACACGGAGAGAGTATCTGGAAGGGGAGAAGAGAAATGAGAAGAGCCAGTGACTGAACGGGATCAGGTGGAGGAGGAAGAGAGGAGAGAAAGACTAGACTTAGAGCGGGAGAGGGAGAGAGGGAGAGAGAGAGAGGGAGAGGGGGGGGGG